AACAAAACAGATCGAGCGTTAACGTGGTTCTCTGACTGATCTTTCCTGTGATAAAGCTGCCACAAGTGTGGTTAACCGAGTTGCAATTAAAAACCCCCAATCCTGCTCCGAATAATTATTTCCAACTTTTTTGTCCGTCATCCCATCACTTGTTGATTTATCTATGTCGGCACGGCGCCAATTTCCTCAGGTCCGTGAAACTAAGCCGCACAATAATCCATTATCCCAGAAGAACAGTTTCAAGAAGGGATTGCTCCCCATGTGCCAATACAGGGCACGCCGTTAGATGCACCCTATCCAGCCAAATGAATGTTATTTCCTATGCCCATAACGGGTATCGGAAAAGTTTCCGCCTTTATCTGATATACTTTTTCCTCTGGACGTTGGGACGCACCTTTATTGGTTTCCTGAAGGCGATTGACACCAAATAATGATTGTTTTTTCGGGGCTGGGATATTGTTTTCGGCGGACCTAGGCCGGATACATCTTTATATCGATGAGAGTTTTTGCTGGCTGGAGATTCTTCAAGAAAGACAAACGTTCAGTAAATTTGATAGAAGCATTGGGATTTGGATTTGAACAAGAAATGACGAATGAGATACAGGGTTTTTAATATGATGAGAAGATGAACCTTACGACCCATTCTGCGTAGATGTAACTCGTTTTTATTACTTATATGTGAGGAACATTGTATGAAAAATTTGTTCACAACAATAAATCGTCATATGATGCGATTGTAAGTTCTACTCGCCAAAACAACACTTAAAGACTCCCGGAAAAGTCATTGATTTATAATGCTGTCAAATTATATAACCATCTTCCACTCGATTTCAGAAATATTGTATCTCCAATTCATTTTAGGAGATCTGTGAAAGTGTGAAACAACATCTCATCAAAGAATAATATTATTATGTTCAAGAATATCTAGCTAAAGGCTGGAATAATTCAAGTTGATTTTTTTATGATATTATAGCTCCTGACGGAATACTCTTATTCATTTAGGCTTATGTTATCAATTTAGTACATACACTTTTAATCCGTATTGATATTGATCTATTCTTTTATTAGTATGAGCATGATTGTAGCATCACTTTTTTGCTATAGATACTGTGATATTAGGTTTATCTTATTCATTATGTATGTATGACTTTGTGAATGATCATTTTTTTTTCTTCAGACAATAAAGTATGTTTTGATTGATTGATTGATTGATTGATTGATTGATTGATTGATTGATTGATTGATTGATTGATTGATTGATTGATTGATTGATTGTTTCTTCACATATTGTTTCAAATTCAAATAAAACTTGAGAAAACATATTTCCGATGAGTTTAGTTTGATATGGAATAGGAACTATATTTTAACAATACAAGTTGATTCTACTTGTTAGTAACTAAGATTTATTACTAATATTTTAGGAACATTAAAAACATTAATTCGTTTTCAATAACATCACATGAGATATGACATGTATATACATAGTTTTAAATGACTTCTGACAATAGAAATAAGGCGCTTTTTGACAATATAATTGTTAATTCCATTAGGTTAATAGGACCGACCGAACAATTTTATCGTCATAGTCACCCGTTGCTTTAAGCAACATAATAAAAAAGAAGCCTTCTAATTGGTTCAAAATAAATTTATGAAATTTTCTCTCTAATACCCATCAACACTTTCTTTGGTATCGAGGATGAGTGATCCCGAACAACTGGAACAACTGAAAACTTGTGCCATAACTAAATCTGGCAGCAATTTCTAGTGGAACGTATGAGGCGTGTATGAACTTCAGAAAGTCTTCAAAACTTTTCAGACGGGTTTATGGCTCGAGATTATATCGCCGTGACAATGGAAAATGTGTTGCCAGAAGAGAACGATGTGATCTGGTGTGAGAAAACTTACTCACGGAAAACTCCCTAAAATTTTCTATGTGGCAACGATGAGAGTCTCAATGCATATTATGGATGTATTGTCTTCTCACGAACTTAACTTTATAACCAAATTTCATGAAAGATGTCGAACAGCACTTTATCAAAACTCCTTCATCCATAGAACGGCTAGGCTCTGGAATTCATTGCCGAGGAAGTATTCCCAACAACATATAATCTCCAGAAGTTCAAAAAAATTCCAATACCTACCTCCTATCCTTATCCTCCCTAGGAACGCACGATGTTCTCTGAACATTATAGGGATTCCCTTTCGTGCGCTCCAAGCGATAAGAAAAAAAAAACTGGTTAAGTACCAGTTTTGAGCTATACTGTTTCATCGAAACTGCATCCATTCCCATTGAGAGACGAAATTGTTGTATACATTTCCAGCAGCTGCATGCTGCATTGTGATTTATCCATCATAAAATTCTCTTGTATCGATAGAAGTCCATCCCAGTGATGGCACGTGTGGCATTCTAATCAGTCACGCACAGCAAACGTACTTTGAAATGCATACGCCATACGCTGTTTCACCACCCATAATGCATTGATTAAATTCCGTGTGGCCCATTCCCGTAGGCAAATTCAGCCAACCTGTGGCAATTTCATTTCATTCTCATTGGTTTCGCGATGAAATGAAAAAAAATATTTTTCATCGCTTGGAGTGCACGAAAGGGAATCCCTAGGGACATCGTGTGTACTTATAGGGAGTATATGGAAGAGGAGGTAGGTAATGGCATTTTTTTTCAACTTCTAGAAATGTTAAGTTCTTGAAAATACTTCCTTAGGCAATGAATTCCAGAGATTTGTCGTTCTATAGACTAACGAATTTTCATTTGGTAAAATACTCATCCCAGAGAATTCATAATGCAAATTTTGAAAATAATGTTGTCACATCTCTATACTGATACTGTTCGAATGTGGGACGATTGATATTTTGGGTATAATTTCATATTTGATCATTCAACCACAGTCTTCCCAACTTCACTTTAATGAATGAATTAATAGATCTGATGAGATATCTATGATTCTTTCATAACAATGACCCTGAACATAATCTGCTCATTTCGATTCACATTGTCGAAAGTGTTTGGGAAAGATATCGATAATGTCGAAATGAACTGCTAACATTTTTTATTCATCTGGAACTTACTGCCCTATTATAAACCCTGCCAGTCATATAGTTGAAATGTATATAGATTTCAATTCCCAGTAACTCGTTCATTCACCGTAGTAAATCTCGAAATGACTTTCGAGATTGCCTTTCTCAACGTTTTGAAAGAGTCTGTGGAAGTTCATTGGAATATAATGCCGAGAACACAATGTTTTAAGATATTCTCGAAACTTTGATGCCTCTGGTAGCTGTTGTTCTTTATTCGACGAGTAGCATATCACCGGAAAATAAATAAATTCAGTGGAAAACTTTTCACTCGGAAAGCTGAACAAGTAATTTGTACCTATTGTACTATCGTTTCTGTGTGGAAGGGAGTTTTTCGAGCTTTTTTGCCTTGAATAGATTCTTCGTTATTTGATTACTTTGAGGATAATGATGGCTCAGGACCACTCAATTCAGTCATGATTGAAATATATTTTGAATGCACTAACGGAAGAGAATATTCTAATGAAATTCATTATGCGAAGTAGATGTCATAACTAAGAGGTCTAGAATGGAATGCGTTGCCATAATTGACGGAATACCGAGAAAGTACTGTTTCGGCTCACCAAGCCTCATCCGTTGCTCTCGGTATTTTCAACGCTCCGGCACATCGAATACAACGTTGGCTATAGGTACATGGCAGCGTCGTATACTTCATACATTATAAGCCTATTTTGGTAATATAGTCTTTTATAAAAGATTCTATAGAAATAAAAAATTAGGACACCATCCCCTACTAGAATTGATATGTTGGTAGAAAATATCATGCACTAATGAAAGTATGTAATAAAAATGTATGAATATCATACTTTCAACGTTTAATTCGACATATTCGTATCCACTAATTCCCAGATAGAATTCATACCAGTTCGGTTATAATATTGGGAGGTTTATACATAAAATATGTATAACCAACACAATTTCAAATAATTGTTCTCCTTCATTAGCTGCATAGATGAAGCTGGTATCCGTTCGTTTTTTCATTGATTTCTTCTGGTATAGGTATTTTTGATCGTTAACTTTATAGTCAAGCAATGAAAATCTGCAGAAATAGAAACCAACATAATTCCTTGGTAGAGACATCTCTGTGATAACGTTTATACTGAAAATTTCTTGCCAGTTATTGATTCATCCAGGAAAATTCTGTCTACGATTTCTTATGATATTCTCTAGAGGTCGCCACCGTATATTACGAAAATGTGGCCAACAGAGACCTCTGGAATGATTCACAGGAAAATAGAGTCCTCGGAGATAGATGGTGTTTCATGTGATTCTCGATCAATACTCTGAAGACAGATTCAAGTAACATCCGTTATGATTTCATATCCACTATACATTATATCAACATTTTCACTCGTCACGAAATGTCGAAAGATACCAGTTTATGAAACTAATAGTCAAAATGAATATTTGTTCCGAATATAATATCGCTAATCGTTTTGAGATGTGTTGTTTTAACCAGAACTTTGAAGTAATCATAAATATAGTTCAAAGTTGATCAACTTATTAGTGCACTAATGTAATGAAAATATGTGTTGTATGAACTCATTCTCTAAAATATGCAATACCAACTTTCCTAATTTACAATGAAATGAAAATGTAATCAGGAAGAACGTGGCAATCGTTGCATTTCTAACTAGATTTTTGAATTTTGTATATAAATCCTTGATAATCTCATCAATCAATTCCTTTTTCCTCATCGAGTCGATCAGTTTTGATTCTTCCTTCTTTCTGACCACATCTCATGGAATCTAAAGCTCTAATAGATCAATATCAACATTTGAATGAATTATATTGGAACATTCATTATCTTCTGAATAAGTGTCTCTAACGTAGAGAATTGTCATCAGAAACACTGTTTGTGTGTGAAAATTGATTGAACTCGAAGGGCAAAGAAAATAAAAATAGATGAATTAGGTACTATGTTTATTGGACTATATTTTTTTTACAATTACATCACCTACCAACAGAGGAATAATTCAAAATACTTTTTAAGTCTTGAAGATGCACCGTCTTGGATGATTTTTTAATGTGAAATGTAGATATTCCTGCTTGTTCATTCCATCATTACCTGCAAAAATTCAATCTTAGATGAAGATTCTAAATATATAATTTTCATCGGTGATTCCTGCATCTACGCAGATGAAGAGAACAAAAAAATAACTATACTAAAAATATGTTACAATGAATGAAGGTTGGAGGTAGATGTCTAAAAAACAATAATTTTTTTGCCAATAAACCTATACCTATGCGCAAACGCTCAGTTTCAGAACGAGCAAAAACTATTTTCTCTCAAATGGCTAATTCTGGAAAAAAATGGACGATCTTTTGAGCCGATTGCGAAAATAGTATTTTTATGATTCCCAATGTTTTCTATAAGATGGGTATTGGTACATTAGCAACTACTCTACAACACTCCTGATACATTGTAACATATTCTTCGTGACAACCTATATACTGTAGACAAAACCATCGTGTCATACCTACTTCAACATATCGTCTGAAAGACAGATTACGTTCATGTGTCCATTTATATCATCGTCGTTCAATTGTCTCAGATAAACCGTCACTGAGTTATCGAAAGCACCTGAAGATACCATACGTACTGTTGTAGTATCGCAAGCCACTACCTCCACATGTCTTCCTGAAAAAAAATCAAGAAAGAAAAAATATTGCATTGTTTCAAGAATTCAACTAGACATTTTCATACATTATTCACTGTATACACAAGGACAAGGTGAGTCAGAAATGTGTACCGAGCTTCCTGGAGGTGATAGAACATTGAAAAATAAGTGAAATTTGATCAATAAACTAATGGCCCAGAATGTGTATTAGGGGAGATATATATTCTTCCATCAAAGTTGATTGAATTGAAATAATTTTTCCGCATGACTTCAAAAAGGTAAAAGCTACCAAATTGATATTTTCCTTCATTATTTCCGGAGAAAAAACAAGAGCATTTGATAAAGAGGAGATGATTACATGAAAAAGGCGCCCTCACCAAATTCGAAGAATTCAACCATTTTCGAGATATTTGAGTTCTTGAAGTCACATGATATCAGCAGATTGGATCATCGATGACAATATTTTAGGAGCCATGACCAATTATGTTCTCAATTTTGACGTTTATGACATCAACATTGTTATTGCTAATTCCTTCGTTTAGTTTGTTTGCTTTGTATATTATTACTGCGATTATCAACTGGGATTTTGAGAAATGGCAGGTTGAACGTGATGCAGAGATGTTTCTTGCTTGACGCGTTGCAAATTCTAGAACAATTTTGAGGATTATGCAGAGTTTGCGTGATAGAGAATGTTTCAAAACGGAAAATAGAGACAGTGCCGACCAAAAAGTTCGGGGCCTACTAAAATATTGTTACTGTTGAATTTATCTGCCGATATCATGTCATTGCAAAAATCCAAATATCTCGAGAAAGTATATATATTTTGTATCTTCATGAAAGTATAATTTCTAGGTAATCTTCTTCTCTCTATAAGCTGCTTGTGTTTCTTCACCGAAAAGGATACAAGGAAAAAAGTTGCCATCAAAAAAATCATGACACCCTCTAAAAAATAGCAGAAATGTTAATCGAAAAACTGTATTTCATCAACATTCATCTAATCAGGAATTTTCAATTTGGTGGCTTCAACTGTTCAGAAGTTATGCAAAAAATGAGTTCAATTTATTCAACTGTAGACACATGCAGATAGCTGGGTACACATTTTTGACTCACCCTGTATATAATTGCTTTCGCACTGACCCACTTCAAAAACAAATTGTATATTGAGAAATCTATATTGACAAAATGCTGCAGAACTCTCACTGTTTATCTACTAATCCTTTTCTTTGATAATTTGGAAAAAAATAATTACAAAATGGTATAGAACATTGTATGTTCATCAACATCGTGACTGTTGTTGCTTTTTCTAATGTGGGAATGAACTAAATGAACTTATCAGTTTGTGGCTGCCACAAAGGCTTAATACGTGTTGCGGACTATCGTCATTAATCTTCCTATGTACGTGCCGTTTATCTGAAATTACTGTCTTTGTCCTAAATAATGAAATGGAAACGCAACGAATTCTCTTTGTATAGTTAATGGCAAATTCAACAAGGCGGTAGAAAGTGCTCATTTCACAAAACAATGTATAGGGACGAGGAATTTCTTGGGAAATGTTCTTTTGATGAGGTTAACCCATACACTCGAGTAAATGAGTCAAATATAGAAAACTAGAGACACTTTGAACTGTATTTAGAACAGTAGCTCACATGAATCTTCTCCAGTTGGATTTCAGTAAGTATACTTTTTTCATTTCATCCCATTTTTATTTCAGAATTTCTCAGAAATGATCATTCGACTTTCAGATAGCGTATAAAAGCAAAATTCAGTATTTTCTTTTTGGAAGTAATAATATCGAAGAAAATCGCTGGTAAGTGCTATTTCGTCAATGTTTCATGAATAGTCCTGTTGTTTATTTGTTTTTGAAAATGTATGTCATATAGTTTCAGTTTGAAAACGCAAACGCAGTTCAACATATGAGTTCAATGGAGTATTATAGGGCGATTAATTCGAAAAAAATAGAGTTAAATTCACGAAGCTAATATTCTATGCATTCTTACATGGTATCCACTTTCTACTCACTAGTTAATCTCGATTATTTTCGTCGTATGATTTTAAACCAATCACCGTTCAATTGAGTCAAGCTACCTTGTATAATTCCGAATATATGTGGATATACATAGAGTAACTCCACTAATGAGAAATTTAGAATTATTTCCATAGTAACCAATTCATATTGTTACATACATACAAAGCTCGTCGTGAAATTTTGACGATTCAAGAAATAATCGCATCGAATACAATTCGAACTTCACGATATCAAGGTTATACATCTCAAACTTACTGCACAAATACAAATCGAGTCACTTTAACAAAATAGTCCTCGTGCTTCGCGCTCAGATTATTTCTTTGTAATTATGCAACACCAAGTTATCGATATATAATTACTACTGATAATTCTGGAATACTAATGACGATTCCTGAGATCCTAACGATATTTACTGAAATTCAAATGATGAGTTCTCAAATTGACTTTTCTGGGAAATATCTTTCGAATATCGATATTTTTCTGTAGATAGATTGAGTGATTCCTACCTGCCTTGGAATCCAAGCCACAGAGAGAGTCGGAAACTTGTAAATTGGCATTGTCCAATCCAGATGATCCACCAATCTGGACGTAATCATCCAATCCTCGTTTCTGGCACTGCAAAGACAAACTAATTAGTAGTGGTATCACTGGTATCGTAAACAATGTTATCCACAGTGTAATCTTAATAACAGTTTAACAAGTGGGGTACGTAGTTTTTGAAAGGTATCAGATTAGTATTGATGTAGTTTTCATTAGGTATTAGATTAGTATAGAAGTCAGATAATTTATACGACGCTATAAAAGCAGATGATATTTTATCATTGCTCATGTAAGATGAGAGTTGAGGCCATGACACCATATCATGAGCATATTTTCATATTGAAACTATCATTGGGCATCAATGATGTGTATACGACGCTATGAAAGTTCAGAGAACTGGAGATTTTTCGTACAAACTACGTACTTAGCCCGTACTTAGTTTATTGGCAAAAATAAAGACAGTAGAGTGAGCTAGGTACGTAGTTTATGGGAAAAAAATCAAGACAGTCGAGTGTGCTTTTTTTACTTTCTTTGGTTTTTTGTTTCGTTTTCTATTGGCAAGTGATTATCTAGGAACTTGTAAATTTTTTAGTTTTTTCATCGTATCTCCCGAACTATTGAATTCAGAGAAAGATGTTATAGGGATTTTTTGTAGATTCTATCAAAAGGAATAATTTTGGTTTCATAACATTTTAAGATATTTTCAGTTGTTTTCGAGATATTTGGAATTATCTGAGAATAAAATTTTCAACACTTTTGTTCTATCTTCCAATCAACAAAATGAAAAAATATTTCATGGTTCAGTGGAAGTCGATGAGCTTCATCTATCGATAATCTATGTTCTTCAATATATCTTCATAGTACCCTATAGGTCGTTAAAATTTTTTTTTTCATTTTTTTCACTTTATTTCCTGTACTATTGGGTTTACAGAAAAAATTATGGAAAATAATTTGTAGGAAATGTCCCAGTGGATAACTTTGCTCTCTTGATAATTTTCGATTTTTCCATTTGTTTTTGATATATATTGAATTGAAAGGATTTCAAATTTTGATGTTTGGATTTTCATTTGTTTTTCCATTTTCCGATGGATGTACGAAAAAATGGTTGAATAATAATTTGTTGCGTCATCAAAGAGGCATACGGTGCATTTTTCAAATTTGGATTTAGTCTATTTTTTCAGGAGATATATCGTTTAAGAGCGAACCGTGTGTTTCGGAAAATCTCCTTGAAAAATCCACTTGGAATTTTCCGACCCTGCTCAATTTCAATAGGCTTCGTCTCTTTCTGATAGAGTTTTCTTTCACAAAAAATGAAATCGATCGGACCACTTTTGCGATTTGTAGAGTGGTTACAAGAAACTTCCGGTGAAAAATCGAAAAAACCCGGAAAAACCACCTTAGAGTTTTCCGATTTCCTTCATATTTTAATGACATAATATTGTTTTGAGTACAATAAGATGGCAAAATTTCAAGTCGATATGTCAAAGGGTTCCGGAGATATATCGATTTATGATTAACACAGAGTACAGACAGACAGACAGACAGACCACACACAAAAACCAAAGTTGCTCAAAATTCGATGGGGATCATTTTCTCCAAAGCAACTATACCTCTATCTCGCTTAGTTTCCGAGATAGCATTTTTGGCACGGCCGTAGTATACTCCACTATGTATAGCGTCGTATAACAAGGATACCCTGACTCTGACATCATGTAGCATTTAGAATTTAGATGTTACAGAAATTTAAAGTCCAATCAAAATAGATGTAATTTAATTCTCTTGTACAAAACCTTTTCAACAAACTTATTCGCTGCAGAATCTGGAATGTTTTAAAATTCCTATTCGATTTGATCATAATCATTTACTCGTGTGACATAGTCTGTGATTTTCATTTGAGATTGCACGTTTTTGGCTCCTCTTGGGTATCATAATTACGATACGCCCTTCACTTTAAAACTGTAGATGAAAAATCTCATAAAACCTCCCTAAATATAAATAAACCCAGGGGACCATCAAAATGATGTGGAAGCTTTCTCATATACAAAATAACGGTCATTCAATTCAAGTTCTAAACAGGGCTAATTTCCTGAAGAAATGATTATTGGGAATATTCATTTGTCGTGTGATATCTCCGTTTGGCTATTTTTATACACTTCTGATGATGAAAAAGTGCTCTTGATACTTTTCTACCTGGACTCTCAAAACTGAAGCGAAAAAGGCATTGCTTTTTTTGACTTTAATGTGTATAATAGTTTGGTGATATTAGTACATAGTGTGAGTTGTGAACTAAAACTTGTAATTTAATTTCATGGTATGACTGCAGAACATAAAGTCAAATTCTTAACTCATTAGTGTGTCGGTTTGTAACAATTCTAATTGGACTGGTCTGAGTTTAGAACTAACTATATATCATACGGAGTGCAATTGTTGGTGAACATTTATAATAAATTGCCAAGCACATTATGATTCCGAATAGATCTCATCTTTTTTTTGCAGATAACAGAAATAGAAAATATAGCTTTGACATAAATCAATTTGATTCTCAAGAAAATAGTGGCACACAAGCGGCAATATTACAAGTAATACAAGCAATACAAAAAATTACTTGATACCGGAAATTATGTGATAGCAATTTTTGTTGATCTCAAAAAAGCTTTCGATACAGTAGACCACATAACACTTTTGGAAAATTTAGAATCAATGGGACTCAATGGGAGGCATGATAAGAAACCTTTTAGATTCGTATCTTCAAAATAGGACAATCAGTACCAAATCTACCAACTCAGAGTCTCATAGACTACCGATGACTAAAGGTGTCCCTCAAGGATCTGTTTTAGGACCAATCTTATATTTATTATATACTCAAAATATCACGAAAATTGATACAGAATGTAATTACACTATTTATGCAGACGATACGGTACTTTTATATGAAAATAAAAATCTCATCATTTTAGAAAATATAATAAACAGAGACTTGATGAAATTTGAAAAATGGCTGCATTCAAACCTCTTATCAATAAATACTGATAAAACTGAATATATGATTTTTCAACAAAAAAATAAACAAAATATAAATTTGAATCTCAGAATTGAAAATGACTTATATACACAATAAAAAAAACAGGGAGTTCCATTGAAAATATGGATTTGTGGTATTGTGTTTTTTTTTGGTTGGTGAAAAATGACGCATTTTTTTCTCGAGATCTGCGGCTCATCTACTCATGCACTACCTCAAACCGAACCTTGTGTATCGTCCCAGTCTCGAGTTCGATCCCTCGGCCCGCACTCGGTTTGATCCCTACGTTCAAGGCTGCGACCTTGACTACGGCGGGAAACAGGGTGCTGACGCTGCAATTAGCTCTCTTGCCATAGTTTCGGAGAGTGTATATGTCTTCAGTTTGGATCAGAACATTGCAAGCTGGAAATAATTGAATTTTAGGAAACTCAAAACCATATCGATACCAAAAAATTCAAGAAAGAACTCAAAAAATATTTATTCGTCTGAATTTTGTCATATTATCCATATTGAGATCATATAGCATATCAATTATTTTAATCATTCATTCACTCAAACAAGGATCTGCTCAAACTATGAGAATTACTAGAATAATTATTATACCTATAAATACTATATTTTGAATGTAATGTAATGTAATACATTATGGTTTATTTTTTTAATGTTCCCTGTTATAAACATATACGTCAATTGTTTCTTGGGAATAATAAAGATGATGATGATGATGATGATGATGATGATGATCTTCATGGTAACTCAAAATGGAGTGATGAAAACCCAAAGTAATCTCCATAACTTTCATCAGAATGATCAAAGACCAATGGTAACGGAACATGTTTCGAGCTTATATAAGCCCATCATCAGCCAATAGAAACTATCATAGTTCTAGATAAGTCCGTATTGACTTATGATATAGATGCAATAATTACTTAGTACTCACATGGAAATGAAAAAAGTAAACAAACAAATAGTATAGTTGATAACAGGGCAAACAGGGATACTTTGAAAAAAAAACGGGGGTTCGGGGGCTGTATTCTTTGCATCTCACTCTGAATGCCACTTTTAACATTTGTTTCAAAAATCACTTTCTAATAGTGATATATAATAGGTACATTTCAAAAAATGATTTTTTCCATTTCTCGATGATATTTGCATTGGTATAGACATCAGTAATTGTTTAACAGGGTACCTATACATTTGTAGCTCATTCACAACTTCATGTGATGATATTGAGAAATCATTCTTCAGTTCGGATTGAAAATCTACTATTCTGTTGATATATTTCAGGAAGCAAATTCCAATGAGAAGACGACAACTTCTTCATCAAAGAAACTAACACCGAAAACCAAATTCCCAACACATTCATGATGATGTGTACGTTATTGGTGAGTATGTAATGGAAATGTTCAGTTTACAGTTCTATGAAATGTCGTTATAAATTTCGCTTGAATGAGTTATTTACTCAAGATCATAAAACCGCTATAAAATATCTTAGATCACTGTATGACAACGATGTGGATTTAGGAGACATCCAGTTGATGTTTGCGTCAGGTTTTATGGTACCTTTTTATATAATTATAATCATTGAACCATAATATACCACGGAATGAAGTAGGTAACTAATCAGTGGGTATAAGGATAATATCAATTCCCATCGTCTCACTAATAGTATGCAGATTCAGGATCCAAATTACTATCCTATTTTTCTACCGATATTTGCATTATCTAATCCTTTCAAGAACACCTCAATTCAAATCTACGAAATAATCCTTCATTGGCCATTTATTTTCTGCAGGAATTATGCTGAATTTGACAATGAATACTGAACAGTTCCCAAACTGTTCTAACATTTTCTAGGAATACTGCAATAGTGCAGATTATTCCTCCATATTTCAGAGTTCTTAAAAGTCTGACTATGTCATTCTAAACTTGAAATGGGGGTAACACGAAAAATACAAACGTGTTTTTCTACCAAGGGGAAACTTAAAATTGGATGCATGAATTATGCTGGCGTTTACCCATGTTCCTGCTAATATTGAAAAAGTTCTATTCGGTTTTCCTGGAAAGAAGTTTTGATATTTATTCCCAAATGAGACACGATAGGATTTACTGAAATGTGGATGGCTGTGAACTGTTGAGTTTTATTGAAAGAGTTTTATTCCAAGTCTACGGATATTGCAAGTAAGATATTGATGTATGTATGACAACTTGGTTATGCTATTTTTCTAGAACAGTAGTTGCAGTATTTTTTATCACAGTGCTTTCGTAAACATCATTTTTATCGAAATTATCATTCATTTCTGAGGAATCTCCTGAAACACGATTGCTCTCGTAAAGTTTTGGATACATTAGTTTTCATCCATACCATCCATTTCTTAGAAATCTTCTAAAGCAAGAGGAATTCTCATTCTGAATTTGACACATATATGAAGGAAAATCAAATATACATGGTGATTCCCGTTTGAGTTATGACGTCCGCGACCAATTTTTCAAACGGAACACCCTATATATTATAGAATTTTTGAAATCTTTCTGAAAAGCTGGATTCAAAATGTTATCACACATATGGTTTGTATACAGGACGTCCGTTGAATTCAATGCTCTCGTATGTATCAATTGAATACGAAAATGAAATTCCTACAAAAAAGTGTTTATTTAATTTTCAACTAATTCATCAACAACTCCCGAAAATCACTTGATTTGACCGACGCACTGTATACAAACTCGATCTGTCATAGATTCTTGAATTTGGCTTCCTATGGAGATTCCAAAAATCGAATAATCCATTAGGTGTTTAATTTGAGAAAAGTGTTGCGTACGTCATAAATCAAACGTGAATCACCTCGTATATTCAGTTTTTCCTCATAAATGTGGGAAATTGAAAATAAAAGTCGACAGAAGATTTTTCAGAATTGGATAATTTGGCTGAAAATAATTTACGAAAGCACTGTATAAGAACGAAATGAAGACACGATACTTACGAGTTGGGTTTTTCACAAATTTGACGTTGAAGCTAAAACTGCTACCTCTAGCTGGCATCCTGTACTGAACCAGAGCCACATTTTGAGAGCTCACAAACACCTGTTTGACTCTTTTCTCTCCACAAAACTCACTGAATCTAGATCTCAGAGGCCTGAAGTGGTCACGTGGGCTTGGGAAGAACTCACCATTCAGTTCCCATCCATCCACTACCTGTGAGATCAGAACGTTAATTGAAGTCAGTAGATCAAATCTATTCATTTTCGTAGGTTTCATATACCTATTATTACCAGAAATCATTAGTTTAATTAGCCGTTGAACAGATCTTTCCAAGAATCTCTTCAACTCAATGACAATCACGCTTTGCGTAATTATCTTAGAACAGTATGCAATTCTTATTTTTCCTGATTGCTTCAGAGACAAAGCGATGGATACTGATATAATTGTCATTTCGATTCACCAAACATCATTCCTTTATACAGGGTGTTTCATTACTAATTGGCAATATTTCAACCATAGAATCCCGAACTCAAAATATGAAGATTTAACCCAAATCACCTAGATGAAATATGTATCCTGTCTGAGTTACAGGGTGTTTTATTCAAAAATTTTGAAATGTTTTTTGCCCAGTTCTTCAAAACTATTTGACGTATCACTTTTATATTTGGAGGGAAGTGTAGGTATTATACACCCAACTGAATTATGTGAAATGAACTTTTCTAGCTATTACCAGAGGCGTACGACAGGGGCAATTAACTGGTTGATCCCTCCCATATTCTCCGCCACTGGCGGAATTGCAATTCTATCACGAATTTCCGATTATGTAATATATCAAGAAATTTAAAACGCCCTGTAACAGCTCCCGTCTGTTATGTTTTTATGTTAATATGGATTGAAGTTTCATTTGATTGATGAATGCAGTCCATTGATCCAAAATATCGACATTATTGATATACACATCAAAATCAAAATAATTGTGCTGCTTCATGTTTAACTTGAAATTTCTCGAAAAATAATGACTTCATCGCTATGAAGAAAGAGTAGAATATTCACGAAGAAGGTATTGAAGAATCGAAAAATTCTGATTAAATTGCAATTCCGCTAGTGGCGTAGAATTTGGGAAGGATCAACCAGTCACTTGCCCCTGTCGTACGCCTCTGGTTATAGCTAGAAAAGTTCATTTCACATAATTCAGTTGGATGTATAATACCTACACTTCCCTCCAAATATAAAAGTGGTACATCAAATGGTTTTGAAGAACTGGGCAGAAAACATTTCAAAATTTTTGAATAAAACACCCTGTATCTCAGACAGGAGACATATTTTACCTAGGTGATTGGGGTAAAATCTTCATATTTTGAGTTCGGGATTTTATGCTTGTAATATTTCCAATTAGTAATGAAACACCCTGTATACCCACTTACCGATATGAGTCCACCCCTTTCACAAGGTACATTGAGATAGTTGATTCGGATTTCGATATTTTGATCGGGTTCACTGAAAATGTAAGCTCCACAAGCTTTACCGTCCACTGTACTGGCCTTGTGATAGAAGTCTCCTTCTTCTGAACTCATAAATATACATTCTGAAAAAAAAATAACCTTGATTTCTTCACGAAAATCTGGTTTCAATAAGAGAAAAAGAAGGGCTAGTGTGAATACTCAATGGCTATATATACACATCGACTTACATTACACGCTTTATAGAGGAAGCAACAAGGAAACAAATTATAAAAAGATCTCCAGAAATCTAATTCAATAGATTTTCCACCTTGGTTTTTTCACAGAACATAGGTTTGATTAAGAGAAAAAATAATGGCTATATGCAAATTGACACACAGTCTAGTGTTCTTTATGACGATAATCTTCGAACCAGAGATGCTCATACTCTCAAGATTCCTAGGGTGACTACGAATTTCTGAGTGGAGTTTTTTTGGGCATAGTGATGTGAGGAGTTCCTCAATTGGTCTTCGATTCGACAAAGATTTGTGTTCTAAAAACTGTTATCTTTCTGATATTCGTATCTTTCTTACCCGAAATCACTGTGGACTGATTATTACTGCCACCTAAGTCATGCGGACCATACTCTGAGGGTGATGAATGAAGGCTCTTATACTAGTTGGTAATATGATAAAGGAAGTAGATTCCTTCAGAGTTCAGCTCATTGTTAGGAACATAAAGTGATCCTAGGGATGCAGTTTGTAGGGCGAAGTGAATGACTTCAAAGAGAACGAATCCAATGAAAATGTTTGTAACTCCTAGGAAATCTTAAAGATACAAGGAAATTGTGTTAATAACCTTCAGTACTTCGAGCAATGATAGCAATGAGCCTGAAATAATGTGTTGGATATTCATGACGAGGAGAAGACTGCATAACTTGATGAATATCATCAGCATTTTTGAATTTAATCTTTTCATTAGCACTTCACAAATTAAATGGAAGATGCACTTTCAATTCGTCTTGAGGGTATCTTGAAATTTCATCCTGGTAGAATAAAAAGTCCACACTTCGGACCACTAACTTTCTAGAGTGTTTTTGTTAATTTTACCTCGAAGTAACATAGCGTTATTAATTATGCGGCTTCTGTACTTTGTTGTCTCAAGGAATTATAAGGGTGAGTGGAAATTGAACGTCGATACGGTAGTGGTCTTACAAATTCCATATTCATATATTCCACTGGGATTTGTTTACTTCGGCGAACCGAATTTCATGTTTATGGCTTCATTCATTTTATTGTTGATTCTATTGAACACTACTGGAATTCATTTTGCTAGATTATTTGGGATTTTCTCCTCGTTTCTATAAAATGAAAATATGAGTATTAGTTCTATATAATTACGTTTACCTAGTTAGATCAAATCAGATGATTTGCCCCAAAATATCGACAAATCGAAACTAGCTGATCATAGGAAAGGAAGATATCAACCAAAAGAGAATAATCAAGAAATCCGTTTGCATTCTTCTGAACGGAGACAATAGCATTGCTTCCTGTTCAGTTGATATAGATAGAACATATTATTCACTACTGAAAACTGAACATGAAAATGGTAGATTCAAGATCAATTAATGAGCACATCCTATAACTCTTCGTGTGTAACTCATTTGTACGCCGACATCGAAGTCTGTCACTGTAGTTCAAGACCAGAGGATACTATTTTGCATTTTTCAAGTTGCAAACGGAAGCAGATTTTTCTTTCAGGCTGTCTGGTAAACATTTTTGAAAATTTTGATTTGCTCCAATCACACATATCTTAAAATGATACTCATATTTTCATTTTATGGAAACAATGGTAGAAAATCCCAAAAATAGCAAAATGAATGTACCACCTTCTCGATCAACCACAGACAGTACTATTGGAATATTGATGAAGGTCAGTATACCGGGTCACAACTCATTCTTCAGACAAGCCATCAGTTTCCAGAGTTTCAAGGTTGATGATATTGAAATGAGGCAAGGCTATCGTATGTGAAAAACCTAAAAACCTAATTCATGCTTCCCAACCACTACCGATTTTATTAGAAACCCTCCCAACTTTGGAGTTCCGAAATGTTTGTGTTTCTTAGGATAATTATTTTAAGTAAAATCGCACATGGTTTAGGATTGAAGAATTTGCTCTTTTGATTTTTCAGACGTGACATGAAATGAATGTGTGAAAAATATGTTTTTTTCGCTAAGTCGGGTAGCTGAGGTATTTGAAATAAATGAAATATTCGACTAAATATAAAAAATTCTAGAGGTTTCACTGGAAAATTAACAAATATTTTTTTAGAATGATTTTGTTCACCATTTCTTCAAAAATGTATAGTAGGTTGCGGAACTATTGAGAAAATACACTCCTGCTCATGAATTGCGTTGTCTCAGAGACAGATTCGGCTCATTTTTCTTCAGAATGATATAAAAAGTAAGGAAGTAAAAACTATGACCTCCTGTAGTTGTATTGCTTCAGCTTGAAATTCCGATCATGTTTCGGTTAGACAAATAACGTCGGATGTATGTGCGAGAATCAATTTCCAGGAGTCTATTCATCTTTATTAATTGGATTTTCTTGTAACGCCATGGTTGTTTTTCGGTGTTCATGGCACCTTGACGAATTTATCTTGATCACTCGACAGCGTTCCACCGAATACTTCTTTTTATTCGCCCACCCAGTCGATATGAAAATCTCTAACAATTTTTCTCCTAAGATATAACAGATCTTTACTCACACTCACTAATATCAGCAAAATTTATATTTGATGTCTGATGATGACCGTTTTCTCTGTAGGCTAGTAACATTTTTTTAAATTCATATTGAGTTCAACAGATACGATTCAAATTCCTTCTAGAGTGGTGAATCAGTTTCTTTTCAGTTCAATGAACAGAATTTTAAGCGCCAAATTTGCGAAACCAAACCTTGTTGAAGTTTTCTCAAAATTGTTGTCTACCCAGATTTTATGAAGCAATAAAGTCCCAGGAGCTTCCTTATTATAATTCAAAAATTCCCGATAAACTTCTCAATTTGTGAGGAAATTATTCCTCTCGCTTAATAGGCTTCCGCGGGATTTTCTTATTTCATAAAGCACATCAAAGAAACTCGTATCCAGCATAGAAATTCACCTTGATTGGCTGAATATAGCACGCTGCTTTTCGAATCAATTATGAACATAATCATCACTCATTCTGCTAAAGGAAAATGAAGTATATTACAAGGACAATGCAGTACTTTGTATACTAATGCCAATATCCTTTCCTGTTTTAGTTAGCAGATGAATAGCATCGTTTCTAGTTATATTGAATCATAGAAACCAGATTCAAAATGATTTTTCAAGAAAAATCAACTGATTAATTCTGTATATCACAAAAATTATATTCAGAAACGCAGTGTAATAAGTTTTCGCCACTGTCCATCATCAGATACAAAGTTCAAGATGTGGAAGTACTTGAAAAAAACATGATATTGAAGGACAGTTATATAATTGAAGAAAAATTACTCATAAATAAACTTCTCAGCAAATGCAACCTAATGATAATTTGAATGTGTAAGAATAACAAAAATAGCAATGGTCGATTATGAAAACCATTAGTAATATTAATTCTATGATATTATTCTGCTAAAAAATACCATTGTGGATATGAATTTAATCCTTAGAGATTCTCCAACTTATTGTGAGATTCCTGAGCGACTAATTCGAGATAACTGCAATAAGTGGAAATTATATTTTTTCCAGCAATATTCTTGAAAATGCATGCATTTGGGAGAGAGAAAGATTGTTGGAATAAACTAGATACACACATACACACATCCATCATAACAGAAAATCTCGAATTGATTTCAGTTCTGGTTTCAGTAACGCATATTGATTTGAATAGAGATCGATTGAGAGTATTCATTCTTCAAATACTATATGATTGGAGCAAAAGGTTAAGTCCCTCCTATGTATGTTAAATGAAATTTACTGACTCACCCTGTATATGAGTGAAATTAACCACTGAGCTTTCTGGAGGTGATAGAACATTGAACAATAAGAATAGTTTGGTGAATATACTAATGGTCGAAAATGTATATTGAGGGAGATATATTTCAATGTACTATCACCTCCAGAAAGCTCGATATTCATTTTTGACTCAACCTGGTATCACTAACTATTGCCCTATTATACCTGTAATATGATGATCTTCTGTCCTCTTGCTCCTCATAGAGGTAGAGTATGCCTCCGCAGGAAACTCCCGCCTCAATTCGAATTGGTCCGTAGACGAACGTTTCGACAATATCTGGAAAGGGAATCAATTTTTCATAATCATTACCAATACCCTTCAGCAAAACGACGAACGCCTTGTCTGAAACAGGAAATTGACAATTCATTCGATAACGAAACAATTATTGGATACAGTTCATAATTCGCAATATGCATGGCTCAAAATGGGTACGATTCTTATCTACCATGGGCAAGAATAGTGACTTCTAGAAAACTACTATGACGTTCAGAAATGTTCAATCTTTCATTTCTACTAGTTAACCCTGAGAATATATTCAAAGCCATTGTTCTGTTTGAATACGACGAAAAATTCCCAGCAGAACTGTGACATGCATTATATTGGACAAACACGCCGATGCGAAGGTACAAAATTCAAAGATCATATTGCTCACCTCAATATCATATCATCGGTTTGATAAAGCAAGTGTTGCCCAGCATATTGAGAGTAGTCACTTAGGATAATTTGCGACATTCAAGCCAAGTAACAAAATAAACTCTTTTGATAACTGATAGATGGTCCATTTCTGAAGCTATTTTCTTGAATAAGGTACAATACATATATTGGAATTGAGAAAATCATTGTTGTGGCAGACAGATTCCGCTTTTAAAAATATAAGTAAGGTACTAAAACGACATATTAAATCGACGGAATGGTGAAAAAATGTGTTCGATGTTTTTCTTAGTGTCGCGGCTGTGTATAACCACTGGGAAAGGTCGGTACAATTCCCGTTATTTGACAGGTTCTGTGCTTGACTGGCATCGGAAATTCGCGGTGTAATCAAGCTCAATTTACTCATGTTATCTAATTCTATACTACTGTCAGTATGCGGATAAAATTCAAATCATTGGCAGACATGCAGACGAAATGCCTTTCACTAAAATTATTATATTGTTTAACGAGCACGGAATGATAGTCATTTTTCACGAGAATGAAGTAAGGTGGATGCTGCAAATCATACGAGCGGGAAATTATCAATCCGTGCGAGTTATAAACTATACTTTTTCTACGGCTGTAACAGATAACAGCGGAATTTTTTTATTTCTTTGGCTTGGAGCCATCTGGTTCTCTCTTATTTAATGCTCATCTATTAGACAGAGCTGTCATTGATTGACATTTCACATTTAATGGGAGATGCGATTTTGTGGAATTATAACACAATGAAGTCATTGTGATATCAGATACGGAAGTGAAAATTATGACACAAATTATAAGCAAAGTACAGAAACAACAATTGCTGATATATTTTCCAATCTAATATACAGGGTTTCATAATTGAATGCTGATCCTCAAGGGCGATAATCCTCGGATGATTTCAAAGAGAAAAGTTCATATCAACATATGTCTTGAACCTCTTAGTTATAGAGCTACAGGGTGATGAAATTTCAAGAAAAAAATGAGTTTTTCATCATAATTTTTTATCACTAGATATTGTTCTGATATTTTGTATACACCTTTTCATTATTAAGGAGCATTTTTTTAAGTGAAAGATATTTGAAAATTCTCACCAGTGGCGTCCGTAGGGGGTTTGAACTGACAATTTTTGAAGAAAAAAATAGTACGTCACTGATTTTTCTGAGAACCAGAATTTTTTTTCAATTCTTATTCATTTTGGAGCAAATTTGGTTCCTAGACTCTCTTTCATACAACGTACCGTTTTCACGTAAAAACATAAAAACCAAAGAATTTTGTTCCTTCAGTTCTTGGATATTGTTTTTGGTAATTCAGTAGACACCCACTATAAGTGGAAACACATTTTGTTTTGGGACGAAGATCAAACTCCTACTTTTACCAGTGATGTCCTCGTAGACCTGATATTGAATGTTTTGTTCAAAAAAACGCTGTACGCTTCTGTTTTCAACACCCTGTAGCTCAAAAACTAAGAGGTTCAGGACATATGTTGATATGAACTTCTCTCTCTCCTTAAAATCATCCAAGGATCATCGCCCTTTAGGATCAGCATTCAATTATGAAACACCCTGTATAGTTTTGGCATCATTTGAAATGAGAAATGGAACTACAGAAGAGCTGAAGATATTTCAAATTATATATCATTTGACAGAATTTCAATTCGGCAGTATAGCCTTGGAGACATTTTGGTTCAATTCTTGTATTTTTTCAGGGCGGCATTATTGAGATTGAGATATTATGCAGATTATTGATTTAGGGCACCAAGAGACGCTCCTGATTCCAATTCTAATAAAATTGTGAATATCGATTAGCTGCAAATTGATGTCGGTGAGATATCAATGGTCTTTATTGTATATTTAATACGGCAATCATCTGTTGAATGGATCGGAGTCCCCTTATAACGATCCCTTAAATATTTTTCGATCTCAAATCTAATAGCACACACAGCAGCGTTGTTCGGATCATGAGAATCTGAAAACATTGTGAGTGACAAAACCCGATATCAGGGCAATCTTTGAAATTCGATATTAGCCGTATCAAATTCTGGGCACTCTTCTAAGAGTAGGCGAAGCTGCAATTTTCATCTGATAGTGGAACAAAAGTGCTGTTGATCTTTTTTGTAGTTGCTATCAGAATCGATATAAAATATGTTTTCTTTTTTCTTTCAAACGTGTTTTATTCCATGAATATAACTTGGGATGTGCTTTTTGATGAGCTTTAAATTTGCTGCAATTTTCAGACTTGATTTAATGTATCTGATATTTATGTAGGTCTATAACCTTGTTCCACATTTTCGGAATCATGGATATCGCATTCGCATGTCTGAAATGGACTCTACCATTACCTACCTATATAGGTAATATATTGTCTTTTCATACATAGTGGCCTAATGATTTAAGGAGAATGCTTGAAAGATTTTTTCATGAACTCATTCAAAGTCATATTTAATTTCAACAAAATATCGTTCGATTTATTCAATTTCTAACAGGTTTGTTTAAACAAGTATTCAGTCAGTCTAATGAAATAAATCAAGATTTCATCCAATCAACGTATTGTTGGGATCAAAATAAGACTTTTTCTTCATATATAAACATAATAATAAAACTGAGGACGCTCCTACATCAAATTTAAAATCATCCTGAATATATATATGTATCTACAGGGTGTCCCGGAATTATATGGAAAGATTTTGACCACAGATTCTACAAATAAAAATAGTGAAAATAGTTCATATAAACATGGGTCCTGAAATGGTCCCCTGGGAAGTTATAGCTATCCAATGGGGGGCCAGAGGTTGGTGGTTTCATGTGAATATTCTCGAAACCCTCTCTGATGAAATAATCATATACATATATATCTCACTTGCTATGCCCGATTTGGAAATGTTAGGAATTATCCGATATTCTGATCAGAGGAGTGTGAAATAGTTGAAGCTAGGGGCACTTTCTCCCAATTTTTTGGTAATGCTATTTTCAGCAGTTTGACTAGGAAATATGAAAATATCATCATTTTTACATAAGAATGGTACTCTTGTTTAGTTTCGATATAGCACCATTTCCGAAATAATTCGATTTTAAAAGTCTGCTGCGTAGTAAAAAATTTTTTTTCTTAATAGATACCTACCATATAATTTTTCAATTTATTATTTTTATTGTACCCCCTTTATTTCCAATCAAACATCAAAAGTGCATGTTGAACCGTCATTGGGAATATTCAGTACCCTATTAGGAAAATATACCACTATTTTTAGCACGCAGCTGTATTTTAAAATTTATTTATCTAGAAAATGATAAATGCTATGAAAACTAAAGAAGAGTACCACTTTCAAGTAAAATTGTTGAGGTTTCAATATTTTCTGGTAAAACTGCCAAAATTGCATAATCAAAAAATTTTTGAGAAAAAGGGCCTCGCCTATTTCTCACGCCTCTAATCAAAATTTCAGAAAAATCTCAATATATCCAAATCGGGCATAAAAAGTAAGGTATAAGTACAGGGCGATTCACCATAGTGTACTTCCCTCAAGCTCAGTTATTTTTGAACCGATACCAAAATTCCATCAATTATTTGAAATCATTTTTCATAAATTCTTTTTCCGCTACATCAGAATACACAGGGTGCTCGGAACTAACGATCTACACGGTACTAGTAGATTTTTTTAAATTGAACACCCTGTATTTCATTTTATTTTTTTATTCTCCCTGAAGAGCTGTTTTCATCAATGTATCACACTTGGGGGTCTAGCGAAAATGATCACAGATATATAGGGTGTTCAAAATCGAGAATTTTCATCTTTAGGATTATTTTGTGTCGAAAATATTCATTCACATGACTGTCTCTATATCAATTCCTCATTTATTCTGTACCGACATTCAATTGGAACAGATATAGCAGGGGATGATCAGAATTCTGAATCCTGAACCACCTTGCGTTTGATCCAATCAAATGTCAGTAGATAGTGAATAGAAAGTTGAGATAGGGACATGAAAGCCGTTTCGACCGATAATGAATAGGTTCGACACTAAAAAATCGTTCCGATTTTGAACATCCTATATCTCTGTAACCATTCAAATCAGCTCCTCAGGGAGAATCAAAGAGTGCGATGAAATACAAAGTGTTCCATTGGAAAAAATCAACTAGCACCCAGAAGATTGTTTGTTCCGAGTACCCTGTAAAAAAATTATGAGAAATCGTTTCAAATGGTTGTTAAAATTTTTAAATCGGTTCAAAAATACCTGAGCTAGAGGAAGGGTTATGTATGGTGAATCACCCTGTACATACAAAATGTGGGTATTTTATCACAGAAGGTTTCGAAAAGATTGTCACGAGTAGAACATACGGTATATTGGTAATTTCGAACCATGAGGGTTTTATAAACATACAGGTAATCAAATCATCCATTGACATTGAATTATTTTTTTTATGTCGTGTTTCAATAATCTGTGGTTGAAATCCCTCTATGCAATTTCGGGTCACCCTGTATACAGTTCCATCGAAAACTCACCCTCGGTCTGCCCACCGTGACCCCGCTGGCCTCGCCAACGGTCCCCGTCGCTTCCAGGGGTCCTCCTGCGGCCAGCTCGCCTACCAGACTCGACACCAACAGAGCGCCCAAGACGAGACCGCTCATGCTAACGGATGAGGCGTCGCGACGCGTTATGGGAGAGCGGCGAGCGATGCCGTCGGTTTTATACGCAAAAACGGCCCTTGCGCCAATATACCACCGTGCAGTGTCTTCTGGTCGGTTGTTCCTCTGGAGATGGAGCGTTTTGCGTAGGTGTCGAAGATTGTTCAAGAACGAATTTCTCACAACATAAAATGTATGTTTGCGTATTCACTGCACTATGAGGTAAAACAGTCTTCTTCCTGATGAGATAATATATTGTCCTTCTATTTTTCGAAGATGTAACAGCCCTTGTTCCAAGATCACCGTGTTGTCTTCTCTTTTCGTTGTTTTTTCCTTCGGATATGGAACGGCTGTCAGTAGGATTCTTAAAAAAAATTGGTGTCACATATTCAATGATTTCAATGTTCTTCTGTTCGTATTCAACAGTCCCGCTTGTTTTTCATGTTGGGTTCTCCGGTTATGATGTATATCTCCTTTTGATGGTGATTTATTTATGAAATAATGGAGAAGCCATATAGTCCAATAAATAAAGGGAAAAAGTTAACATTAATTACGCACTATTTTCATCTTCCGGTTGGAAGTAGCTTTTGGTACCTCATTAAACTTGAGACAAAGTTTGACTGGAAAACGCGTGCGATGGCGGAGAAAATGGCTCCAAAAGACCAGAAAGATAGGTTTTCAGCCAATATCTCCTAAAATATGGCAGTTAGAGATTTTCGGTTCAGATAAAAATTGAAGTTCAGTTAATTTTCTACAAAAATGGTCCTTATCATTTTTCTCGAAAATTTGCCCGTTTTCGAGAAAAACGGCACGAAGCGCACCTCGAATAATGAGCTTCTGTGTTGTATGCCTTTCACATGAACTCTGAATCATGAGAAAATATGCATTTTTAACAAAGTTATTGAATAATTTGTCCCCCCGCCGATGTGTAAATACACCATCCAGTGACTCTAGTCCTTACTACACATATATTAAAATATTACTCATATTTTTATTTTATAGAAACGAGGAGAGAAAATCCCAAATAATCAAGTGGAATAAATAATAATTTGAATTCGAAACAATATCCAGTTGCAAACTCTTCTAAACTCATCAACTTACAGTATACAGTGTCATTTATAAAGTTGGCATCATATGGGAAACAATTTCAATAATTTGCTTCAAAAAAGATGGAAAATGACCTAATCGGTCGGAGTAAAGTTATTTGATGATATATTCTGATAAACGACTATGGCATCATTTTAGTACTGGAAAAAATCAATTCTAATAAAATTTCCTCCTGAATGCTAGACGATACACCCGATATAATTACTCCATTCGACGACTTTCAATTCAACATATCGTATAATTTTTCACTCACAATTACCTCAATATCCGTATGCGTATCGTTAACACCGATATAATGTTATTCGAATGGATTTATATCCGGATTCTGCGAAGAATATGGCCAAGATCTATCAAACGTTTGGCATCCATCCTTTTGATACGCGCTGTCAAGGAGAACTTTAGAGGCTGAAACGGCTTCATTGATGGCCGTCATCTTGAATTCTCTTATCTTTCAGCAGAATTTGAGTCGAACAAACTCGGCACTGGATATTCGCGGGTTTCCTTTTAGTTCCGAAAACGTTGAACTCGTCAGGCTCGAGTCTGTCTGTCACTCTATCAATTAGCACTGTTTCCCTTCGGCATTCTTCTAGTGCACGGATGGGATGTTCGTTTGATTCGATTATTTGTCACTCACAGAAAGGCCAGTCACCTGCAACAAAGGATAAGTATCTATTCGAGGACCAAATATTTCCCTATCCCAAACTGGGGTTATAAACTCGGAAATATCGGGAGACAACGATATACAGTGTGTTACAATTTGGTCCACCCCACCACTGTACTTTAGTATTCCTATGAAAAAGATCTAACTGTTGCATTTGCATCTACAATAATTCGCCTCGTGCCTATATTGTTGTTGGGAAATAGAACTAGTCTACGCACAGGCCTTGCCTCCTGTAGACTTACAATTTATTCACCCCTAAATCTTCAACTATATGAATACTCAGTGTTAAGTCTTGTACTTACAAGGATTTCTGTTATCTTTTTCACCATGCATAAACTGTATCTCTTTATTGGATGTATATGTGAATAAATTATTATTATTATTATTATCATTCCTAAGGGGATTTGATTTTTTTTCTCTCATAATGAACTACTCAAAATTACTTACTTTCTCGAGCAGAAAAAAATTATTTGGCCTACTGCGGTCACAAAAACTTCAGCAAAATTGAAGGAAAAGGATTAGGCATTTTTTTTAAATTGGTACTGGCAATCGATTCGGACTAGTCACAAATACTCCTTTATCAATTTTCAAAACATTATCTCATAAGGGGTGTTTTTTATCAACGTTCACCCTGTATAATAATTCTTATATGAATTTCAATGTTACCAGTCATGATAGTAAACAGGATCATCTGTCTACAGAGCGAAAAAATAACGAATAAAATCACTATAAATTTATATTTTCTATCAAGAAATGAAAAGAAGAAAAAAAAAACTGAATAATACCAATGAAAAAATAACATAAAGAAAAAAGGAAAAACTAAAACAGCAACCATTCCTAACAAATTCAAATTTTTGTATTCTCGATCAAATCTCCTTCATTTTCTGTACCTACACTTTTCATATCTCTTCCACACAAAAATGTTTAAAAAATATGGAATTGAAATGTATTTGAGTGATGATTTTTTTAAGAAATAAAAAAAATATTTCACTCGCCTTTTGACTACCTTTTCCAGGTTTACTAAGAATGGACCTTGGTAAAGAATTGTGAATGCTGTAGATATTTTTACACCATTAGATGAAGCGAAAAAATCACTAGTGTGCATTTGGTTTTGAAATGACTTCGCATAATACATTGAATATGGCGACCTAATGATGTCATCGATCAAATTGTCGAGCAACCCGATAAAGTAGCAAATAAAGGAAGGAATTTTGAATCATCGCCAATCAGAATTTCTTTTACTCACTTCATAAAATTTTAATATTTCTCATGTTGTTCTTTTTCAATTTTAAATGGGAAATGCTATTGAAAAGTCTTTATAAATCATATTGAAACATGTAAATTAATATATTAGTATAAGTCAGTAGGTCTACATATACATGCTTGACATATCACTTGTATAAAATTATCTTTGATATCTTCAAATTTCATCCATGTCTTTATCTCATTGAACTCGAGGAATACCTCTATTGAATTTTCTTTTTCAATTTAAGGATTCAAGGGTATTCGAATTCGTTTGCACTCTCCACACTTCTGTATCATATAACATAAAGCTACCTATTCGTGAAACTGATATGTACGTTTTCCATTAACTCGATTGTAGAAATGATGAAAAAGTGCTCTTAGTTAAGAAACAATAATGCTCCTTCACCAGAATTGCAATTTTATACAACTGAAGCGCCTCAAATTCAGAGGACCTCGCTACAAATATTATTATTATGTTCTGAATAAACAATAAATACTGAATGAGGAAGATAATAGGGAGATTGTTGGTTAATCTCTTGGAGCGCACGAAAGAGAATCTCTATATTGTTCGAAGAACATCGTGCATACCTCGGGAGGATAGGGAGAACAGGTAGGTATCGGATTTTTTTTTAACTTCTGAAGATTACAAATTCTCGGAAAGATTATCAATCAATCGGTAATGATATGGCTGTAAAACATGAATTTATCCAATTCATCTATACTTATACATAAAAAATTACTTACCATGTAAAATTATTGCTCATAGCAAAATTTGAGATTTGCAAATTTGCAACTGAAAGACTCCGATGTCATCGAGATATTTTCACGAAACTTCACCTTTTTCAAAAGTTTTTCGAATTCTTTTCCTTATGCGAACACACTTCAACTCGCTGCACTCACAACAACATATTTCCTTATTTTCAACATGTTATCTCGTTATCTGTTATCTGAACAAAGTAGAAAAGCCTATTTGTCGTGAACTCTGGTAATTTGTATTCAAACAAACGTATTTTCTCTTAAATACTATCTTAATCGAACCGTCAAGTGTTGAAGCTTGATTAAATACAACAGCAGTAAACATTTCGTCGGTTACATTATTCTCACAATGAAAGATACGAAAATGTATATTTCTATGTGTTTCTTTTCACGTGCTTTTTTTTCTATCAATATATCAATATACTTCAACTGTTGCTATGTAATCATGTCAGGAAGCCTCACGTCATGGTCATGCTTTCTTATTGTCCAATCGGTTGCAAAGATATTCCGGTTTCATATGAATTTTTTTGAAAGCGTAGTTCATCGATATGATTGGGGTTTGACAGATGTGAAAGAAATATCTTGAATTCATAGCGTGAATGAAAAATAATCATGGCTATTATTTTGATTAGAATTGACAGGAAGTGCTTTCATACTGACAATAGGTTCATATTTCAGTTTCACAGAACGATAATGATTGAAATATATTACATTTACATTGCTAGGATAATAATATTGTTATGATCATAACATATAACAATCTTGCTATGAAGTTCTGTATTCTGTTCGCAATGTAACTGCAAGACTTTAAGTCTTTAAGACTGTTAAGTTCAAGTGATAGCAATATTGTTGAAAAATTGAGAATTTTTGAGCTGACAACACTCTTTTCAACTCATTGTTTAAGTGTTAGGTATCGATTTCGCCATTATTTCATGAAAGAGAAGAGTTCATGATTATCTAACCTCTCAAATTAGTCAGTCCTGCTGACATTTTACAAAATTATATTGTTCAAATCGAGAGATTTTGTATTAGCTGAATCTGGTCATCGTTGTGCGACTGGTGCAAGTAATCAATCATGTTCCCGAAATGAGAAAACAACTAAAAGCCGGATGAAACAAATCGTGATTTTTTTTAATATTCTAGCAGAATAGCTTGATAAACTATCCATCAGGCAACTGAAATTTCTTTGATATGCCGAAATTGTAGTCTCATATTTCCTCTACAAATTGGAACTTCAAGAAAAGGTTTTCAAGTAGTTGGTCACGGTAGTGAACCTATCCTATATGTTTGTAATCAATAATTCTTCTATACGAATTGAAACTTTGAGGAAAGGTTTTCGAGTACTCAGTGACCCAACTGAACTCTCATATGTTTTCAATCCACTATTTTCTGAATTTTTATACAGTTGGAAGAGTGCAAAAACAAAGAATCCACTACCTTGTTATAAGATAGCAAGCACGAAATTGATGTTGCCGAGATAGCAAGAAAGCTGACCAGATGTCATTGAAATTGACAGATCATTTTGCCAAAAATCGATGATTAGAATTCCACTTTTTCGAATCTTGCTATGATAGCAATATCTTCTCTACAACCATATTGCTATTTGCAAACAGAGTCGACCCGATTGTCGGCTTCTAATGGTGAAAGATTTTTTCAAATCGGTCCAGTAGTTTCGCATCCTATTGAATACAAACAAACAATCAAAGTTTTCCTCTTTATAATATTAATAAAGAATACCTACTCGAACCTATCATATAACAATAAATAAATGAATAAATAAGAAAATAAATAAATGCATAGCTATGGAAATGATTGAATAAATATGTGAAGCACGATCAGTTTCATCTCGTCTGGATATCATGCAAAAGGTCCTTTCTAGGATGCAGAGCGTCCGCATATCCTTCCACATTACCATAATTCTGTAGTCCGTATCCGTCTTGCTGCCACTGTCTGTCGTAATTCCCTGAAAATTACACATTCTCTCAGATATCGACGAAAATCGAGTAAACCGATTCAACAGTTGCCTATCGAGACTCGAGAGATCAGCAAAATATACGCACATACGGTGTCCCAAAGAAAAGTAACACAATCAGTTTGCGCAGAAGAAATAAAATAATAATCAAATTAGAAACTAATTGCTTGGCCCACTGATGCCCAAAAATTATATTAACATTCGGTATCCTCTATTGCAGAGGAAGCCAAAAATCCTGTAGAACTTCAAGCTAGATTGAATGCTGTGGCACATCTATTCACTACATGGTGTGAACGTAACAAATTAATAGTGAACGCCGAAAAAACGGTATTGTTACAGTTTTTTGAAAAAAAAACAGAAAGATCATATCTCAATGAAAGTTAACCCGCGAGGGACCGAAAAATACCCCAGGCGATATCAAATTACGATTTTTTTGCTTAATCTGCACGGCACTGAAAAATCACGCCAGCTCAGTTGCTAAATATGAACAATTAACAAATTTTTGCATGTGTTTCGTCAGTAGTTCTGCACACATCGTACGAAACAGTTGAATTCGAGGTTGAATTGTTCCTGGGGTATTTCCATACCCAACGCGGAAGAGACTTGAAATCTTCTATATCTGAATTCGTGTCTGTACAAATAGAAATTCAACCTCAAAGCGAGCATCCTGCAATGGTAGTCAAATATTCATATTATCCAGAAGAAAAAAAATTGAGAAGCAATTAAAAAAGGGGACGTGCATATATTATTTTTTCGTTCATTGAAATTCATTATTCAATTTAAGTTTATCAATCAAATTAAGTTTGTTTTTTATTATTGTTGTTTGTTTCTTTCATTATTGTTATAAATAATGGAATTCCACATCGGACAACGGTTTTTTTCGTCTGAAAGTCCTGAAATTCAATCACAACCAATGGGGTAGATTATACTACCCCAGGCGGTCCACGTTTACGTTTTCATTGGTGCGGTCCCTCGCGGGTTAATTTCAATGATACCACCATTGAACCCTCAGAAAGAAGCAAGATTTTAGGAATACATTTGGATGAAGCACTATGCTGGAAATACCAAATCAATCATGTGTGCAAAAAATTATCAAGTGGGTATTTCGCATTATTTCAGTTAAAAAAAACAACTCGACCAAACAACCCTGATCAACGTATACGCTATCATGAATTCACACATTACGTATAATATTATCCTACGGGGAGGAGCCACTGAAATAAATAGAGTATTAGCGCAGAAAAGGGCGATTAGACTTATATACAACTTGAAAAGAACAGACTCATGTAAATCATACTTCAAAAAACATTCATGATTTACTGTTCCTTGTAATGAAGTTTTTAATCAGGAATTGTGACAATCACCGTTACCAAACAAGGCATGGTAAAAAAATAATTATCCCGATACATTCGACTAGCCTATATGAAAAAACTCCTCTAGCTGGAACGAAATTATTCAATAATTTACCATCTGAGCTGAAAGATATACAATCATACAACCTCTTCAAGAAGAAAGTCAGAGAATTTTTGATACTGCATAGTTTTTACTCTCTGAATACCTCAGTTATGAGTGAACTGGGAGTACAGTCAGAGATAAGATGTCTGGTAACTCATCTCTGGTACAGTTTTCGATTTTTGATTCTTAATATTTAATTCTTAACTTTCTGTATTTGAATGTTTCGATTTTTAATTTTTGATATTTAATTCTTAACATTCTGTATTCAAATGTCCTGAATGTATTTTGTTTGTGATTCTTCTATGAATGTTATGATTGTTTATTCTTGATATGTAGGTTTTTGCGATTTACTCTCAGTTTTTTTTATACTTCTTGACTGACATGTCCTATCTCATGTATGTGAACACAATGGATGAATAAATATTCCATTCTATTCTATTCTATAACATATTTTAGAACTATAGTTGGAGAACCAAAATATTTCGCAGGATTTTGTCACTATCCCCTGGTCTATACCAGGTACTTAAACTTCAGTGGCCTGAAAATGTTGTCTTCTCCATCACATATTTTAGAACTATAGTTGGAGAACCAAAATATTTCGCAGGATTTTGTCACTATCCCCTGGTCTATACCAGGTACTTAAACTTCAGTGGCCTGAAAATTTTGTCTCCTCCATCCATTAATTACATCATTATCGACGAAATGTCATCGAACGTAATATTAGGGATACATAACTAAGACAAACGTACTTTCTCGATATGAAATAACTGTTTTTGCATAAGAGTTAATTGTTCATGATAATCTTGAAGAGGAAGAAATGTCATCGCAAATACCTATTAATTATACTCTTGGGCTGTAGTTGTATCTTGAATTTGAAAATGTTCCATTGGGTTCCCCCTCATTTCATTAATACCAATTATAATTCCATCTTCCACCGTTCATTGTCCTTGAATAGTTCATTAGCTTTTCATATACAGGGTGTTTCTTAAGTACGTGTAGAAAATTCAGGAGCATGTTGCACGACAGAGACAAAATAACATAAAATTTGATACTGTCATTAAAAAATACTTCTAGATACCAAAGTTCATTCCAATATCTCGATTATTTTGAAATTTATCAACAAAAAACAAAAATAAGACTTCAACTTTGACACTCTGTATCTCAGAAACGGATAACTTTCGGACCTATGTTTATACGAACTTTTCTTCTTATTTTGACGTCAGAAACATGCTCCTGAATTTTCTACACGTACTTAAGCAACACCTTGTATATCACCAAGACATATAGGAGTTAGAAACATGAACTTTGTTATAGTTCTCAAGATCTCATTGTTTTTTCTAATGTTGCTTCTAAGATTTCTCTTTGTTTCCTATTATTCTCTATTGTTGTCCATCCTTGATCAGTGTTTTCTATTGTTTCTTATTATTTCCTATTGTTTCCTAGTATTTTCTATTATTTTTTATCGTCTTTTATTATTTTATATTGCTCTTTATTGTTTTTCATTGTTTTCTATTGTTTTACATTATTCTAAACATCGTATTTAATGATAGTTCAATTCTCTCTATCCAACCCCTCGATATCGACAGAAAAAAATATGTATCAAACATGAACTCCAAAATATGCCCCTTACATTACTCACGCTTCGTTTGTTCAAGTTACTCATTGTTTTTTTCTATCGTTCACTGTGGTTTTTCAGAATTTCACATTGTTTCCCATTGATTTCTATTATTTTCGATTGATTTTTATTGTTTGCTATTTTTTCCTATTGATTTCTATTGTTCTGTTTCCTTTTGTTTTCTATTGTTCTTCATCGTTTTATATTGTATTTCATTTGATTATATTGTTTCCTATTGTTTTCTATCGTGTTCCATTGTTTTTGTTGTTTTCTATTGTTTTCAATTGGTTTCTATTGTTTTCTATTGTTTTATATTGTTTTCTATCGTTTTCTATTGTTTTCTATTATTGTTTAATGGTGTTTTATTGTTTTTTATTGTTTTTTATCGTTTCCTCTCATTTTCCATCGTTTTCTATTGTTTTCAATCAGTTCAATATTGTATAACACATCGCATCTTATGATATTCCAGTTCTCACCATCCAACCCCTCGATATCGACAAAAAAAGAGATGTCCCTAGAATCCCTATAATCGTAGGGATCCGCACAATATCCCCCTTCGAACTTCTTACATGGTCCTCCAGGTCCGTACGAGTAGAGGCCGTAGTTGAGGTTGGAGGTCGCTATTTTCTTGAGACCCTGGATGGAGGCGAGGATCAGCGCCATCTTGGAAAGGAGAAGAGCTTTCCCGCCGAGAATGGCTAAGAATTGGAAGCCCATGGGGATGACTATGAGGCTGGCTACTATCACTCCGAACATCAGCATCTGGTTGAACATGTTCTTTCGTCGTCCTCTTGCTGGAAATAAGTCCTGATGATTTTTCGATGTATGATAAATTGATATTCATCATACAGGACGTGAAAAGAAATTCTGAATTGAGAAAAACCCTAATCACGAATCTGCGATTGAAACTATGAAAATAACAAGTATCCATTCTTCAAGTTTTATCCCCTTGGTTGGGTGAAAGTATTGAAAGGGAATATTCTCAAATATATTTATGAACACAAAAAAATGGATATATGTAAAGAAATACATTGAGAACTCGCATTCTCCATGTGATGGAAATATCAATTCTTTCTCGATTTATTCAACAGAAAACAACTACTTTCCTGGCTAGATGCCACGACCAATATTGAATTACATCTATTGAACACACACGATAAGAATTTGAGAAGAAAATCTTCTGAAATAGAGAATTTGCATTTAGTAGAGGTTCAATCGGTCGATTTTGAAGGTTCGCGGGATTTGGATGATTGAATGTAGCGACTTATCACATCTCGGAGAGGGGTCCCTGGACAATATGAATCCACTTGTTGGACATCTCAGATACGCGTCATTCGCCCCCTGCACCCCCTTCAAGGGTGAAATTTTCAAACGCCAATATCTGCGTTATTAATGAAGTTACAGAAGTGGAAAAAATATCAAAATACTTGGAAATAAATTGCCTATAAAAACTTATTCGATGGTTTGTAGCAATTTCTGTATTCTTACAGAGATATTTTGAAAGAATCGTGAAAAAATATGTTTGACATCTCATTTATTTCAAATAACTCGAAAATAAAAGAATTCTCAGCAAAAATACACCTATAAATAATGATTCATCATACTCTTAGCTATAGTTTGATATATATATTTATATATACTAGTGATTTAGAAACAAACACTGTGGTTCAATTCTTCATAGGGTTTCAGTCAAAATTTTAGGCATCAAATAAGTGAACTCTTCGTTATTTAGCCGAGCTTTCGGAAATGTTTATTTCCTTTTTCAAGACATCTATAAGAAAAATGGTATGCATAAAAAACAACATCAAACTCATATGAAACTAAGTACTTACTTAACATGAGATTGGTTCAAAGTTGGAACAATTAAAGAACAGACGATTCATTGAATCATCATTCAGTCTGCTCAGAGATCTGCAAGGTTTTACCAGAGCGAAAGGTCGTGTTTATTGAACATTTATAGAGAATCGCTAAAAAATGACTTCGTTTCTTGAAATTAACTACTCTTTGTGCTCCATTTGTCAGCAGGATACTGAAGAGAAATTAGTTAAAAATCCTACTGGATATGGGAAATTATTTGAGTGCATGAAATCAAGGAATGAGTTCAGAGACCCTGCTCATATACACTTGAAACATATAATAACTACAATTACTGCACAAAATTTGGAAGATAATTCGACAACTTGGTATAGAACGTGTTACAGTAAAATTACCCATACAAAAGAAATCACGCGAATACAAGAACTGTTATCCACTGAATCAAGCTCCAGCATCAGGGAAACCAACATCATATTGAGATCAAAAATCTCTAAGAGAGATAAAAATGCTTGTTTCTTTTGTGAAAAGTATGCTACCAAGAAATCGAATTTATTAACTGTTATGACCGATGATGCTGGCAAAAGAATGCGTGATGCAGTTCTCTTAGGAAATAACGAAGAACTCAAAATAAAATTGTCGAAATTCATTTCTGAGAATGATGCACACGCTTATGATATTAAATATCGTTCATCGTGCTGGACAACAAATGTTGTAAATATTCTTAGAAAACAGGAAAATAAATCTTGCCATGAATTTTATGATTAATTAGTTGCCTCAGAAGTAGAGTTGCTCAGTAGATTGAGAATTACTTTATTTTCTGGATCAATAACCAATATGGAGGAAGTAGAAAATCTTTATAACGGAATCTGCACAAGCAAGGACCTACCTGAACAAATCAGAAAAACCAGAAAATATCTGAAAAACTGTATTATAGATGAATTTCAGGATGACGTATATTATGCATGACATGCATTGTCTGGTTGTGACCTCGGTTGTGACAGTACAGGAGGATTTTAAAAAAAGGTTCGCTTTGCATCCATTGCATAATCTTAAAAATCTGAATTGGATCTCCAAATGCTATACAATCAAGAATTTGAAATAAATATCTTTCTCTCTTAAAAATATAAAATTTTCAGGTAAACTGTCCTTCTGGAATAATTTTAAGATCGCCAATGAAGACACTCTGAAGGCATTGATTTCCCTTGGCAACAGTGATATATCGGAATTAATGAGATAACATGGATGACATTGATAAATTTCTCTGCCAAGTAATGAGTAGTTAATTATTTTATGCATGTTCTAATAACTTATATATTTCAAGTTTTTTGTTCCAACGACGAAAAGATTGAAAGTTTTCTTCGTAAACTTGTATTTTCTTGATTTACACCTTGAAATCCAGAGTACACATTGGTTCCTTTTATTAAAAAAAAAACATTCTCTTCGAATTATTTTTGTCGAAAATGTAACCACTATCACAGTTAAAAGAATATACAATATATCCACTATGATATCTGCATGTCCTAGGGAAAATATATCATTTCAAATGTTGACCTGTAGTGCACCACTAACATACCACTATAATTTAAAATCCATTTTCTCTATTGAGGTAATTCAGAAATATCGATATGGATATACCAAATTATAGCTGAAAGTATATTGAATCTTTTATTATTGAGGAAGTTTTATTGAAAATCCTCTATTTTTCGAGTTATAAGAAAAATTAAATGTAAAATATATGTTTTTTTTTCATATTTTTCAAATATCTCAACAAATATAGAGAAATTGATAGAGACCATGAAGGAAGTTTTTGTAGGCAATTCATTTCCAAGTATTTTGATCCTTTTTTCATCTCCGTAACATGATTAATAACGGAGATACAGGTATTTGAAAATTTCACCCTTGAAGGGGGTGCAGGGGGTGAATGACGCGTATCTGGGATGTCCAACAAGTGGATTCATGAATGTTAGGGACCCCTTTAAAATGTGTAATGGATCGCTATATTCAATCATTAAAATGCCGCGAAAAACCGATTGAACCTCTACTAATTCTTCTTCATATGAAGATATGCATTCTGAATATTTAACAGGAAACAACTACTTGCCTGGCTATTTGCCACGTCGAACATTGAATTATATCTGTTGGATATTCAAAAAGAGAGCATGAAAAATCAAAATCCTCTGAAATTGAGAATTGACATTATCTCTCATACTGTATGTGACGTATGTTATCATATCGCAAGATTCCTGCGATCAATTGGGAAAAAACATATCAAACAGCTAATTTGCCATGCCTCTGCTTGCTTGTGTAGGTATTTACTTCTAGAGAGTCTTTCAATTTCTTTGTTCAATCACCCAATACGAATATCTGTGGAAAATGAAGAAAAGTTGAATATTTCATCATTATTTTTTTCATATTGAATAGCGGATACTCTGGTACAGTTTTCTTTCCATCATTTGAATAGATGCCTGTTGAATGGAAAGTTAGTTAGTTAGGCTCATATTCAACTTGAAAAGAGCAGCCTCATGTGAACAATACTTCAAGAAACATTATTAATTGATCGTTCCATGCATATATTCACAGCTGTGTGTGCTATATTCAGTAGTAATACTATGAGTACCCCAAAATATTGTGTCAGCTTAACAGATGAAATAATCCGACCGCGAGGCGGGATTATTATTATGATTATTATTCGCCAGCGGTTATGGTGAATCACTAATGTTTGAGATACTCCACCATTTTGTTTTTTTCAATTATGGAATTTTCAAATATTACACTGATTACTATAGCCTTTCAGCTACAAAGTGACGTCAAGAAATTCAAATTCGATTGAAACATGATGATGAATACCTGCTCGTTCATGAGCTTGTTAAAAGATGATGTGAACCAGAACAGATCATTCGTGATTGATCTCGAATAAGGGAACTTTTTTATCAATATGATATTTCAGTTTTCAGAACTTACCTTCTTCCAAGACTCCGTCGAATTTTTTCAGATGTATTTTCAAGACATGGGTTCGCAGCAGTCGTTCAACGCCCTGTATAACATTAGTTTTCCAATCAACTTCTTCGTCAAATGGTTCGTTCCTCCTCCTCTTTCCAAGATATCTTCAACAAAAATACATCGATGCATAAAAAATCTTAAATATACTTTTTCTGAATTTGACATGTAGTCAAACGGGGTTAAATGAAGCATAGTGGGTGAGATGATTCAGTCGGATGTTTCAGTACAATGTTCTTAGATCACAAAACTGCAAGATTGAAACGTTTTCGCGTCCCAGTCGTCTAATAATATAATTTTGTTTCCTTACATGCTCTAAATATGTTTGATACTTCACTGAACATACATTTGATAACATTTTTGTTTGAAATCAAATTTCACTCTTTTTTTTACTTTGAAGTGGTCACTATTATGGGTAAAATGAATCAATTCAACTTCTATGAAAGTGGGATTTATATTTTGTGATTGGATATTTTTTATGTTATATCTTGCTATCGACTATGAATTAATCATCAATTTCTAATAATTTGATTTATTCTTAGCATGCCGAGAATATAATATATTATAAAAATGCAATCACAACAACAAAGAAATTAAAATTGAAAAGACAAATTTTCATTCGCCTTTGCTCTGAGTATTTTAAAATGAGTTTTCAATGCCTTCTTTATTTTACCCCGAAGTGGTGGGTGAAGTGAATCAGATTTTACAAAGAAAATGAAGGCCTTTTCCTTAATTTTTCAAAATTATTTTCGACTCTATCTAAGGGTGCTAGAACCTACCTCACTTCTTGTATATTCTTTGTCCCAATACTTTTCGAAAAAACGATAAAAAACGATTTTTTTTATTCACCTAACCCCGTTTAACGTTGAGTTGACTCTTTTCAGAACTGACTGTAGTTTTGAGACGTCTTTACTTGATCAAATTGCGTAAGTGAAATATTATATAACTAGAGATGAAATCTTCATTTCAACACCAGTTACGAAATGAAAATATAGATGGACTAGTTGTGTTACAATATCAAACGAGTCAATTTCGAGAAGTCTGTCGCTGATTTATGGTCGAAGTCATTATTTATGTTGTGCAGCGAATTTTTGTATCAAAATTCAAAAAATGATTTTGCATAGCCAGTGGGAGTGAGAGAAAGCATTAGAATACTAATATCAAGAAAAATGAGATAAATACAAAAAGATTAAATGTTTTTACCTAATTGATACAACCTGTTTGGGACGTTTAGGTAACGCTGTTTTGCTCTTGATTATTTCAATTGTTATTTCCGCCAACGGTCGTTTTTTTGGTTTCGGTTTTATTTTTCAAATTTCGTTGTAGCAATAAAACCTTTGATAGTGGAAGACCTTGTAGCAATTGGACGTCATAAAAATGTTGTGTTTTAGTGTTTTTATATCTAATGGCGGTCGTTAAAGAAAAACGACATACAGGGCTTAATTGTCGAGATCAGGAAACTGGGAGTATTTTTCCTGTAACCTAATCCTAATAAAATAACGATATTAGTATGCCATAAAATGCCACTGAGTGGAAGTCAGCACGAAGCCTGATATAAATATACTCCATTTTTAATTCGTTTTCTCCATCTTCTCATGTTTTTTCGTTTTCCAGCGCAAAACATGATTCCGGATTAAAAGAGAAACTCGAGATGTGACCGGAGTAGAGGATTCCGTATGAAACGTCGAGCTTTTTGTTCTCATGCAGTTTTTTTCAATGCCCTTTCGAGCTGTGAATGGAAATAGGAAAAAAATTTAATTTCTCCTGCTAAGTATTCTGCTGATACTTTTATGAATTGGACGCTAATTGAAAATAATATTCACGTCTTGTAGTGATAGTTGATGAAATAAAGTTTTCAATTACCAAAATGATTTTAGTAAAAAGTACAAATATACTGAACTTTAACTAAGTAAAATATGACCAACATACTACACACATAAAAAGTAATTCTTATCTCAAGAAAATACCTATATAGTTATTCTGAATCAATTTTCCTCAATAGAATATATTATTGCTTCTCTCAAATGATTATAATGATTTCTTCGATTGTATTGCTTTATAGAGATCATATATTATACGTCATTTGAAAATTATATGATAATAATTCTAGTTAGTTATTTAGTCATGAAAAGGAATTCGATAAATGAACAAATAATAAAAACTACCTGTATGCCTGAGTGAAGATTTTAGCGGGTAGAAAAGGTCTTATTTTTGGGTGGAACTTGAACATTATCAGTCGTTGTCAAGAAGTCAGTGAAGGTTGCACTCAGTTACAGGTAAGAAATGGAAATAACCAATAAATTTCAAACGCACATCTATAGAAAATATCTAGCTTGCATTTACATGCATTAAATTTGCTTCCAGTTGAACTTGAAATGGACGAATTTTGAAGTTAAAAAACCTTCCGATGTATAATACGTCAATACAAAAAAGGGGATAGAATGTATACCTTTATATACAATAATGGCACCAATATACAGTGTGTCTCACTCCTAATGGACACACCCCTGTATCTTACGAATTCGTTGGGTAAGGATCCTGAAATTTTCTGGAGCGCGAAATATAACAAAACGTCTAATTCACTAACTACTCATATTCCTTCTGAACATTTTTCAGTTCTGAAATAATAAATTCTGTTTCACTTTTCATGGAAACACCCCAGTATTTTACGTGATTATTGATGTAGGAGTATGAAATTTTTAGGAGCAAGAAAGGAACCAATGACCAAGTAGGATCATCTTCAATGATACACTGCTCGCCAGCAGCCACAGAACCACCGACATTCCAGGGGGGAAAATTTATTAAATCGGAAAATTCACTTAATGGTTTTCCTGAAATTGATAATCATAAAGTCAGTTCTCATCAGGGATGATGAAATAGCAATCAGAACTAGTGCAATCGAATAGATTATCAGGAGTTATCCAATGGATCAGAAATCATGACGGGTGTCATTGAAATGAATAAATTATGAATGAGTGAATTCGTTAATGGTATGAAGAAAGTAGTTACCGATAATAATGTGCAAAAATATGGGAAGTTAGTAAACTGGACGTCCTGTTTCCTAATCCGTAATGATCTTCATCCTATCTTGTCCCTTGATATTATTTTCCGGACATGTGTGTAGTTCCACTGCTGTTGACGAGCAGTGTATATCACTGAAAATTACCCCACTCAGCCACAGAGTACATTTTCGGTATATCTCTCAGGATCCTAACCCAACGATTACGTAAAATACGAGGATATTTCCATGAAAAGTGAGACAAAAATTAAATTCGCAGAACTGAAAATTTGCCAGGAGAAATAATAATAATAATAATAGTTAGTGAATTGGGCGTCCTAATTCCGATTTCGAAGTGATTTTCAACCTATTTTGACACCTAATTTCAATTTCCGAAAATTGGGGTGGTTTCATTTCTGTTGGCGAGCAGTGTAAATTACTACGTAAGATACAGGTGTGTTTGCATTAGAAGTGAGACACACTGTAATCGTATAGTTCCATGATTCATTGTTTTACATGTTGAGTCCCTTATTGTTGGTATACCATTGTCTGATGATGGCGTAGTGCCGATACCGGTTTTACTTTTTACTGAAGATCTTTATATAAAGTGTGGGCGACCTACTTTGTGTTACTTCTTTTTTTCTTTTGATAAAATTCATTGTAAGAAGTAAATTTGAGATTCTGGTGACGGAACATTTGAAATTTTGATGGCCGAACAATATTCACTATATTATTCTAGAAAAACAAATCCCTCATCCTGGAGATTTTGATCAGGATGATAAAACATACCTATTAAATTATGGTATTGTCATCGGGCGAAGCTAATATAAGCGTGATAAAAAGCACCATTGACAGTGATTAGATGCCTACTATAGTTTTTTTTTTCAGAACGACAATGACTGGACATTTTTCCAGGATGTGGCTGTCGAAACCGCAACTGCTGACCCTCCTCCTCCTACTGGACCTCGCTATCGCCTCATACGAAGACGCAGAACACCTCCGCACCGAGTCTTCAGGCCTTCTTCTAGTGGGTTCAGCTCTGGCAGCCGCGTCGGCTGCTCTCATCCCTCTGCGCTCCTGCATCTTTTCCGGAAAATGCCGGGAAAAACTGGACGAATACCGGAAACAGTTCCTTCAGGATGACTTGATTGGTTCATCAAGTTCCAGACAGCGGAGAGACATGGACTATATCGAGCCTGTGCTGGCCGCCATTTTGGACACCTTCGTGGAGAACGAGATGGCGGCAGCGAGGCGTAATGATGACATCAACAACGAGGTGTATTCTATGCCTCAGGCCGAACCAACTTTGGTAACTTTGGCCAAATATTTTGATAAATACGCTGATAAGGATGTGAAGAAGCACGTCAAGGCAGGTCTATTTTTCGTTGTTCACATTCTTGGGAAGGTTTATTGGTTTTTACAGAGTTTTATTCAACTGCTCGTAGATTATGGCATGGTATAATGAAAAAATTGATTGCGAAACCTTTATTCGTTTATATGGAACTGACCAGGTTATAATAGGTAATCCATAAACTAGAATTTACTTTTATTTGCTCATTTTTCTTTGTTCATTCCACCCAATGCAGGTTCTATTTGATAACGGTGAAATGGAGTCAGAGGTATAATATCTATATCAAGATGGTTAATTTATAATCCTAAGTAGATGCTCATTAGATAAATCTCAGATTCCCAATTTTAGTCCAGGTTATTAATTTTTTTTTTTTATTTCTTCGAACTCACGAATATTTTATCAGATGGGATGGACGATTTTGTGAAATCCAAAAGACAACAATTATTCAACTCACTGTTCGTGTGAAATTTTCTCAACTGGTGGTTAGCATCACTTAGTAAAATTTGATAAATTGTCTCTGAGTGGACAAAGTCGAATGTTTCAAGTATGATTCTAAAATCTTCAACCAGCGACTATAAAATATATCGTCGACGAAACCGCAAAACCAAGTAACTGCAAAAACCAAAATTTTCAGGAGACACTAAAAACTTTATAATTTCGGGTTAACTGATCAGATTCAATAGTAACAAACCACCTGATTATTATTATCCTCACGTTTGTACATTGATCAAAGGAAAAAGTCATTGTTTACGTTTGTCAGCGTAAGATACTTGGTTTTGACATCTGCTTTTTTGCGAAAGCAACAACAATTATCCAGAAAAGTAATTCGCAAAAACACATAACTTCATATTTCTGGACTTTCCGCTTAACAAATACTCGAGATAAATTCTCACATCCTGTGTTGAAATACCAATTGAAGTTGAGAATAAACTGTTTTACATATCTGTTCTATAAAAAGTCACTCACCAATCAGCAGAGATTGATCTGTGTGAGAAGAAATTGAACACAAAATATCAGAGGCGTGAATCACGTTGCCAACTGTTAGATACTTGTTTCTGACGACCCCTTCTATTTTGTTTTTCAGATTAAAGGGGTTTTGTATTTATGGATTTTGAACATTTACAATTTTTTACCAGTTGCGAGGTTTTGCATACGCATCCCCACCAATATGATAGACCGATTGCTGCCAGAATCCCATTTTCGAATTTTTGTCAGTTACTTATTGGTTTTGCGGTTTCGTCGACGATAAGTGAATTGTTTGTTACATGTATTTAATAATTTATTCAACCTGTTGCCAAAAGCTTTGACTCTAGAGGATTCTAGAATTGAGTAATGATTTATTCGAAGCTGAAAAAGTTTTTCCGTTTAGAGGCCATGATTAATTCATATCACAAACCTGTTTCATCTTTGCCCGAACTCGAAACTTCTTTCCTCAGAAGGATAAAAATCTATCAAATTGAGGTTTCCACATTATTGTGTATCCCTAAGGCAATTTTATATTGACGTATACTCGTAGTATATCTTATTTTCGTACATAGCGGATCCAGTTTATAAATGAAATATACGGTATAGGTACTATGTGTTTTATTTGGTCAATGTTGTGGAAAATCCCGGAGGAAATATGTTTTCCTAATAGGAACTCAATGGATGAGACTTATCTCAATGTTGCAGTCTCGCAAGCTATAAGCTGGTAGATGTCTATTGTAGTAGCCTATTACTTGTAAATCAAATATCACACCCAGTATATCAATTATATTAGCCAGAAAATTTCCCACCTGAAAACAGAATAAACTCAATCGATAATTTTGATTTTGGTAAGCCAGTAAACCAATTATAAGCTCCGGTAGAATCACCCTTTATAAAATTATACCCCCCTATAACCATCCAAGGGGGGGGGATTAAGGGGGTAATCAATCTCCTCCTCTCCTCCAGCAAGCCAAATGAGTAGGAATTCTCTTATTAATATTATAATTGAACATTCTCTATCCGTTCAAAATCTTTTCATCGATACAGTGTTGCCACTTCTATCAGAAACAACTAGCAACTTCGTTATTTCATATAGAACACCCTGTATTTTATTGCATTTTTAGATTCTCCCTGAAGAGCTGATTTCATCAATCCCCTCTCACTTGGGGTCTAGCAGGAATGATTACCCTTCAAAATCGAGATTTTTCAATTTTAAATTTTTTTTGTGTCTAAACTATTCATTATCGATCAAAACGGATTACATTTCCCCTATCAACTTTTGATTTACTATCTACTGGAATTTAATTAAAAAAGTACAGGGTGCTTGAAAATTCAGAATTCTAATCACCCCGTATCTGTTCCAATAAAATGTCAGTAGATAGTGAATCGAAAGTTAAGATAGGGACATATGAGCCGTTTTGATCGATAATGAATAGTTTCGACACAAAAAAATCCTAAAATTGAAAATTCTCGATTTTGAACACCCTATATCTCTATAATTATTCCTGCTAGACCCCAAGTGTGATGCATTGATGAAATCAGTTCTTCAGAAAGAATCTAAAAATGCAATAAAATACAGGGTGCTCCATTCAAATTAACGAAGTTGTTAGTTGTTTCTGAAAGAAGTGGCAACACTGTATCGATGAAAATATTTTAGACGGATAGATAATGTTCAATTATCAAAGCATCCCAATTTTCAGGATGTTCTGTCTCTTCATTCTCCAGATACTTCTAATAGATCATCCACCATAGATCACAGCCCTGTATTGTCATACTTATAGCATTGAATGAATTGCCCACAAAGATGAGCGCTTCATTTTTACACAAAGTTCTTGGAAATATCTAGTTCATACCTGAAACATTTCAATGAAGAATTCTGATACAAACAGAAATTGTTTAAATAATTCTGATTTCAACAAAATTCGAAAGTGACAGATGACTGAAGGTGTGTTTGAAAAACTCTGTTGCCATAGTAATGTGTTTAAGAAATTGTGTTGCCATTCAAAAATTTGTCATTTATCGTTGTGGTATATAATATGTCATTTCTGTTATGTGAGTAGAAAAACATTATTTCGAATTACGATCATTTTGCCCATACCTAACGCTAGGTTGTGAATCTAAGTTCGATCGACATGTTTCAGTTGTCAACTTCTCTCGATTCAGTCCCCCACATTTTAAAACAACATGAAAATATGTTTCAAATGTAGCGCTAATAGATCCATATCCAACCGAAAAAAAACTTTTGAATAATCAATTTCTTTAGCCACAATGTTTCGTGTCGAGTAACGTGAATAAGCCGGTATAATTCGGAATGAAAAGTTTCGAATTAGGAATAGGGAATAGTAAATTGAATTAATCATAACCTCTATCTCTTTGAAGACGTGGGCAGACTAATCTGAACTCCTTCTTTCGTCTTAAACATGACAACTGGATCACTGATACTGAAATTCAGTTTCATCGCGTTCTACTTCAATCATTTAAGTCATAGCGAAAAAAACATTTTCTTCAGAACATTCTTAGAGGTGGTAAAACGCTTCTCAAATGTTGTTTAGCGAGAAGACTGATTAATTATCTACTCTTGTGTCTCTTGTTCACATAGTTCCGCATTCCTTGGACAATGCTAACAGAATGATATTCCTAGTACAAGTTTGAAACACCCTGTATATACTCACCTGTCGCTCCTCGTATAATTCCCCTCCTCCCTCCTGTCCCTCACGAATTCCACCCCGTCCCATATCCCCACGACGTCCCCTTCCAAGACCCTCCTCAGGGCGGCCAAACTCCTAGTAGCAAAACAATTGCTTAAGATGGCCATCATTTCTTCCGGGGTCGCGCCCGGAGCCAGCGACCGGAAACAGCTGTCCAGCAATAATCCGGTCATCCTGCCGGCTCGCCGCCATACGGTGCCTTCCGACGTCCGATTATTGTCCGCGGACGATGTCGAGAGGACGAGAAGGAAGACGATGGCGATGAGGGTCGTTTTGCTAGGGAATTTGAGGTCGATTAGTCATTGTTGGTCTAAATAAAAAGCCAGGGGCGTAACTAAGGGGGGGGCATTGGCCCCCTAGTGCCTCTCTCCCCAGATCAATCGATATTGTTCCAATTTCTTCACATTGACTTCCTAGCAAAAAATAAACTGGATCATCCGTTTATCTTATCTTTAGGTAAAGTTTATACAAAGTCAGTTGATAAAACACATCACCGCATGCCGTCGGTCCCTTTGGAAGTTCACAGAGTGCGGCAGCGCGGCCTGACATTCGTTTGATGATTTGTTCAACTGACTTAAACGTGAATATGAATTAAGGTGGATTCATGCAAGCAAAATTGAAAACTTAAATGAATTTCAAACCTAAACCAATAATATAAAACTATGAAATGTAATGTTGGTGCTCATGCAAGAAACTGAGGACTTTAAACTAAAATCAAAACTAAGAAAGATGGCCAAAATTCAACTGAGAAATTAATTTCTTCCATAATTCACGACAGCGCATGCGTCAAACAATAACTAGCCGCGCTGTAATAGTATATTACGTAATTTGTGTTGTAATAAGCATATTACGCACGAATGGAGAAGTTCCAAGAGTGCGTAATCGCTTTACAACACGCATTACGTACTATATTTCACCTACTGCCATGATATAGTACATCAAAAAAGTTTGGACAAACAGTCTGAATTATAATTCTTGACGTATACGTCCATGTGTCATCCGCTGTTGACTGCGATTACGCGATCATGACATACCTGTACTGGCGGAATAATAGTAGATTGTTTTATTAGGATCAAAAGTAACACTTTGTTTGGCAAGCGAATTTTGCATTTGCGAGGCGGAGCGTTCAGCGAAGCCGAGCGAAAGCAAAATTTGCGAGTCGAACAAAGTCACTTTTGATCCAAATGAAACATGCTATTTTTTCTGCAACTGAAACAATCAACTCAAATAAACATGATAAGTAACCACCAATGCCGTGCCATATGTATGCAATGCAACAAATATTGACAAATAATTCATGTGGTGAGAATATTCTACCTGCATTAACAGCAGGTTAGGTTTTCTAGGATGTTCGAATTGTAGTTTCAATATAAATACAACCACAGAGTGACAGCTATAGGAACAAGACGTGGAAAATGTTAGGTTAGTGAGCATATCAACAATGATAATAGTGATTATTTATTCCTCTCCATACTACACTGTGTTTGACTTGATAATCAAATGAAGCTAAACAATATCGTTGTTTGAGACAAAAAAACTATTGCTTGCCGTGATTATTCAAAAACAAGTTATCCATCCCGAGAATAACGAATGAAATACAGATCATGCAAGTATTCGAATCTTGAAGGTTTTCCTGATCATCACAAAAATACTTAACTGAGATGTTTATAATTCCAATACTAAACTATAATAAAGGTGTATTTATATCTCCAGCATGGGTATGAAATGCCAAATCTGCTGAAATCGGAAACATATCAGGTATGCGTCTCAACCCAAATAACCAACCGTCACAACGTTGTTTATTCTTGATGACGTCCAGTAGATCCTTTTAAGTTCCTAGGAGCTAAAGTTCTAGGAACTAAATATGTTGCCTAGCAACATATCTACTTTTGTGTCAGTAATAGAAACGTCAATTTAAGAGTAATTTTGGTATCAAAATGAACAACTTTTGTGTCGGTTGCAGAAAAAGAATGATTTTTAATCCCTTTCACCATTTTATTAGTAGTCATGTTGAGTGATTTTGGACTGATTAGTTGTTACAATGAGTGAACAGCGAAAATTAAAGGCGATGACTATATTGTATACTCAATTTTTTTTGAAGAAAAAGCCTCCCGTCAGGAACTGCCTCAACATCAGATGGTCATTTTCTACCCAAGGACGGTTGAAAACCTATAAGAAATTCGGTTGACAATAAAAGGTTGAATGAGCTATATAGACAATTTGAATATCCACAGAGAAGTCGATGTTGACCCTAAGGAAGTCCTCCCACTTCTAAAACAATTGGGACCACGAAGAATAGTTTTTGTTCTGAGAAACTTATGGTGTTAACCAATAATTCTTGTAATAATCCCGTGGCAGAAAGTAGATTCGAAAAGTCTCATTTATAACCTGTCCACAGAGATGAAATGTTAAACTTTGTTCCGGTCACAGAAAAAATAGTTATATTTGTACTCAGCCCTCGAATGTATTGATAAAATCATCCGTCATCTCGTAATTTCAACTTGAAATTTGTATTCTTCAACTTCGAAAAGCCATTGATATAAATTTTCAGGCGAATCGAAGAAGAAATGACAAAATCGTCCGCCATCTTGAAGGCGCCATCTTGATTTTTTCCCTGCACGAGAATACAAGGGGTTTCAGTATTATCTGAGTATGTGCGGGCAAGCTACAATCAAAAAATCGATTCTTCGTGAATCAAAACAATGACGAAATCAGGTCCTTACGTTCCACCAAAGAACAACACTGCCAAATTTAATCAAAATTAAATAAAAAATTTGTATAATATTTACTTGAAATCAATTCTTAAAAAAAGAACTTCCCTGTAAATGATCTTATATATAAAATTCTCCTGTCCCTGCCCAGGTGTTTAACGCCAAACTCCTCCGAAACGGCTCGACCGATTGGTATGAACATTTTTGTGCGTATTCGGTCGTGAGCAATTTTTCAAATTGAAAATTCAAGATGGTGGATGCAATATGGCGGACGAATTTTGTAATTATTGTCCGATTCTATGCAAAATTGGTATCTGGAAGTTTTCGGGGTCGGAGATTATGTATCTTCCATCAAATTTGGAAAATTCGAAATAGCGGATCTAATATGGCGAACGAGTAGTTCAATTATGGTCCGATTCTATTAAAAATTGGTATCTAGAGGTTTTCGGAGTCGGAGATTATGATTCGTTCGTCAGAATTTGGAAATTCATAATGGCAATCCAATATGGTGGACGAGTTTTGTAATCATGTTCCGATTCTATCCAAATTTGTATCTGAAGGTTTTCAGGGTCGGAAATTATGATTTCTCCTTCAAAATCATGGAATTCGGTATGGTGGATCCAATATGACGAACAAGCGTTTTAATAAATAGTAGTTTGAAAAACTATAATGAAACACGCTATTATAGGTAGCCATTGTCGAGGCCAAACTAAAAAGTAGTAGAAAATAGATAGTATAGTTTGAATGAAAAAGAGATAGAATGTCGAACTAATAAAAAGTAGAAAACAAATAGTAGTTTGGAGAACTGAAGAAACGCTTTTTTATGGATAGCCAAACTGAAAAGAAGTAGAAAACAAAATAATCAAAGTGTGTTGATGAATATTTATCTGACAAAATATTTTTTAGAAATAAATGTTTGTGGCAAAACAATGTTTGCCGGGTCAGCTATAGTACTTATGAAACACTCTGTATACTATTTACCGAATAAAAAATCATGAAAATTGTGAGCAAGATATTCCTTGTTTCGAATTTTCTATATGCATAGCAGAGTCCTCCACTTACTTGGAAACGTGTGATCGCATCATGTCCTGATTCATTTCAAATGAAATCCTTCCGAATGGGTCCAGATCTGTCGAGTGTCGGCAAACACAAACACATCACTGCACCGTACAATATGCAAAATATCACGATTGCAATGCCTTGCTGCAAGTGACACTCGAGCACTTTTCACATAAACCATATCCGCATCATAATATGCTGTATTTAGTGGGTGTGACAAGCCGGCTCATGTGGTGCATGAAAAATCACAGATATTCACTGTATCAGAACGAGGATATTTTTATATCCAGTGTGGAACAATGAACATTATATTGAGGCGAAAAAATTCTAGTCTGGTTTCCATTCAAATATACGGGCAATACAATTTTTTACTTCCGAGCGAGCTGTGCACTTTACTTTTCCTACTATGTCAAGATTTTGTAGTTCATTCCCTAACATCAAAATGAATTGTTGCATGATAAGATGTGAATTTCTCGGAACCAGAAGGTACCAATATATACAGTATGATGCAAATGTATGGAATAAATTCATTTCAAAACAAGACGACTTCCGAAAAAAATCCAAAAACTAGACTTCAGAACTTTATTAATTGATGTATTTTTTTAAATAGACGACCCTTCGTTGTTCAATTCTCAGTAGCAGACCTCTGCAAGATTCAGTTAATCAAATGATAATCCATTTTAATTTCAATTTTCTTATGCAAAATGTTGACTGTTGAATAGACGATCAGTAGACCTTTCCAACGAGGTGTCACATGACCCCTGTTTTCATTTGAAAAAATCGTTCATTACGTCATTGCTCCAACACCGGTGACGGTAACATCTCTCATATGGATATCATGAGATGATGCTTCAAAAATGAAACCTCACATGTTTTTGGAATTCTTCAAAATGTCGCCCATTTCTGAGATAATGAATTTATTCCATACAATTGCATCATGGGGAAGACCACTGAGAGAAGAAATCCGTGCAAACCTCTTTCAATCGACGAATCATGATTTATTACGTTTGATGTACAATCAATATTATGAGTTGAAGTTGAAGGGAATCGAATGTATATCGTTTTGAAATCAGTATATTCCATTCGATATTTCAAACAGCCAAATATGTTGGTGGACGTATTAGTCCCGAACTATAGCTATCTATCTCTGATACCTCGTCATTCTGCAGTGTTGCAGTGTGATTGGTCAGTTCAAGGACAATAGGCGTGTTGGGAATAAGACGTCGCACCAGTCACACCAATGAATTGACAAAATTTCAAATGGCGCAGGAATTGTGTGTTTTGAAATGGACATATTCTAATTTATTATTTTCATCGTCTTAGCATGAATGACAAATTTCAAAATTAATTCGCTGGTAGTTTTTCAGTATAGAGTGCGATTCAGAATACCCTCCTAAAAAATATACAGTTATGAGCCGATTCAATTTTCTTTTTGTTTCAGTAAAAAGGGTACCAAAATATCATAAGTGGTATACATACCATTTTTGATGAATATTGCAGACAAATTTTGCTAATTATTGAGATTTCTGGTAGACATTCATCTTTTCCATAACCATTTTGGATGTTTAAACTTCAGAATAACTTGTGATATATGAATTCGAATGTCTACCAGCAACATCAATGATTTTCAACATTTGAGAAAAAACTTAGTATGAAACTGTTTCTGCTGAAATTATACAGGGTGTTGGGAAATTCGACCAACAACGCCTGACAGGTGATAGAAATTAAAATAGTTTTTTCGCAATATCTCAAGAAAAATGTAATATAATGCATTCAAATTCGGTATATGGTTTCATCTTTCAATGGTTAGATTTTTGACCAGAAAGACATTCCGAGAATTTTATCCAGAGGTGCGCTACAGAGGGTTGTGATAACTTTTCCTCCCATATTTTCTACGCCACTGATGAAATTTCGATTATTTCCAATTTCTTGAATTGATTGTTCAATTATTTTGGAAAAATGCAACACCTTCAACTGAGCTAAAATTTACAGTTATCGAGATATTTGACCAAAACAGAAGTTTGCATAGTAATTTTTCATCTTCCTCAGTAGTAGAAAATTATAAAAATGTTGGTTGTCTCTTTGTGCGTGGAATAACTATTTCTGTTCAGCTACAGAATGATATCTGAATAGTATCTAATCTACTCAACACCAGAAAAATATTTTTGCAATTTTCTGCTACTGAAAATGATGATATATTACTATGCAATCTTCTATTTTGGGTCGAATATCTCGAAAACTGCTCAGTCGAAAGTGATGAATTTTTTGAACAATATTGAACAATGGAATCCGTGGAATTGGAAATAATTGAAATTTCTTCAGTGGCGTAGAAAATATGGGAGGAAAAGTTGCTACAACCCCCTGTAGGGCACCACTGGATGAAATGTCCGGAATGGCTTCCTGGTCAAAAAATGACCCATTCAAAGATGAAACCATATACCGAAGTTGAATATATTATATTCAATTTTTCTTGAGATATTGCAAAACAACTATTTCAATTTCTTAACTTCAACGCCCTGTATCTCGAGAACTGAACACTTGAAGACCGTATATATATGTCCCTATCTCAGTGATTATGAAATCACGAGGTCTATCACCTGTCAAGCGTTGTCGGTCGAAATTAGAATCAGAATCAGAATCAGAATATTCTTTATTGTCAGAAGAAAAAGCTCTTGTAGACAAAGAGAAGATAAAACATAAGTACGTAACATACAATAATAAAAATTTAAAACAATGTGAAAGCCTGTAAATAAATAAGGGCGATCAGTTCTCAAGTGGGTCACACTGTATATGAAATTTCGAAAGAGATTTTCCAAACTTCTGATGGATTTTGGAATAAATAAATCGGAATTGATCGTCCTGAGGGGAGCCAAAAATTATAAATCGAATAATTAAAACGCTGAGTAATAATTTCATCTTCTCATCAAGGAGCAAAAATTACAGGAAACAACCAATTTTTTTAGTGAACGTATACGGTTCATGTATCTTCATTCATTCAGACCATCAATCTGTGCTTAAGTATTGTCCTGTTGGCGATCAACGGAAGATTCAATAATAATTTAGTAATTAAACACATATACGAAAACGCATATTAGTACATACATATATACCTAGATATTTTGTTCGCAGAATGATATAGAGTAAATAAAATCGTTCCAGCGCTATAATGAGGTACTCGAATGGACAAATACTTGAATTTACCAATTTACTGTTGAGGAAAAGGGTATCATTGAGATTGTTATTATGTCGTTCCACATCGAAATTTATTGAAGGCAATAATAAATGATATAAAAGCAATTATAGTTAATGACCATTACAGTTGATGCAAACAGTATATCGTAAAGGGTCATTTTATACAGGTATAGGTAGGTATCTGTAATCTTGTATTGAATAGGACTTTCTCATTTTTGTCTGTTCTATTCTATAGACTCACCGACAAAGAAAAACCAAACAGCAGGAAATGTGGTCTAATTGATTGCCCTGTACTGTAGTCGAATCGTAGATCAATATGTTCTGAAATGTTAACCCGACAGTTTTTAGTTCCCAAAAAATACCGATGGCTTAATTCATACAGGAAAAAACAAAAGTTGTCATTTCAAGCTCATCTTCTTAACGCCCTGTGAAGTGAGTGATTAAACTTAGCTTTATTTTTGGGGTGAAGTGTGATCCTTTTTCAACACAATGGTTATTGATTCATGTCAATATCTTATTTTTAAGAGAAAATACAAGCGTTTCAAGAAAGTATATGGAATTTTTAAATTTTGCAGAACCGACATGAACTTTTTTTAACACTCATAAGCAAAGAAAAACCTCACTCACTGAAAAAAAAATGAAAAACAGACCTCCTAGATGAAGGAGTGAACCCTACTAACATCTGCCACAGACGGTGTCAAGAAATTCAGCATGAAATAACAACTTTTGTTTTTTTCCTGTATAATGATCAAGCAATCGGCTACATTTGAGAACTAGAATTTTAGTTAACAGTTCAGAACAGCAATCCATGATTTGGTTGAAATTTCATCAGAATCGGACAAAAATTAGAAAATTACAGGACGATCAATTTGACTATAATTTTTTTTTATGACCGTTTTTTTTGCCTGTGAGTTTTTATGAAAATACGCGCCAATAATACCACGGTTCATACATCATAATTTTTTGCACTTTCTGTAGAATACTACTGAAATTTAGTAACCTTACAATGTGATTTTTCATAATTGAATAATATATGTGACCTGTACTTACCTATAGTTACCTAGTCCCGGTTGATTATTTTGATCTGCTCCTTTAATTCCAGTAAGGATCAAATGAATCAATGTAAACCCCATTTTAGAGTGTTGTAGGACATACGTACCTACCTCTTCCCTGAAAGTGCAGATTGATTATAACTCTTTTTTTCTTGTATGTTTAGGTGGAATGCAGAATATGCAGCTGAAAGAATTGGCTTTCCTTCGGAGCAGAAAACGCTGAGACGGAAAGAAAGTTGAAGAGGAGCAATACTATATCAATTGTGATCACCTCCTTTTATTGTTTGGAGGTTGATTTTTTCATGTTTGTGTCAGTTTTGATGAACATTCTTGAAATAAACTTCGTATCTATAAATATATTCAATTTTTCTTTGTTTCCTTTCCTCTTCCCATGTAGGAATTATATGACAATCACTGTAGAATATTTAATTTACACTGCCAGGTCCTCTTAGCAATCGATTCAGAGATCATTTACATAATTTTTTCAGTTTTTGATCGCAAATAGTTTGTGAAACAGGGGGAGAAAAAGAAACGGACTTCAGATTCTTGTTTAGCATATCGTGAACACCCTGTATGCAAGTTTTCAGACCATTCTGACGTCTCGAGTAGGTACGATGAAGGAAGTTTCTTTCTCAAATCCAAAAATCAACTTTGGTATTTAGGACCCCAATCGATTTTTGACACGATTTCTGCGATGTTGAACCACATTTTTGTTTTTCTGAAATTGCTTATATCTAGAGAAATAATGAAGTTACGAGAAAATCGACGTTATAGTCGTGTTCAGCACGTCGAGAACATCCTGTATCCAAATTTTCAGCCCAATCAGACGCCCCGAAATATGTGGAAAAAGTTCAAAGGGGTTAACCTTGTTTCATTTTCAGACCAAAAAATCAACTTTGTCCTAGTGGCTTCAGATTTGGTATTTGGCACCCTTAAGGGATGCCTTAGTGCGGGGAGTAGAAGCACAGCCTTCTAGCCCTAAATCTAGAAAAAAATCGATTTTTGACCCCCTTTCGGACTGAATTTTTTATGCACTCTACATCTCTGAAATGAATGCAAAATCGAGTTGTTGGAATTGTTCAGCAGACGAAGTCAAGTGTGTTGAGACGATTTCTGCGATGTTGAACAACATTTTTGTTTGTCTCAAATTGCTTTTTTCTAGAAAACTACTGAAGTTATGGAAAAATCGACATTATAGTCGTGTTCAGCACGTCGAGAACATCCTGTATCTAAGTTTTCAGCCCAATCAGACGCCCCGAAATATGTGGAAAAAGTTCAAAGGGGTTAACCTTGTTTCATTTTCAGACCAAAAAATCAACTTTGTCCTAGTGGCTTCAAATTTGGTATTTGGCACCCTTTAGGGATGCCCTAGTGCGGAGTAGAAGCACAGCCCTCTAGCCCCAAATTTAGAAAAAAATCGATTTTTGACCCCCTTTCGGACTGAATTTTTTATGCACTCTACATCTCTGAAGTGAATGCAGAATCGAGTTGATGGAAGTGTTTAGCAGACGAATTCGAGTGTGTTGAGACGATTTCTGCAGTTGTGAACCACATTTTCGTTTTTCAAAAATTGCTAATATCTTGAAAAATAATGAAGTTAAGAGAAAATCATCTTTATAGTCGTGTTCAGCACGTCGAGAACATCCTGTATCCAAATTTTCAGACCATTCAGACACCCCGAAATATGTGGAAAAAGTTCAAAGGGGTTAACCTTGTTTCATTTTCAGACCAAAAAATCAACTTTGTCCTAGTGGCTTCAAATTTGGTATTTGGCACCCTTCAGGAATGCCCTAGTGCGGAGTAGAAGCACAGCCCTCTAGCCCTAAATTTAGAAAAAAATCGATTTTTGACCCTCTTTCGGACTAAATTTTTTATGCACTTTACATCTCTGAAGTGAATGCAAAATCGAGTTGATGGGATCGTTCAGCAGACGAATTCGAGTGTGTTGAGACGATTTCTGCAGTTGTGAACCACATTTTCGTTTTTCAAAAATTGCTTATATCTTGAAAAATAATGAAGTTGAGAGAAAATCATCTCTATAGTCGTGTTCAGCACGTCGAGAACATCCTGTATCCAAATTTTCAGCCCATTCAGACGCCCCGAAATATGTGGAAAAAGTTCAAAGGGGTTAACCTTGTTTCATTTTCAGACCAAAAAACCAACTTTGTCCTAGTGGCTTCAAATTTGGTATTTGGCACCCTTTAGGGATGCCCTAGTGCGGAGTAGAAGCACAGCCCTCTAGCCCCAAATTTAGAAAAAAATCGATTTTTGACCCTCTTTCGGACTGAATTTTTTATGCACTCTACATCACTGGAATGAATGCAGAATCGAGTTGATGGGATTGTTCAGCAGACGAATTCGAGTGTGTTGAGACGATTTCTGCGATGTTGAACCACATTTTTGTTTTTCGAAAACTGCTAATATCCAGAAAAATAATGAAGTAACCAGAAAATCGACGTTATAGTCGTGTTCAACACGTCGAGAATATCCTGTATGCAATTTTTTAGTACAGAAAAAAGTTCAAAGGGGTTAACCTTGTTTCTTCTTCATACCCGAAGATCAACTTTGTATATTCCGTATACAGGGTCCCAATGGAGTCCCTTCTACAGAGTAGATGCACAGCTCTCTAGGTTTTATAATGAGAAAATTGTAATTTTTGGCCCAACTTTGCTCTGGTGAACTTTTTTCGATGATTCAATATCATGAAAAATACTAGAAATGCACAACAAACATTCTTTGATGCTATTTTCAGCGATCTTCTAGACCAATATTCCTATATTTTGGATTAATTTGGGAAAGTAGGTAGTAAAACAATTCCATTGGTGTATAAACTTTATTTAATTGTTTAGAATAAGATAACAATGCAGTGTTGCACAAGCATCAAATATCAAATATAATCAAATAAACACTACATTTCACTGTATAAATCAATAATCGTAGAATCTGACCTGATCACACGCAAAAAATGCATAATAAAACTTGAAAAAAACAGAGTTATCACAGTTCCCGAACAAATAGATAAAAATATGGTATGAATACTCTCTCTAGCCTACTTGGTTATGTACAATATAATAAAACTTTCATTAATTTCAACATGGTTCGTTTTAGCCAAAAATGTGAATTTCGGAAACGTCAATTGGACTATCAGCAATCAGACGGGAATAATTACGATTTGCTTGTGACACTGTACTTAGGTAAACAAAGTCCGAACTTGGATTCGATCCCCGAGAAAATCGGAAGGGACACCGAATAGCCTCCTATGTGATCGGCGTTGTGAGGTTTTTGCACGTCTCCTATGGTCGACACTTGCTTCGATTCGGAACCAGTAGGTCGCCTGAAAAAAAAAAACAAACTCGGTTTTTGAAACCGCAACGAGAACAGCGCCATCATTGACAAATTTCAAGGTTACGCCTAAAAAAAAAAAACACAAAGTGCATCCGCAAAAACAGAGTACTAAAGACGGATTGATGCACACTGCTTTTTCATTTATCTGTAATTTCACAACCATTAACGAATTCGCTAATAAGTTAAAACTTGATATTCTCGTTCATTCATTTATGCACCTGAATTGAGCTCTTTTCAACCTCGAACGAGAGAGAGAGGAAATGTCTCTCCTCTTTCATCTTTCTCTTCAATGCTACCAACCTGGCCGCATTCGCATTTCTCATATCAACTATGGCGTAACTCTCTGGGGAAACGCAGATGATTCCATAAGAATATTCAAACTACAAAAAAAACTTTGAGATTGATCTCGAAAGTTATGTATAGAGAGAGTTGTCGTCCATTATTCAAAAATCAGGAAATACTTCCTTTACCATGTATCTACATTCTTAATTGTTTGCTGGAAATTCATAAAAACAAAAAGAATTATCAAACAAATGATGCCTTTCATAATTATACAACAAGAAATTGTGATCTGTTTCGTACAACTAAACACCGTTTAATGATATCAAAACGTAACTCCACAGATGTTAAGCTTTATAATAAACTTCCTGCAAATATTAAGGAAACACCTATACATTTATTCAAAAGAACAATCCGAAAGTTTTTGTTATCCCACTGTTTCTATTCGGAGAGGGAGTACATGGAGGCTGAGGTAGACTTTATTTAAGCAATAAAATGAATTAATAAATAATAAGAATAGAGACAACGACCATATCATTAAGAAGATATGGAAAACCACAATCAATATATAATAGCATATTAACTTCAGGCTGAAGGACTTCGGTCGATGGCCAGTTGGTCACAATGTATATTATTATCGTATGAGTATATGTTATGACCAATAAAGTACATATTATTATCATTATTATATTAACTTCAACACACTACATTCCCACCTACATCACTGGAGACCAGGCTTCACCCATTATAATTTTGAAGTGTAATTTTGTATTCTTTCTGTATTTGTTTTTGTAATTTTTTAACTATTCTCTTTTACCCGTATTACTGACTAATCACAAAATATGAAATTAATTTTTTTGTAACGTGAATGAATAAATAAATAAACATTGAAATATAGAGAGGTCCGATAAATCTTTCCTTGTCTAACCTCTAGTCTGCGCCACTGAACTATTTTCGATGTTATTCGCAATAGAACAACTTGAACTCTGAGCGGTTTCTTTCAATGGTGTGACCAAGAAGCAAAGAACAAAAAACAAATGTGAACCAATAAAAAGAAAGTAAACATGCTGCTTTGACAGCTTTCAAGAACTCCGATAGGTGGCGTACGCTTATTTTCTATCGCGAATAATGATATTATTTCCTTCTCAACTGACATATTTCGGATAGACTGAACTGAATCAGTTAACATGTATTCTAACTAATCAAATTCTTTCAAAACACATAATAACTGATTCAGTCCAGTTCTAGTGAGATATGTCAGTTAGTTCAGATTATAATGATGTGATATGTCTATGTCATAAATGTCATTGACTGATAACCTTTCAAATTTTTTGGATGACATTACAAATATTATAATACTTATTTTGACATATTTTGTTGATTTCGTTCATTTGACACTCTGTTGAATTCGAAAATAGTACGGTGGCACAAACTAGATGTTAGACAAGGAAAGATTTATCGGACCTCTCTATATTTCAATGTGGCCACGTTGGCAGTATTTGAAGAGAAAAATGGATGAAGAGGGAACTTAATGGCTGTAAATGAAAGCAACAGATTAGTGAAGAAGTGGTGTGGATAAATCCTTAACTCAAGGAACATCTTTATCCAGGAGAGGCAATGGACAATTAGAGACTTTTCATAAATATACCATAATGATAATTCATCATCAGCATCAAATTTGGGTGCTTAAACGCATATACAGTATGATGCAAATGCATGGAATAAATTCATTATTTCAGAAATGGGCGACATTTGAAGAAATTCCAAAAACACGTGTTTTAATTTTTGAAACCTCATCTCATGACATTCATATGAGAGATGTTACGTCACCGGTGTTGGAGTAATGACGTAATGGACGGTTTTTTAAATACAAACAGGGGTCATGTGACACCTCGTTTGAAAGGTCTACTGATCGTCTATCCAATAGTCAAAATTTTGCAAAATAAGATTGAAATTAAAATGGATTATCATTTGGTTAACTGAATCTTGCAGAGATCTTCTACTGAGAATTGAACATCGAAGGGTCGTCTAGTTGAAAAAATACATCGATAAAAAAGTTGTGAACTCTACTTTTTGGATTTTTTTCGGAAGTCGTCTTGTTTTGAAATGAATTTATTCCATACATTTGCATCATACTGTATATGGGAACAATATTTTAAACGCAAAGGATCTATGTTTAATAGATCACCTCAACAACGGTGAAGTAGCTTTTTGCAAGGGAATAAGTTTGATATTCTATTTTGTTTGCAAAGTATTCGATTAAATTAAATTCAATGTTATTTTAAATGCTCATAAATTAATCCAATTAAAAGTGTTCAGTATTCCACATGAATATCTTTTCCGATTTTGTAATTTGGTAATGTTTTCAAATACTAATTCGATAAAAAAAACAGGACCACCGTAAATTACTAATTTTATGATAGAATGCATGGTTACATAACCATATTGAAAAGAATGATGGAGAATAAATTAGATACTTACGTTCCTCCAAAGTCGACATATAAATATCTCTGTAGAAGTTCATAGGTGACAAGAGTCACACCGAATTGCGGGGAGGACCTCATCACACGTGCTGCAATCAGTAAAAAAATCATCAATATCTGGTTGATGATTGCTCAAAGTGTTAAGAAGTTATCACTCGCCAATCCAAAACATGAAACTTGTTTCAGTTTGACCACTCACTTTTGCCAAGTTAAGAAGTTGAGGGTGAAAGAGTTTTACCCTGTATAATGAACAAGCTCTCAGCTCTTATTGGGAATTAAAATGCATGCTAACAATCCAAAACATAATTAAACGATTTTGTCAAAATTGTACCAAAATCGGAGAAGAGTTAAAAAAGTTACAGTACGATCAATTTGGCGGAATTTTTCTCCGGTTTGTTTTGCCGGTAAGTATAGTTTTTTAAGATTCCCTTAATGTTCTTGACACTTGCTGTTTTGAGGTTTTGGCGAAAAAGCGGGAACTGATAGTACACGAACGTACATGACATTAATTCCAAAGGTTTGTCGCATTGAGAAAATTGCTAAATGTTTTTGCTTGTTCCAACTGTGAGAATACTGGAAATTTAATGAAACATAGTCACTTTGTGGAACTCTGACGATGTATCTATTCAAGATATGGATTGTTTGTGTGTTGCTTTCTTCCAAAGTTGAAATCCCCCAAATCTGAACTCTGAAACTTGTGCGTAGTTGAGAAGTGCTTATTATAATGGATTTTGAAAAACTTTTGAGGTGTCAAAGATGCTGACAGGAGAAGAACATTTGTCCCGTGTACCATTTATTGTTATTGAAAATTATCTTCCGACAACCCCTTTAGCAATGTGAAAGGTGAACTATGTTTAGTCGATCTCTAAACTCTGTGACAGCCATAATAATATTATGGTTTTCTACTTATTACCTTTAGCACTCTTGTATAAGCAAAATGTTCCATCTGAGATGAAAGTTGTTAGTTAGTTGTAATTAATCGATTTTCACCTCATTCTGAACATTCTTCCTACAAAAATTATTCTACTGAACCATTATATGAACGTAAGTATTTCCGCTCAGTTTATTATTATTTCATAGTAATAGTATATGCACTTTGTTGGTATCTATCTACATACCAACTTGCCATCGGCTTCCATTGAGGACCGTCATCCTTATGATTCCATATTTCAAGAAGATATAATTTGCTAATTGATTTATCATACCCTTTTTCGAGGAGACGCTATGCACTTCCATTCGAAAATAAAATGTAATAGAAGTTAATACTGCTAATAGATTGAAAATGTCTACAATACACACGATCATATTTCGTCAGCATGTCAGACCAGTCCTCCCTTTTGATTGCATGAATTCAATCTTCTTGCATTCTTTTAGAAATTTCACGAGTATTTCTATTAGCTCCTATTGCAGAAGGAATTCCGATGAGAAATCAGAGAAATTACGAAATTTCAAAATAAAAACTATATGTGAGTGACTATAGTAGGTACTTACTTTTAAATCATAATGTACCAACAGGATTCCTTCGTCTCTTGCTGCATTTTTTGTGCATTGTACAACAGCACAATGTGATAGCCGAAAAACGCTATTCGTAAGCCAAAATAATTGTGAAAACCTATTTCAATCATTTGTAAACGAATAAGAAAAGTGAGGTTCTGTTTCAATATTTCACCTGCAGGGTCGGTCATCTGACAGTTCTTGCACGCAACCCATATGATTTACTTCAAAATCGTTTTTGGTTATGTCTAACTGTCAATGCTTGTCGAGTGTCCGTACTCTAAATATACAAAGACGTGAAGACAGCCAGTGTCAAGTACATTTTGGAACTCTAGTTTTTTTCGTCTGTAACTCTGCCACTATGAAACTGAAAAAAAAGGGAAGGGGGGAAACCACCTACCTGTAGTTCCCTTCCAGAGGGCGCTGAACCCTTCCTCCTTGTAGATTTTCCGGGCAGCATCGAGCAGTCCACTGTAGGTGGTCTGGCCGGCTCTGGCGACGACTTGTAACCTGGTTTTTATGACGTCAGCAGGGGTGCAGAGCGCAGCCGCCGGCATACCCGCAATCATACCGGCAGCTAGCAGAGACAACGGCGTGTTGTAGCCGTTCTCGTCAGCAAACCTAATCGAAAAATCAGTTATTCAACCCTCTAACTAAGATATCAATAGCTTCAATCTAGAGATTTATTAGATCTATCATGATACAACCTTAAAATATGTTGTTTTATTCAATTTGTCCTATATAAATTGCAAACTTCGAATTTAAATTTCAATGAAATTAATCAATTAATTAATTAATTACATATAATCATGGAACAAGACAATCAAATTTACTAATAGCAAATACCTATAAGTCAAATATCGGCAAAAAATCCATTTTTCACACAGGAATCGTTCTATACAACTCATTACCAAGTCAATTGAGGAATACACAGGAAGCAACAAGATTCAAAATTAAATTGAAAAAATATTTGCTTCAGAGATTTTGTTCTTTCCATTTCTTATTTGGATACCTACTTATAAAAGGTTGATATTGCATGATTATTTGCTTTTTTTTTACTTGTTATATCTCGCATTATTTCATGATTGTATGTATAACATTATGTATATTGTTCTTGTATCCCTATCATAAATAACTATGTTTCTTGGGGTAATAAAGACAATCAATCAATCAATCATAAAATCTGAGATTTTTTTACAAATTCTATGACTTTAAAACATTTTTTTGTATTATTTTCGAATTTGGAATGAACTTTTGGGCTCCTAGGAGGGAAGTGAGCCAATGAGATAGGAATTCTCTGAATTCTGTCATACCATAGATGTCATACCAAATAATATGCAATCGCATTATATTTTCAGAAAATACTCAAGAATTGAAAGTCTGACAGTTGCAGCAAATGAAATGTCACCAAGAAAAATGATAGGACGGAGCTCTAAACAACCATATTCTTCCTGTCATGAATAATGGCGGCGTAATAGGCGAGAAGTTTTGGAACGCCATGAGCGAAATTAGAGCTACTACGAATATCAAAAATTATTTATTTGCAAATGAACCTCGAGACTTATCAAATATTTACACAATACAAAAAATATTTCGGAAGGGAATATCTTTCTGAAAAAAAAAATTGAAGTTTCCAGTCTGACCTCTGGAAAGTTATCGCAAAATTTGTACGGCAACATGGTTGTTTGAAACACTTGCAGGTCACTGATGATGATCAAGAACATCTCAAAACGTGACTTACAGTCACAGAACATGCCATGCCAAAAATTATGAAAATCGATCTCAGCCTATTCTTTTCATGAGCAAAACTATTCTTTTCCAAAAAAACATCAACGCCTTGTACCAACTCAACGAGACGATTTTGGATATAGGTAAGTATAGTATATAATATTGTTAGTTAATAGATACACAGGAGATATGTAACAGCCTGTAGTTTTTCATTTGGATAAGAATTTGAAATTCACAAGGGTTATATTATCGTTGATGGCGCTTCCCTTGAACCCAATGACAATTTTCTTCAACCACCTGTTTGATCGGAAGTCGACCCAACTTTTTTTTCAAATGGCACCCTGTAGCCTATCTTATTTGCCTTGAAATTCTCTATTCAAATATGTACCACAATTTGATATTCGTTCATTAATTGTCTGTTGAATTGAATTTTATTGGAATACATGAAGTTGGCTGTAGCCCGAATGCAATGACATTTCAATGCTTGATAGGCTTAGAAATCCAAAGATCATTACTTAGGCGATATTATCAGAATATTTTGCATACCCTAATCGGTCCCAGAAGATTGCCAATAATTTCAATGAGTTTTAAGAAATCATCCGAAAATTACTCAGGATATTGAGAAAAACTATGATAGAAACTCAGTTTAGTTTTTTTTTTCATTTGGCTACTTGTGAACAGACTATTTGTCTTTCATTTCTGCCATGTAGCCATAATATGATCATCCATTTGGATACATGAAACTGATGAACCGCGTCTAAGACTGAAACTCAGACAAAAAGAATGGTGAAAACGTTCTTGAACACACAGGGTTTCTAAAGCCATCCCTTATTTCTAATGTATTCCAAACTTAGGAAGTATGAATGATTGTAAACAAATAGTGTTTTATAAAAGAAATTTTACGTTTCCTGTCTTTTATATGTTTGTGGTTAGCCCTCATTCTTAAGCAAAAGTAGGTACCTACTTTGCCTTCGTGTGAGCGTAGACGGGGAAGTAAATGCCGCTGAAGGGCACATCCCTGAGGAAGCAGGCGCGCGAGCCCTTGTACAGCCCCAGGAAGCCGAGATCCTTCACCACCGACCAAGCTCGGACCTTGGCGCCCCCAGCGATCTCTCCAGCCACCTGCAACCTGATCTTGACGATCTCCAGAGGGTTGGTGAACACCACCTGGGAGGCTCCTGCCTGAAAAAGGGAATTGAAGAAATGAAGATTCCTCCTTAGTTTTGCTGTCAGACTAAATAACGATATAGACACCGCGATTCATTCATAAATCAATAAAAATGAATGAAATCGTGAATGGTGGGGATAACTGCAGAATCGTTGCCCAGAGAATGGGGAAGTTTCCTTCAGATGAATTTTCATAAAATAAACTCTATGTGAATGTGAATTTTCAGAAAGTAAGTCAAAGGAATGGTGGAGGAGCCAAGTTCCTATTTTTTTTTAAGTGAAATTTGATCTTACGAAAAAGAGAGAAATACGTATACATTAATTTCTTACAAACTTCACAGTGAGATATAAACCTCAATATAGGAAACTTCCCCATTGATATTCTTCATAGATATATTTTATACTAGCTTCTACCCGCGGATTCGCTCGCGCTGAAGCCCTTAAATAAACATCAAAGATCGTTATCAATTCCAATAGAACTGAATCAATGGGATTCAGTATATAAAAATCACTACATACAATGAAGTTTCAAAAACTGAAAACATACTTTATTGAAATGATTTACTACAACAAAAGTTCAAATGTATTTCACTACAACAAAAAGTTATTTGTTGCACCCTGTCTGTAGATTGACCAATTCAGGTAGTATTGAATCGTGCATTTTGGTTGTGTCAATGTCATTCCTGCCATTCGTGGTCAAAACACTGAATAGCATAAAATCTGAGGGTTTTCTTTCATGCAGCAATGAATTTGCGCTTTCGTAGTGCCCACCTGATGTTTGTTTAGATAGTTGTCATTTTAGTTACATCATCTAAATAATCCGACACTTACCAATTCCAAATCACGTATTCTAATAATTAATATCTATAGAGTTTCATGTTTGATTGTTGGATATCTTGTGTCCACAATCATGTTTTACCCGTCGTAATTTCACTTCAATACCAGCAATGTGAGCTTGAACATTTATGTTTCAATTTAATGTGATGGTTGATTCTGGATCGCGCCTGGCTACAACATAAGGTTCCACACTATAACGTATCCTTTGTTTAGTGACATCTTATGTTATATTTTGAGATATCGACATTCTGGAGAATTAACATGTTTTTCAGTCAATTGGGCAACTTCTCTGGGATTAGTAAGGGTGCACTCTTGACAAAGGAAATTCAAATATCCAATGTATCAACAATTCGAAATATCACCGTCGTCTATTGATACATCAATGATTTGTCTGTGGAAAAGTTCATTAAAATAATTGTTTCATGAATTTTTACTTACACACATTCCTGCAATAACTTCTCCATAAAAGGGTATATTTCCATTCTTGTCCATTAGTTTGTCCCTTACCAAGTCATTCATCTATAATAAAAACATTTGCCAATCACAATTATGTATCATTTCAATAATTTTTCCCATTTTAAAACACTTCATATATTACCAGATGTAATTGTTTATTTATTCATAGATGTTAATGATGCATTTTTGCTATCCAACTGCAATAACCAGTATTTGAGAAATCAATTAAACTAGATAGAATAATTGAATCTTGGTCCCAGTCAAAAACAAAAAAGATAAACATTTTTTTCTGCCAGTGAATTTGTCTTGAAAATGGTGGACCTCCTGTATAAGAACATGAAATTGGCACACCCGGTACCGACTAACTCAGACTTACACTTTACAATAATATAGAAATATTCAAGATTTTCTGAGAAATAAAGAAAAAAATTAAACTTCTACTCTATATATCTCAATAATGAAACGATTTGAAGAATATGTTGATAGACAGATTATTCCATTCCAAGAGTTTTATCCATTGAAATTTGATCAAAGTGTATACTATTACAAATATGGAAATTGTTCAGATCATATTGACAATTTGATTAAATGAAGAAATAGGGAGCACTTGATCAAACATTTTAGAATTACCGTCAATTTGATGGCCTTTTCTGGTGCGACACCCAGTAGCTGTGGCACGAGGCCTCTGTACAATCCGAACACTCCTTCATGTCTCACAACTTTTTTGAAACAATCGAAACTGTTTCTGTACATCAATTCACCAATGAAAGATCCAGCTCGCTGATTTTGCATACGCGTCTTCACTAAATCTATGGGGTAAACCGCTGTAGCACCGACAGCTAAAAAAAAATTGTCTCTCAGTTAAATAACACAAGGATTGTTAGTTATCGGAAAATAATCTAGTTTCCGATGAATAATCAAGAAGATTCGAAAATGCTATTTACTACCTCTCTGCAATCATTTCGTGAATACAATCAAGTCTCTTGGTATATACATTGATCAAAATTTGAAGTGGAACTATCAAAGACACTCAGAAGTACCCTCACAAAATTCAGACTTTTACGAAATATTGTCGGTAGACATTTAATAATCACACTCTCTTCCAAAAATATGTTCTGAAGATAATATTCCGTAAATCATTTGATTATGATGGATAATCTGATACATCTGATCGATACTGAAGAAGTGTCTATTTTCTGTAAAGAGGTGTAGATTTTCATAATTTCAGAAAAACATTCTAGTTTTATTGGATCTAAAATTTATACTAAAATACCATCAAAATTAAAACGCATAAATATCATAACTTTCAAAAAAGAAGTTATTGTATGAAATGATTATTTGTTTTCAGTTTGAGTATTTATATCATGGAAAGTTAGGTTAGGTTAGACCATAGATCAAGACTAAATCAAGATATGGTGTAAAATCAGGAAAAGCAACATCAGTTTTGTAGTTCTATGCGGAAAAACAACAACAACAACAACAACAACAAAAACAATATCCGGAAAAAACATCGAAAAACTATTTTTCAATAGATTCTTTCATCATGAATAGTTAGTTGTATTTTTGTAGATTTGGAAGAATCTAAACAGTACTTGAAAACACCTAAATAATTGAAATAATTGACAATGATAATAATGGCATCTTGAATTATGTACTTATAATTAGATTAGAATACTCACCACCAGCTATAGCACCCAAAGAAAACCTGTAGGTACTTTCTAATATCTGAATAACCACCCCCCGATCTTCAGGACTCTATAAACAGAAAAAGAGGCACTTGAAAGAATCCACGGCCAGAGAAAGTTATTCACCTTCACATTCTGTTTACATATTACAGTATCATCTTCCATCAAAGAAATTAATACTGTTTGTTGAGTTTATCTTCCACTATCAGACAAATCTAATTTTGAAGTATTAAATACCAAGATGTCAAATGGACAAGATATGTCAACAGAACTGTCAACATTGCTATCATTTTTCAATAAAATAATTAGGTTGGTAGTCCATAACTTCCCGTTCTGAGGCCAATGCTGAATTTCCGTATGTACCAGGATTTGTACAGTGTCTTTCAATAATATTTTTGAATCAAATCTCGATTATTTGCACAATCAAATCAAAACTTTCCAACAAAATATCAATAATGCCTTCATCAGAGAGATTTTTGTCAAAGACTTGAGCAATGAGTTCATTTCTTCTGAAGAAGGCATTCTATGAAAATATCCAGTTTTTCAGGATTTCCGAGGTCATATGAATTTTTCTGAATGTTATAAAATAATAATATAAAAAATGTTTTCTTCATGCCAATATACTTACAGAAACAGCGTGGATTTCAGCTAACCTATTTGTAATCTGTTTGAAATATTGCTCAGGTGCTATTGCATACAGATCATTGTATACTATTCTCCTGAAATGAAAAAAAAAATATATTAATTTGAAAATCAATATCCACAGTCTTTTTGAACACAAACCCATGCCAAGTGTGTTCCTTGTACAAATGTCTTGATCCAAGGAAGGCAAGCACAAAAAATTGAATGAATATTTCATTATATGAGAATTTCTGCAGCTACAAAATTCTTGAGGAGGAAAACTGAATTCTAATGAGAGATCTCCCAGGATATCTTTAAGAGTTTCAATACCGTCAAAAAATCAAACTCAGACTCGTTTGATATTACCGTCTACCTCATCCTACCTATAACGCTTCTAGTACTAGTACATAGGGTGTGCATTTTTGGAGGATTTAGTATTCATTGAAATGTATAGATCCACCAAATATCGCCTCAACAAAAGTTGCATGATAACGGATACATGAATTGGACATTTCACACCTAAGAGAATTTTATTTCGGTCCTGGACACACGAATCTCTGTTCCATGATAACTCGATTTATCTCTTATTAGTCTTATTCTATTACTAGCCCCCTCTCCCCCTCCCCTCTTTCATTAGCGTTCAAAGTACATTTTTTGTCCAGCGCTAGTCATCGGATCCTCTTTCTCAATTGTTTTTCCTATGCATTGTCAAACAATGTAGCACGTTTACGAGAATGGCGCGTATTAGTTTACATGCTTTGGATTTACGGTGTGTCGCCATAGGGCAGCTGCACCATTTCGTTTGTACACGGAAATTATTCAATACCGCGAACGTTCGTTAATTTGATGTAAAGGTGTAGTGACACAGGGCGTTGACAGAAAAAAAGAGGAGGACACATGTGGGAAGGTCTGTATTACCCCAAATGGTAAATAAAGCAGGACCTTAATAGGGCCAATTATATCAGTGAGTTTTTGAAGAGCGTTATTTTGCAACTTTTATGAGGGCAATATTTGGTTATTTTGTCTATTTTGATAAATTTTACATTCCGTTCATAACTGTCTCACCTTTGAGAATAGCCTGTATATGCGCAGTTTTTATTGTATTCATTAATGCATTTGCTGAATTATTTGATTGTTTGTTTGTCTCACCCAGAAGGTTATACATTCTTTCTTCTCATTTTTCTCTCGTTTGTACCCCAATATACTGCTTCAACATGAACTTCGCGTGAAGGGAGAAACTCCCAAATGAGCTTCTCAGTGGGAATAAACACGTCCGCATTTCAAACGGAAATGTACGCAATCTTGCAATGTGTAAGAATAAACAATATGCAAAATGCACTGATCAAAATATGCACCGATAGCCAAGCGTCACTGAAAGCTCTCACGAACCCGAAAGTGACATCCAGACTGGTACTGAAATGCAGAGAACTCAATGCCCTGTCAGAACATAACAAAATTCCTGTTATGGGTTCCAGGACATTGCGGCATAGGGAACGAAAAAGCTGATGAACTGGCAAAAACCGGCTCATCAACTCCATACCTTGGCCCCGAACCCGTACTCGGGATAACAAAAACAGCTACCCGAGGATACATACGGGACTGGATCAAGCACATGCACAGAAAAGTATTCATCGAAGAACCGTCGAAAAATGAATCTGTAGAACTACTCGAGATGAGTAGGAACCAAGTCAGAACAATAACGGGACTTGTCACTGGTTACAGTCACGAGAGGACACCTGAATAAAATCGGACTGTAAAATGGAGAACTTCTCTGTAGACAATGCGGTAAAGGGACAGAAACAGCCAAATACTTCTTAATAAAATGCGAGACATTGGATCGCAAAACACAAGAAATATTCGGGCAGCCTAGGCTGACACCCGAAGAATTCAAAGCCAACCGGCGAAGAACCTGTACAGACTATTGCAGGGAATAAGAGCTACGGAATGGGTGCTGTAAAATAAACTGGAATGCACAAAAAGCCCAGAAGCCTGAAGTGTAGCCGGTGACAGGACCAGCATCCAAGGAAAAAACATGTCTCACCCGGGAGGTTATATATTCTTCTTCTCAGTTTTCTCTTGTTTTTAGTTTGAGCTTTTTTCGATGACTAGATAATGGTCCAGTGGATTGATAATGAATTATTGGCACTGAATTACTCAACTGTGTATTAAATCGTGACGCCAGTCTTTACTCGCGGTAAATTTCTATCCGTTTGAAAATTATTGGCATTATTGATGATTTGAGCACCTAAAAATCCGAAAAATTCTGAAAAAATGTTCAATTGAAAGGTATTTGAGTGCTGATTCTATTGAAGTACTGTCCACTCGCCTGAAATTTTGTAATACCTCTATCAAAAAATAGAAATGTTTGCAATGGTAATTCTGAAGTGGAAAAATATGAAGCAAAGCATTTGTCAAAATAATTTGATCAAAATTCATCAGCAGGAAACTTCCCTCCTTAGCTTTAATTTTAAATGTCATTCAGATAAAGGAAATTCAAATATAAATTCGTGAAACATAATAGAATTGACATTCAATAGTTCTCGATGAAAATTGGGCTTCAAGAACGTTTATTCTTCTCACCCTGTCTGATGCAACACGTCGCACAAATGGAAGAGAATCTCCACTTCCAGCGGCGTCATCTGCGACATCGCTTGAGCAGAGTGCATAAACTCCTCTTTGCTCACTTCTTGCGTCCTATGACCGTTGGTGACGTTGAGGTAGATGCGCTTCACCAGCTCCATATTGTTGAGGAGGGAATTGAAGGCGATGAAGAAGGGGAAGCTGACCCTGCTGCCGCCGTGGGATTTGTGAGCTGCCTGATCATAATGATACGAACTAGAGGTGGCAAACTATCGATAGTATTGACTATCGATAGTTTTCTTTCGATAGTGAATATTTCTAAAAAACTATCGATAGTACCATCGATAGTTTGCCATCTCTAATACGAACTTGTTTATTATCGAACTAGATCTCGTAACTAAAAGATCTAGGATGAAGATAGTTGATGAGGCCTGGTGGGCCGGAACAGTACTGTCTCGCTCCTGCTGACAATTGAGGCAACTCTGTTCATCCGAGATATGTTAGTTATGAGATCTAGTTCAATAAATAGGACTGGTGGATTATTCCACTCAAGTAGTTAGTTAGTGCCATCTGCCAGCAGAGTGGTTTACTTATAGTACCACTTGGTAACTTGTAGACGTAGGGGTCTGCAGTTATGCCACGATCGCATGATCCTACCTTAGGACTATGCTACTAGATAATACATGATAATAATAACATTTATTGATCTAAGACACATAGGTTCATGTTCAGAGAGGGATGCAAAGAATAGTTATTTTTGTATCTAGTGTGCAAAATGCTAGTTTGGTGGCCGAGAACTGAATTTTTCAAGGACAAACGTCAAAAAATATAGTTCTAAAGTATTAATATGCTTAGCTTAATATAAAAGAAGCTTTGAACTGGCTTAAAAGGCCTCTCCATATTCTCCCTAGGAACGCATGATGTTCCACGAACATTATAGGAATTTACTTTCGTTCGCTTTAAGAGATAAAAAAATTATTGTTGATCATTCTGAAATAAATGATTTTTAGGATGTTTGCTCGATTGAGGACCATGAAGTTTGAATACAAAAATCTCATATAGTTTTCATCACAAAAACATGAAAAAAGTGTCGTTTTTTGACGTTTGTAGAAAAAATAATAATAAATGAATCGAATGTGCAATAAAATTAGAGATTAGTTCAATCAGAATTAACTGATACAAGGAGAGAGTTAAATTGATTAAATATATTTCTTCAGTTCACTCTTGAAATTTGTGAAAAACTTAATAGATTTTATTCTGTTGGTAGACTATTATAAATTATCAATCATCCGTTATAAATTATTATTATTATTGTTAATTTATTCATCTTTGTTGATTATACAGAGTTGACATAAAACATATCAGGGGTCAAACAAAAAATATATACAGGGTATAATTCAATTGAAGGCCGAAAATATTTTTCCTTACCTCATTTTACGAACAAAAATTCATATGAACACATTCCCTAAACCTAAAGTTATGATAAGGAAACGAGTTTTTGTCTTAAAATGTCAACATTGAATAGGTCAAAAGTTAAGAGGATTAGGGTATATGTACAGATGAACTTTTCGTCTCAAAATGAGCTGAAGAACCATATCCGTTATTTTTAGCCCTTAATTAAATTACACCCTGTATATAAAACACTGCTAGTATAGGTACAAAACAACACATTGAATCAGTAAGAATGTTATACAAACACTTCGCTATTGAACATTTTCATTTCATTATAGTGTGCCAGAGCTGATAAATATCGAGTGTTTGAGAAAACAAAATTGTTCACCATATCTTGTAATAATGATGGAAATCATGGTTTATAGCGAATTCCGTTGCATTGTTCTTTGAATATAAAATACATTTGTAGATATTGTTCAAAATGTGACGTTAATATTTCTGATTTGATCTTTGTTATCAAGTACTGAAATATATAAACACAGTTTATTTCATATTTTTATAAATATATTTCAGTTAGTGCTTTTACAAGGTGATCTATGTAAGACTTCAATGAAATTACAATAATAGAGAGGGGTTTAGCTAGCCAGAGCCACCTGCAACTGCGACGTACCAGTTCAGTGTGCAATGAAAGCGGGTAGAGGGCGCTTGACCTTGAATATTCAATAATCATAATAATAATAATAATGATAATGATAATAATATTATTTATTCATTCATTACAATTTACATCAAGGTAGAGTGTATTTGTTATTACATTGATGGAGAGAGAGTTCAGCTTTATTATTATTACAGTTATTGCATTACATTATTTTCTTCATTGATACATTTCATACAAATAATATATAAAGTATAATTATTTTCTAGTAGGAATGACATGAATGATCAGACAGTAATTCCTGGTATAAGATCATTCATGAAGTATTATCGACTGTTGTATAATTGAAATTACAAATAGTGAACAAAACTTACATATCATTAAGATACAGTCATATTATAGTGAACGAGAAGGGGAAAAATAAAAACAGTGAAAAAAAAAAAAAAGAAAAAAGGAAATTCATGGTCTTTCAGCTTTGATCATTCCTTTGCATATAAATATATTTCTTAACTTTATTTTTGAATTGAATAATATTTGGGCTGTTTTTGATATCATCTGGTAATTTATTGAATTTCGAAATCGCCTCATGTGTAAACTTTTTTTGCCCAAGTTTAGAATTTGCAGCTTCAAGATGAAACAAGTTATATTGTCTAGTGTGATGATCATGAATTTCAGAATTCCTGATTAATATAAAATTTGATTTAAGCTTTTTGTTGATGATATAATAGGAAATTTTGAGAGTATTGATTAAAAAGTGCTCTTCCAAAGAAAATGTGTTTGTTTCCTTATACAGTTGATTCGTTGGAGTGTCATATGGAAGACGATACAATACTTTCAATGCCTTTTTATATAGAACAGAAATTTTGTTGAAACTATTTTTGGAACAAGATCCCCAAATATTTATGAGATAGTTAATTCGACTGAGTATATGTGAATAGAGAATGATATTTGATGTATATGTACTAAGTTTAGGACATCTTCTCAAAGCACCAATAATTGGAGATACTTTTCCTATGAGGATGTCAATATGCTTTCCCCATGTTAATTTCTCATCAATCCAAATACCAAGGTATTTGGTATGGGCAGTTTGTTTCAAACGTTCATTTTTTATTCTGATATTCAGATCAATATTTTGTTTATTTCTTTGACGAAAAATCATATATTGAGTCTTATTGGAATTGAGAGAAAGAAGATTGGAATAAAGCCATTTCTCAATTTTTTTCAAGTCCTCATTTATGATATGTTCTAGAACTACTGGGTTTTTATTCTCATATAGAAGCACTGTATCGTCTGCATATATGGTATAGTTTCCTATCAAATTCATTCTTTCAATATTTTGAATGTATAATAGATAAAGAATTGGACCCAACACTGATCCTTGAGGAACCCCTTTGTTTAAATATAGTATTTTAGACTCACAGTTATTAATTTTAGTTATAATCGTTCTATTTTCAAGATATGATTTCAAGAGATCGTGTCCAATTCCTCTGATTCCCATTGAAGCAAGGTTTTTCAGAAGTATATTGTGGTCAACTGTATCAAAAGCCTTTTTTAGATCCATGAAAATCGCTACTACATAATTTCCTTTGTCAAGTCTGTCCTGAATGAAATTGATTACTTGTAGCACAGCAGATTGTGTACCACTGTTTTCTTGAAATCCGAATTGGTTCAAATCGAATCCAAATTTTTTATTGATAAAATCTACAATTCTTTTTTTAAGAATTTTTTCTAGAATTTTGGAGAAAATACTTAATAATGCTATTGGCCTATAATTTACTGGATTTTGAGCATCACCACTTTTATATATAGCCCGTAAAGAGGTATTTTTCAATTCATCTGGAAAAATACCTGTTGTGAAAGATATATTGATTAATTTTGTTAGTGGTTTGGCCAAAATATTTTTCAATTCTATTATATCTCGTGTAATCAAACCTTCTGGATCAGGACATTTTTTTTTAAGAGTGCTAATTGTATTTATTATTTCATATTCATCAGTGGGAATCAGAAGTATTGTTGAATCATTGTAACGTGGTGCAATATTGTCAGTAGTCATATAATTGTAGAATTGTTTCAATTCATTAGCAGTATTTTCACCAATACTTGAAAAGTGTGAGTTCATTAACTCAGTTATTTCTAGATTGCTATTGATAATTTGGCCATTAATTTTTAAAGATTCAATATCTGCCTTCTCGGAAATTTTCGATTTATTTCTCAAACAGTAATTGATTGTATCCCACATTTTCTTTGGATTACCTTGAGATTCTTCAAATTTTCTATTGATATATTCAATTTTAGCTCTCTTTACCATGGCATTAACTTTATTCCTTTGAATTTTATAATCAGTAAGAAATTCTACATTATGATTGTTTCGTTTGAATATTTCAAATTTTTTATTCCTAATTTCAATTTCACGAATTATCGCATTAGTGATCCAGTCATTGTTTTCACGAATCCTCATGTTTGTTTTGATAGAAGATAGTTCTTTAGCTTCCAAAATTAAATTCATTAAATCTTGAAATTCTCTGCACTGACTTTTATTTAGATTTTCAGATAATATTCTTCTGAATTTTGGATAATCAATTTTAATTATTTCTCGTTTTTTATAATTTTTCAATACAATATCTGTTTTTTTAATGGATGTATATATTATTCTATGATCACTTATTGAGGTATCTTCTAATTCTATGTTGAAATTCAGGTGGTAGCAGTTAGTAAGAATATGATCAAGAATGCTGAAACAATTGTTTTGTTTCCTGGTATAATACATTGCATCAATTTTGTTCATGATATGGAAACCATTGCTATTAATTATGTTTCTATAATTAGTAGTATCATTACTGTCTGCTAAGAGATTGATATTCATATCTCCCATTATAACAATTTTTTCATGAATCTCCATGGTTTTATCAATATATTCAAAAAAATCACTAATTTTTGAATTCGGTGGTCGGTAGAGGGCAATTATTTTCAATTTGGAATTAAATTGGGAAATATCAATTTCAATGGTATTGTATTCTTTATTTATATTGCTTTCAATTTTTTGATATATCAGGTCATTCTTTAAATAAATTGCCACCCCACCTCCCTGTTTATCGTCACGACAATGGTGGATACTATTGAAATTAGGAATATTAACATAATCTGTTTCATTTGATTTCATCCAAGTCTCAGTTAAAATCAGGATATGAGTTTCTCTATTATTTTTCAATATAACTTCTATTTCATCAATTTTGTTAGCCATACTTCGAATATTTAAGTATAGTATATTCAGATCATTGATTTTCGTGAATTTACCAAAATTTATATTATTCATAATTTGTTCTATCTTTAGCTGAAGCTATTTTTTTTTGTAAAATTGGACATTCATCACTATCAGAAGTATGATTATACGTATTATTTACTTTGAATTTATCATTTGCGATTTTACAATTTATGCAACAAGGGCTATTATGATTATCACATTCATTACTTTTATGATTCCCAGAACAAAATGAACAGCTCAAGGGATTTCTGCAATCCTTTGCAAGGTGCCCATAAGCATTACAATTGGAACATGTCATTATATTTAAATCTTCTCTAATATTGAACCTATGCCATCCAAGAACTATAATTTTGTTAACTAACTTTCGAAATGTTTTACCATTAGTTTCCACATAAATTATATATTTTTTGGTGTATTTTGACTGTCTGGAAAATTTTATATTCAGAATATCTTCATCATCTATATAGTTGAATATGCGCAGTTCTTCCTTCAATTCTTCTGTATTTCTATATTTTTTTGTTCCAATGAAAACTAATCTGGGTGATCTGAGCTTGGATGTTGTTATGATATATTCATTTCCTATGGCTTTTTCTGTCACTTCTTGTAAACGTTTTATTTCTGCCTCTGAATTAGATTTCAGTAGTACTCCTCCTTTTTGAATTTCTTGAATTTTTGTTATGCCAGCTTTGGCTGTAACAGGATTTATTTTAGCTTGGATATCTTTTTTGGTTTTTTCATAAGTTTGATTATTTCTCGGTTTTATGATTAATGCTGGAGTATTGTGTGGGGGTATATTCTGCTTCTGATTGTTACCTTTGAGTATATCAGAATAACTTTTTCCATTGTTTCCAATTTCGTTCGAGTTTTTTAAAGTTTTGTCAAGTTTTTCATTTAATAAATTCAACTCCTTCAATATAATATCTTGTTTATCATTTCTCTCCTTGATCATTTTATTGTATTCTTCTATTAGATAGCCTACCTGACTATTGAGTCTTTTTATCACTTTCTCATTATCTGAAATGATGTCATTCTTTACTTTTAGTGCTTCTTTTAGTAATTCGTTTTCTTGTTGCAGATGAAATATTTCATTATCCTTCATCAGCTGTATTTCAGGTAGAGTTTGGGTAATGGTGAAGTTATTACTAGTCTTTTCTTCATCGTCATAGTTCACTTGGGTGAATTCAAAATCTTTATTGCATTGATCTTCCTGTAGAATTTTCTTGTCTTGTGACATATTGACAAGACTATTTTTCCATGAATGTCAAAATCATATTTGGAAATTAAATACCTTAAAACTCTGAATGGCAAGCCTTCTCCAATGGAACACATACAATATACACCACACTCAAGATATATACAGTTTTTTCACTTGATAAAACAGTTTTTTCACAATTATATGATAATATTCTACAGCCTGAACTTTACAGTGTGACTAACTATTCAACAATGTAACTCTTGGCTGGGTAAACTTCCCAGGAGTATTTTTGATTGATAATGACTGAAATATTTTATATAGATCACCCTGTATGAGCGAATTGTAATTACCTGACATCCCTAAATCCTGCAAAATTTCCAGATAAAAAAATCTCCTGAAACTATTCAATTATTCCAATGCTTCCAATATATCTCCTTACCTCGATAAGGTGTGACTGAACCTGCTTGGTAAGCAAGTGACTCTTGATGCTAACCATGATTTCCTGAAAATCCAAAATCGATATAAAACCTGTGCCATTTTTATCTGCCCTTCTAAAACCTTCAATGGCATACTCTTCATGGAAATCGTGCAAAAACTGACTGAACTCGTTGTAGGTGACCAGACGACTTTTGTCCTTCCCAAAGTACAATTGGATGAAGGGGGAGTCCATGTTGAACGGTATTTTTCGATGCAGTTCCGTCTTTTTCATCACCTCAACGAACTCCTCTGCAGAAAATTAGAGAAATTCGAATCTTCCAATGCATGTACAGGGTGATTGACTATGGATTTCTCGACTTCAACAGCTGATATCACGAAAACGAAAAAATATATTTGAAATTTGGAAAAAGGTACTTGAATGAGATGTCATTTCCTTCTAGAAAATGTGTTCTCTGCTTGATTTTATCATTTCATATACAGGGTTCGTGAAAAAAATTTTTTTTTTCAAATGGAACCCCCTGTATATTATCGGATATTTCGGAAGAGCTATCTTTCCTGATTTCGAAGATATATATTTTTCATATATTCTATCGAGGGCTTGACGAAATATCAGCAAAATTAAATATTAATATTTGGTCCAAGTTAGCTATGGTTGAAATAGAATGAGATGATGAATAAGTGAATTGACATTTGGCCAACATTCAAGTGACATAAGTGCGCAAAATTTCGACAATTTTCTCACTATGCCATATCCACTGGAACAAAGAAGAGATATTTTGGAGTGCTATTTTTCAGTTAATAAAAATCTTGCTGAAACACTTACACTTATACTTACTCAAATTTAATCTTTCAGATATGACAAGACAAAATTCAATCCGCTTCTCATTATCATCATAATTGAGTTTGTGGCATGGTCTTATTCTGAAATCCCTATATTTATGTTTCCTTAAGGTATGTTGAACAAAATGATAGCTGAAACCAAACTCTTTCACTGCATTTCTTATTGACCGTGAAGGATCCTCAACAAAATACTGGATTACAAGAAGTTCCTCGTCTTCGTTGTCTTGCCTTCTCACTATTCTCTTGATATTCGACAAACTGGAAGTTCTGTCAAATTTAGCAGCCAAATACTTTACATAATTCTTACTTGGTTATCTCCTGCCTGAATAACTCCTCATAAACTTATGAAGTGTTTCAGCAAGATTTTTATTAACTGAAAAATAGCACTCCAAAATATCTCTTCTCTGTTCCAGTGGATATGGCATCGTGAGAAAATTGTCGAAATTTTGCGCACTTATGTCACTGAAATGTTGACCAAATGTCAATTCACTTATTCATCATCTCATTCTATTCAACCATAGCTAACTTGGACCAAATATTAATATTTAATTTTGCTGATATTTCGTCAAGCACTCGATAGAATATATGAAAAGTATATATTTTCAAAATCAGGAAAGATAGCTCTTTCGAAATATGCGATAATATACAGGGGGTTCCATTTAAAAAAAAAATTTTTTTTCACCTACCCTGTATATGAAATGATAAAATCAAGCAGAGAACATATTTTCCAGAAGGAAATGACATCTCATTCAAGTAACTTTTTCCAAATTTCAAATATCTTTTTTTGTTTTCGAGATATCAGCTGTTGAAGTCGAGAAATCCATAGTCAATCACCCTGTACAGCTCATTGAAAATAATAATGGATGCTTAAATGATTCATAAGTGTTCCCATTCAAATGTAGATATTGTGCCTAATTTCCGAAAATGGAGGTTTATCGAACCTGTCCACATGTTGGGAAAGTAGGATATATAAAAATTAAGCAAGCCAAGGTTGGTTTAGTTCATTTTACCAGTATATCACCTGACGAAGCTAAACATGTGTGTTTGAGAATTTTGTGGAAATCTTATCGTTCTTGAAGTTTTTACATTTGCCATGGAAGTATTCAAGTGTTTTAAGAAACAATACGTTCGTGTTATTTTGTTAAATAACAATTAAAAAAAGTTAGATATGGCCACATTTTTAGCGGGTAAAAATTTTGAAAATTAAGTAACATCGATCAAGGTACTTACGAAAACTAACCATTCCATTTCCATTAGTATCGAATAGCTGGAAGGCAGTCTTGTACAGGGCGTCTGGAAAACATAGCAGCCCTTCAAACGCCTGGAACTCCGGGTAGGAAATGAGGCCATCTTTGCTCGTGTCAACGATGGCCGCCAAAAGCCTCGCTGTATCGGCATTGTAATTTTGATCGTCGAGAAGTTTGAGGAAATTGATGACGAAATCCTCAGCTGTCATGAATTTTTCCCCATTTTTGTCGATTGAAGCGTATTTGTTGAAGATACTTTGCAGTTGAATTTCATTTGCCCTTTTCAAGAATCCTACTCCCTAAATAAGAAGAGTGGTTCTCTGAGTGATTATTCAAATATGGAATGAAATTTTAAATGCACTGAACAAAATCAGCTAGCTGTATATTGAAGAATATAGAATATAGGGGAACCAACCCTCCAATCCAGAGGGTTTAAGTAATATTAGTGGGGCACGAACAGCTCTTAACAATATCCTTATGACTCTGTAATTACTCTTTGAATGTTTTTGGGAAACAAGAATATTTGTACCTGATCAAATTACCAAAATCAACTTTTCACACTGACCTCTTCTGTAACTTTCACATTTTTGTCCATATTTTTGTAGAGGAAAACTGTTCCTGGATATTATTTTCTATCATTAGCATGTAAAATCATTCTGGGCGTCGGTGTTTAAAAATAGTCACAGCGCAGATTTTAGCACATTGTGTATAATGTTGAAAAAGAAATCTGTGCATTGTCGCTTTATCGCGAATGATATTCGGGTGATGAGGAAAGTGAATAGAATATAATTATAAAATGACATAGTGGTGTAGAATGCAGTGTGACAGTTGTGTAAATGACGGTAATAAATGCGATTGTTTTTCAAATTTTCAAAATGTCAATGTTGTTGATAATCCAAACTGAGATCCAAACTATTAGTAGAGGAGGCAAAGAGGCTAAATAGGGATTTATGAAGTTCAACTTCAGCTCCTAGGAACTTAGTATTGCCTAGCAACATATCTATGTTTGTGTCAGTGATAGAAACGTCAATTCGAGAGTCGAGAGCTAATTTTGGTGTTAAGAAGGACGACTTTAGTGTCGGTTGCACAAAAACATAGTTCCTAGCGGCTGCACGCACGCAAACTTATTAATTAATGATTTTTGCTACTTCGGCTTGTCCAAATTGGCAGATTATGTTATTTTCCTGATCTGTCAATTATTTTCTTCAAAATAAATAAAAAATTAATCGCGCTCGAGGTCCAGGTGACGATTATATTTTGCAACTTTGTGGATCTGCTATTTTCTTATGTATGGCTCAAATCATCAGATTATTGAAATGCATACTTTTTTGCATGTAATTACCTTGCCTTTTTTACTAATCTGATCGGCTGCCCTAGACATTCGACAGAACATATCCCAGGTATGATTGTAGGGTAATTTTGCACTTTTTATGCGATGGTTTTTTTTCGAAAAATTTTTTTGGTACTTACGTATTTTTGTCTGAAAAACACGAATTTGATAAGGAAAATGTGAACAAACCACTATTTATCGAGATAACGAGATATTTCAGGAAAAAGTTCGAAATTTTGCCTTCATATCCCCCTTCTGTTGGATGCATTTACAGGTACTTGCTCTTTTTATTTTGTCATTGGACACTTTATATACTCATGATGTACTTCAATGACACATTTTAAGATAAAAAATTCAACAGGCAATATGATTTTTATGACGATTTTTCCCTATTTAATCCATAGGCAATCCAAAATCCAAATACGAGATGTCAAATGTCAATAGATTGCTTTGGAATGACATTACACACGCCATTATTTCAAATGATATTCTTCCTTCTTTTCACTAAACATGGATAAATCACAAGAAAATCACATTTCTACTTGACTCATATAATAAAAAAAATGTGTCCAACATTGTGTGCTATATATGAATTGTCCAATGATGGAAAAATAAGGGAAAATTGTTCTAAATGGGATCCAGAAGTCAGGCGGAAAAGAAGGTGAAATTTGTAACTTTATAGTGAAATATCTTAATAAATAATGGTTTATTCACATTTTCATTATCAAATTCGTGTTATTCAGACAAAAATACGTAAGTACCAAAAAAAAAATTCGAAAAAAAACATCGCATGATAAGTGCAAAATTACCGATTGAGTACTTCACAAGGTGCAAGGTTACCCCCCTTAAGATATTCTTCCGCGATCCAGTAAATTTCAAATTCTCCGCTTGGGCTCCCCTACTATATGGATCCAAACCAAATCCTAAAGTTTTCACGTGACCAAAGTGCACGTGACCTTCGTGACCAGTGTCATATATATCATAACCACAGATCAACAAACTTGTTAATCTGTGTCATAACTCATTTAATCCGTGTCATAAGCATCCTTGAAGCATCATTAGCAGGGTTGCCATCTTAGCGGTTTTGTCGCTAAATTTAGAGTTTTTAGGGTAGGTGAATGCGACATTTCAACCTGATTAGCGACGTGTGGATTTCTAGCGTTTTCAACATAGTTATAGCGGTCGCATAGCGGTTTATATGGAGATATTTTGATCATATGAATTGGTGACGACGGATATGAATAATACACATTGAAACATATTCGAGACGAAGAGATAAGCAGACGGTTTGTTTTTATCATTTGCGATACTTCTTCCACTTTTGAATAATATTTTGTATATCATTATTTGATATGGTTCAAAATATTGTGATGCTTGTGAAGATTTCATTTTGCCTAAATCAGTATTGAAACTTATAGGAACCAATGGCAATGTAGTCGCAGATCTGTATGATGTTGAACTAAAACTATAAGGGTTGATACATGGTTTGACAGGTTCATCAATGTATGATTAGATCAAAGACATACCTACCTCAAATACGATCGATGATTTAACCTCGGATTTACCAATGTATGTACAGTCGCCTTCAGATATCATGTCGCACATGGACGGTGTCAGCTTTCTTAATCACCGCTGCAATAAGAGCGCTCATACCGTCTAAACGCGATATGTTAACTGAAGACGAGTGTACCTATACCTAGTATAGGTACCGAATGAAATTGTATAGGAAAATTCACCAATATTCATTGAAATGTGTTTTTTTCGTTCTGAAATTATTCTGAATATGTAAAGTTTTCTACGATTATTTATCTGATGTTAACTGGAGTAATAACTGAAAATGAGAAAATATGATAAAAATGTCACTAAATTACGAAAAATGTCGCTTTGCTTCCTATAGCAACTTCTAGTGGTTTTTTCCACCAGCTGGCAACACTGAACATTAGTTCATAGGAATTGAAACTCTTGAAGTCTTGAATACTCTTGAAATACATACTAGAGACATACTGTCATACAGGATCATTCACATATCTGAGGAACCTAGGATTTAATTTTTGCAAGTATATATCCAACATATGGAAAATATGCTTCTTGTTGAGTTTAGGTTTAATTTAGGTACCATGTTCCATGTTTTCCAATGACTTCAAGGTTGATGCTTACTAGAGATAAGGAATTATTGTATTTGAATCTTGACTAGAAATTTGATAAATGCCTATCTCTGTTGGGAAAGAAATTTGTTTTCTCAAAAATTTAATAGGTTTGTTAAAAACATCATATCTCGCGTCATATTCATATTACAACATGATTTTATTTATAATGAATATGCATAATATTCAAGAGGTGGAGAAACCTCACTTTGATCTCACTGATACCTAAACAAAAGGAATATTGTCATATTCCATGGATATATTTAAATATTATAATATTAATATACCTATATATAGAGAGCACAAACATAATAATTATAGATGAATGTAGTAATTAGTTATTATTTTGGTATTATCAACAATTATCAACAGAGGAATTATGTATTAATTCATTACACGATAAAATTTTTCTGAATTATTGTAGTATACCACAATGAAACTAGGAGAAGATCCTGTAAAATATTTCCTTATTAAACAGAAGAAGTATAATATGATGGTATCTCAGAATCTGATAATCTAAATTGATAAAGGTGAATATATGAAAAATGACCTCTGGAATTGCAAAGTAGGTTTATCAGGTACTTTTTCCATTTTTATCCATTAAATTGATAAACTTACCCACCTCTTGACAATGTACTTTTTTCGAAAAGATGTTCAATCTGTCCATTCCAACGGAAAACGTCTAATTTTTCAGCACTTGAATTTATTACAGAAAGATATTAACAACGCAATTAGATTACAGCTTCTACAAAATTTATTTAATTTTATCACTTCTTGGATCAAATCAACATATTATGCCGACAAAATAACATGAAAAATTAACATGACAAGAAAATGGAAGGTCGAAAGGTAGGGTTAGGTCAGCTGAGGTTCTGGCAAGTGGCACTTAGGTTGATTGACGTTTGACGTATGATGACGTAACACGTCAAAACTTGACCAGTTGTGAAGTGGAATTAGTGGAATTCACCCAATAATCTGTAGGAAACCTCAAATAAGTAGATCACAAAAAAAGCGCAAAGTTCATACTCAAAATTCAACTTCTTTTCAGCAATTATTCCATTTGCAAAATTGTATGCGAAATTTGCGCTGTGTACGTATATTTAGCAAAAACCACCTATCACCTGTCCCTGTCAGTGATGGCAACACTGTCACCTGTTCCTCTTTTTTTTGAGGTTAGGTTATTGATTGAACATTTGACATTTGATCATTTTTTAGCCCAACCAAACACCAAACTTTGATTAGAGCTTTGAAGGAGGCTTTAAATATTCAATTTCATATCAACTTTCGTTATCCCTATATCAATGAAGGAATCATTGTGAGTGATGCATACTATTAATCCGTTGAATGGATACACACTAGACCAGGACATGGAATAACAAGAACAACTTCAAACAAGGACTTCTACTACTACAGAAAGAAGATGAGTACTGATACTGAGGACAATCAAATTAATTCCATTGTTAAAAAACCCAGCAAAGTGGTAACTTATCATAGCTAATTCAGAATCCATCAAAGGTAATCTTGACTTGTCCCTCAATTTTTAGGACACCCTTCTGAATCATTTGGAAATTTCTGTAGCCGAGTCTGAAAAACGGGTGAATGGTTCTCTGAACCTCAGAGATTTCTACACAGTTTACTTAATTGAAGTCAAGTAAGCAATGCTATTCACACCTAATTGTTAATTATCTGTATAAAGAACAGCCATATTCATCTTTAGCAACCTTGAACATATATTTTATTATGTTGAATCTTGTGACAATAAAAATGACTTCCAGCAAAAGTTCTAATTCCATTAATTTTTTCAGGGCTACTGACCCAGAATTTCAAACAAAACTAGGCAAGCTCACTTCAGTATGGAGAAGATACACAGAATTTGAACAACTCAGAGACTACCTAGAAGTCACCTATCCATACATTGTCCTGCCACCATTGCCAGAGAAAAGAGTTTTGTATGGCTGGCAAAAAATATCAAATGATACATTTGATCCTAACTTTATTGACCGTAGAAGAGCTGGCCTAGAGAATTTTCTGTTGAGAATTGCAGCCCATCCTTTACTTACCTGGGATGAACATTTTCTGGAGTTTCTGCAACAAGAAGAAGGTTGGAGGGAGTCCTACAAATCCAATGGTACCTACAATAAATCACAATCAATGCTCTAATTCACTCACCATATTTTGCTATTTCTAGGTTATATCCAATTGGTAGAAAACAAACTGAAAAGTATTAGTGTTTCAGTTCGTTTGAAGCAACCAGAACCCAAATTTGAAGCCTTCAAAGACTATGGAGGCAACCTTTATATGAACCTCAACAACCTGCTGAAAGCTCGTTCTAGAGTAGCTGAAAAACAATATATTATCCACAAATTGCATGCCAACTATGGCAGAGTTTTCAGCGAGTGGAGTGTCATAGGTTGGATATGTTCCCCTGCTTTAAAATACCAACCCTCACTTGTTTTATTCAACTCATTTCAATCCATAACAGTTGATCTTCATCATATTAGTAGTGAATCCAGTAATTCCTTGAAAAAATGCATATTAACATGTGTCCAATCTTTACTTTGTTTTTGAAGTATGAGGTGTATAACCCTGGATAGCCAGATTTGCTCAGACCTTAGTGAGAATTTGAAATAAGTCAGTGAATTTGGAATATAATATGGTCATGAAGATGAAGAAACTCTTCACTTTAACATTTCCTAAAATTTTGATGAATGGGATATTATATTCACAATTTTCAGTAAAAAATTTAAATTTCACATTATTCTTCAAGTAGAAAAGGTGGATTACTAGTTGAATAATTGACAACATATTGTCACTGGAAAGATAAAAGGTCTAAAGTGCCATCCCAAAGGAAAATGAGTTATAAACATGACTAAAAAGCCCTTTTTTACTGCATTGATCTGTCTTCAGTTTGATAGCATTCTGATCATTTTGATGGTGCCTAAGTTCATGTTAAATCAGTATCTACAATACAAAATATTTGCTTAAATAACATAAAAATTTCACATTTTCCTACTATAGTGAAATAAGTCACCTTCAATATTAAATAAAGTACCATTTGTTATTTTAGTTTTGATTATTTTCTACCATTTTGTTGATTAATCCATCTGACATGACATACATACATAACTATGTTTTGCCTGTTAGTCAATTTGCATAATATAATATTTAGAAGGATTATTGTTTTAACCCATTACATTCTTAGGATATAAGAGAGATGGTGTGTTAGTCAAATCAGCTTTATGAGGTTTATGTGTTCCTAAAAGATAAATATTGTTGTTCTTTATCACCCCATATTTGTTTATAATAGGGATACATAAACATATGATATATATATAAAACAATAAAAAAAAACTAATTAAGGAGTTATGTCAATATAACATAATAATTAAAATAAAAATCATTCCAAGTATTCAAATGAGAATGAATTGCTCCGTTTATAGTGTCATGAGTATATATTTTTTCATATTGACTTTGAATCTTGTTTCATCATCAATATGTTTCAAATCATAAGGTAATGAATTATATAAAATGATTCCCTTGTAGAATACTGATTGTTTGCCAATGATGGAGTTATATGGGTTTGCTATTAATGAATTCAACTGTCTCGTTGCATGAGTATGAATTGTATTTACTTCAGTAAAGTTCAAGTTGGATATTTTTATTTTTTTCTCACAAAATGGATGAAAGAACAAATTTTCATTTTATATAAAGATGATAAATTCAACAGATTTTTTGGTTTGTAAAGATTAATAGTTGGTTCCAGGTAATGTAAATTGTAAATGCACTTAATTGTTTTATTTTGTAATTTAATTAATGGTTTCAAATGTGATATATACTTGTGCTTCCCCAAATCGATATTAAATATTGTAATTTTGAGTAAATCAGACAGAAATATATGTATATTCTTCAAATATCTAAGAGGAATGAAATTTCGAATTTTGTATAAAATGCCAGTAGTTGAATTCACCTTTTTTCTCAGGTGATCTATATGTTTAGTCCACGATAATTGTACATCAATATAAAGACCTAAGAATTATGTAACATCTAAATATTTTATGGCTTTCTGGTTGAAGAATATTGTTGTTTTCAACATATCAGTTTTTCTTTTTGAAATATACATAGTAGATTTGTCATAGTTAAGAGTCAGCTTATGAATTTGTAACCAAGATGATATCATTTTCAAGTCACTTCTTATATCATCAACTATATCGTTAAATTCTTTAGAGGAGTAGATTATTGTAGTATCATCTGCAAATAACTTCAGATCTCCTTTTAGTTTCAAAGATGATATTGAATTGATGTAAATTAAGAATAAAATTGGACCTAAAACGGAACCTTATGATCCACTATAAGGTATTTTTGATTTACAATTTGGTTGTTTGTTTCAGTAGACATTTCACTCTGTTAACTTGTAGAAAAGTTTTTGTGATCCATATCAATTCTCAGGTATTTTGTGGTAATATACTAATTCTCACATTATGAGCAATTCATGTTTTTAAAATTGAATAAGCTATGAGGATTACGCTACTTTTCATAGCAGTTGTAGAAAAAAAAATTTCCCGTTCCTCTTTCAGAAAAAGACATGGGCGATGCACTGCAAAAAACAGGCCACTACCTGGACTCCCTCGCCTCCTCCATAGACGCCAACCTAGAGGACGAAGAACTGCTAGCTGACCAGCTCAAGGAGTACCTCTTTTTCGCCGGCTCGCTGCAGACCGTCTGCAGGCACCACGAGCAGCTGCAGCTGCGCCTGGAGGACGCAGAAGATACCGTGGCCGGCAGGAACGTGGAGCGCACCAGGGTGCAGCAGGGCAAGACGGGGTTGATGTCGAAGCTGTTCGGGGCCGTGGACAGCGACGAGGTTATTTATTTATTCATCTTTAATAATTGTTCTGAAAAAAATTGTTCTTATCCATCATTCGGTTGCCCCCTTACCAGCTACCCTCAGAAGTCTTCAAGAGACTTGTGCGAGCAAGGAATGACGGGGGTCTTACCTTTTAACGTTTGATCCCAAACACTGTCTTAGGCCATCAGAAAAATTTCTGCGGTCGTAGTGGGACTCGAACCCACTACCGGTAATCCAACGTAAATAGAACATTGACGCTCTAAAAAGTTGAACTTTAGCTCCTAGGAACTAAAAATGATCTACTGGACGCCATCAAGAATAAACAACATTGTGACGGTTGGTCATTTGGGTTGAGACGCATACCTGATTTGTTTCCGATTTCAGCAGATTTGGCATTTCATACCCATGCTGGAGATATAAATACACCTTATTATAGTTTAGTATTGGATTTATAAACATCTCAGTTAAGTATTTTTGTTTTGATCAGGGAAGCCTTCAAGATTCAAATACTTGCTTGATCTGTATTACATTCGTTATTCTCGGCATGGATAACTTGTTTTTGAATAATCACGGCAAGCAGTCTCAAACAACGATATTGTTTAGCTTCATTTGATTATCAAGTCAAACACAGTGTAGTATGGAGAGGAATAAATAATCACTATTATCATTGTTGATATGCTCACTAACCTAACATTTTCCACGTCTTGTTCCTATAGCTGGCACTGGCGCGGTACTTGCCATTAAAGCACCTGATCCATACACAAATATGTCACTCTGTGGTTGTATTTATATTGAAACTACAATTCGAACATCCTAGAAAACCTAACCTGCTATTAATGCAGGTAGAATATTCTCACCACATGAATTATTTGTCAATATTTGTTGCATTGCATACATATGGCACGGCATTGGTGGTTACTTCACATGGTTATTTGAGTTAATTGTTTCGGTTGCAGAAAAAATAGCATGTTTCATTCGGATCAAAAGTGACTTTGTTCGACTGGCAAATTTTGCTTTCGCTCGGCTTCGCTAAACGCTCCGCCTCGCAAATGCAAAATTCGCTTGTCAAACAAAGTGTCACTTTTGATCCTAATAAAACAATCTACTATTATTTTCTGTTAAATGTATAACATGAAACGTCAAAAAAAAAGAAAAAAATATAACAAACAAACAATGCGACAGCATCACAATTAAATACAATATATACATCACCTTACTAACACTACATAGAATTATATAAAATACTCATCCAGCGTATAGCAGGTCTTTTGAATTAGCTGTTGTTTAAGTCTCTTTTTAAATATATTCAAGTTTAGGGAGCTCTTAATTTGTTCATCAAGAGAGTTATACATTGTGTCCCACTTACCATGTTCACCATGGGTATCTTTTTAACGGTGAGAGATACAAGGTCGGTTAAATGACACCAAATGTGGAGTTTGTCAAGGCCAACTATATTGTGAAAAAATATTTTGATAAAATCTATTCGTTTTTGTTTTATACGCAAAAAACAGATTTTGATCATTTTCATGTCTTCTCCATAACTTCTTTATTTATGAAAATATTCAAATAGGAATTTCACATTCTCATGGCAGTTTTTCAAAGTGATTTCGAAAAAAATATGAAATTCATACCAACTCTTCTAGAATTTGAGATATCAGCACCAACTTTAGTTTTTCAAATGTAGGTCATAGCTCACTATGACTTAGTTACAAATAACTTTTTTTTCTCTCACAGATGATATGTCACAGTAATAGTTTTGTGTTGATAACAACGGAGTTATCGTCATTTATACAAAAACAAAAAATTATTTGGAAGCCGCCATCTTGAATTTATAAATTTTAACAAAAAATCATGATCTCCGACCTCAAAAACCCCCACTTATCAATTTTGAATGGAATCGGACCAAATATTGTCCGCCATCTTGGAGCAGCCATTTTTTTTATTTCAACAAAAATTCCATAATGTATTGTATATGTATATTTCACATTATAGTTGGCCTTGACAAACTCCACATTTGGTGTCATTTAACCGACCTCGTATCTCTCACCGTTAAAAAGATACCCATGGTGAGCAGGGTAAGTGGGACACACTGTATAGTTTACAGCCAGTATAATGAAAACTTTTCTATTACAACGTAGTCCGGTGTCTCTCAGGTTGAAGGTGGCTTTTGAAGCGTGTATTATGATTGTGCTTCTCAACAGTATTCAAAAACATGTTTTTATTTTTATAGACGTATAAACAAACTTCTAGTATATACAAACTAACAACAGGATGTTGGCTGTTCTGAAATATGCTCTACAACTTGTTTCTCATATCAACACTATCAAGAATTCGAATGGGGAAGACCACTGAGAGAAGAAATCCGTGCAAACATCTTTCAATCGACGAATCATGATTTACCTTTGATGTACAATCAATATTATGAGTTAAAGTTGAAATATCGTTTTGAAATCAGCATATTTCATTCGATATTTCAAACAGCCAAATATGATGGTGGAGTCGTGACGTATAAGTCCCGAACTGTAGCTATCTCTCTCTCTGATACCTTGTCATTCTGCAGTGTTGCAGTGTGATTGGTCAGTTCAAGGACAATAGGCGTGTTGGGAATAAGACGTCGCACCAGTCACACCAATGAATTGACAAAATTTCAAATGGCGCAGGAATTGTGTGTTTTGAAATGGACATATTCTAATTTATTTTTTCCATCGTCTTAGCATGAATGACAAAATTCAAAATTAATTCGCTTGTAGTTTTTCAGTATAGAGTTCACATTAATGTCATTTTAAAAAATCAGTGGTCTCCCCCATTGCATACTTATGAAGAACCAGTACTCTATTCACATGAGCACAATTGCCCCAATTCATAATCCCGTACTTTATATGGGAATGGAAATTGGCATAGTACAACGAGAGTATTATGTGCCGACTGCAGTGGTTCTTCATAAATTTCAGGCTTTAACAGCTACTCTGTAATTTTTTGCACAAATTATTAATATCATCGACCCGATGAAGCTGCCTGTCGAAAGTAAATCCCAATAGTTTCACTGACATGCTGCTTGTTATTTCATTATTAGAACCTTCAAATAGTTTGACTACATCAATCCTGCTAGAACCAAAAAGAACAGGTATTGTTTGTCCAATAATCTCCTCCTGGTTACTTTTTTATATTCAAAACATTGATGCTTTGTACTTTTCAAAAATAAGAAACAATTTTTTTAGTATTAGCCTTGTAATTAGATAGTTCGCAGTTTATTATGGTGATTTTTTCAATGTAGGTCAGGGAGTACAAGGTGAACTTGCTGGACCAGCAAATCCAGGAAGGAGCAAAGACTGTCAGCGATACTAAGGAAATCTTGAGGTATGCGTGTTGATAGTTTTCAGGGTTATCCGTGTAGAGATCAATAAAAATATGAAGTTTCTTTATAAGAAGAAGTTTTTACAAAGAAAGTCAAAAAATTTTTCTTTGTTCAAATTTTCCATGCCAATTCAGTTATGGGAATTGTAAAGAATTGGCTCCGAGAGACTGAAGTAATTTGCCTATGATAATATCTATAAAGTGGTCCAGGAAGAGACAAAGGCTGTCAGAGATATTAAGGAAACTTGGCAAAAAAAATCTTCTGTTCAAATTTTCTATACCAATTTCATCTGATAATGTGATTTTTTACCCAAGTTATCTATCAACTCAAAGATCGTACCTTGTCCTGGGCTAAATCAATTATTATTTGTTCTCAGAACAGGAGTTTGATAAAAAAATTACAAAGTTTTGTTTCTTCTAATTGGAAAATTGTTCTATTTCAACTTTCTATGTTATTTTGCTAACCTCAAAGAATAAAAACTTTCCTAATACCTATCTCACATATTACAAATAGGTATCATAAAACTTGATAAAGAATGACATAATGAAACGAATTTATCACCTTCTCATTCAGGGCCTAGAAAAACAAGATGCATTTTTGTTTCAGTGATTTCACGGAGAAGGCTTTGAAAGATATTGACAGATTTCAAATTCAAAAAGCACAAGATCTCCGAGATACTCTTGCCAACTACGCCTTCATTCAACTGAAAACTGCTAAAAAGGTGATGTTTTGAAAATGTGCTTGTGAATCTGACTCAAAATCATAATATTAAATGATTTTCTGATGTCATGAAAAAATTATGCGAAAATCAATTTCAATCACAATTTCTCAAGTTATATATTTTCAGGGTCTACAAACGTGGACACAAATACGGGATTGCCTTCAAAATATTCCATCATAAAACAGTGATAATATAGCATATTTTTGTATATTCCTCCAGCTTTAACTTGATGTATTAATTAAGATATTACTACATGTCGTATGTATAGTTGATATTCACCTATTTATTTCTACAATTTAGTAGGGTTATTATTTTTCTGTGTTATCATTGATGTTGAGAATATATTATTTATTACCGAGCTCGTTCTTTGCTTCACTTATCCTGTTCTTGTTGTAAATTCACCAAATCTTCCCACATCGAAAATTAATAGAGCATGATTTATTGCCGGAAATTTTTTGGGTACATGAATTTTCTGTGAAAATTCATGTACGAGACAAATTTCTCGCAATTAATTCAGGCATGTGGGATTCCGTTAAAAAAAAAGAAACCATTAAGTATCTATTTATTCTTCCCGTGCCCTAGTAAAATGAAATATATAATAGCTAATTTGTCATAAGGGGACTGACATAGCCATAGGGGAAATCAAGACGAGTTGATGTATTTATATGAAAAATTGTTTTGGCAATCCATATCGAAGATACAGATAGGGTATTATGTAAAATTCACATATAATTAACTCTGATGACCGATATTTCGGAAATGATTTATCGTATCTGGCTGAAATTTGGCAGCGGAGTTTCTCTATTGAAACTATTCAAGATAGCATATTATGAAGAAAAAAACAGATCCGGACTCAGGAAAAATTGAAGAGCAGTTCTTATGGTGTTTTGTCTGATCTTTCTGAATCTGATAAAAATTTTCGAGAAAAGTGATCACAAAGTGAACTTTTTTGACATAACAATAAAACATGATTTTTCCCAAACCCAGATTTGGATTTTTTCTTCATAATATGCCATCTAGAAAAGTTTCAGTAGAGAAACATCGCTGCAAAATTTCAGCAAATTACAATGAATCTATTCCGAAATATTGGCCATCAAAGTGATATGCCAATTTCACATAAAACCCTGTATCTTATGAAGGGTCAAAAACATTTTTCATATAATCAACTTGTCTTGATTTTCCTATTCACCATTTGGCTTTGTGAGTCTCCACATGAACCACCCTGTATACAATCAATTGATTTCATACAATTTCCTCACTATAGGTTCCAGGGAAATGTCAATATTGCCTAAAAATTAAGTGGATGTTCGTATTGCGGGAGATATTTTCTTGGTGTTCCCCGTGTTCTAGTAAAATAAAATATAATTTAATATCAGATACATTTTCAATAAAAAATTGTAGTATTTATGAAATTTTCTTGCTAGGTTCCAGGGAAATCTCAATATTGACTAAAAATGGAAGTAGGTGTTCGTATTGGGGGATTTTTTTTATTTTTTCGTGCCCTAGTAAAATCAAATTTATAATATCAGATACATTATTGTATAATTAATGATTTCATATGATTTTCTCTATAGGTTTCAGGGAAATAAAAAATATTGTCAATATTATTTCAATATTATAATTGTCTAATTATCTGATAGTTGCCATGTCCCGGGAAAAGTACACTTATTAAATATACGCGTATACATGATGCTCATGCTACCATAGTAACAATGTCCAAATAATGCATCTGATTCGTTGAAAATGACTGGTAGACTGGTATAAAATTTCCATTACAAAACTATTAGAACTTCTGGCATGAATGATCGATTTCTGATTCATGTTTCAGAAAAATTGGAATGATCGAGGTATTTATGGAAAAACAGTCTGTAAACCGAAAACGAAGCACCATCGGAACTATATATTCATAGTATCTTCTTCTTATCTTGGAGTTTGGCAGATAAAAACTGGAAAACTCCGTAAAATAATGTTCTCTACTCAGTCTACTCTTACAAAAATAATAATCTTGACTCTCCCTACATTAACCAATGAATTTTTTAGTGGTATTGATATTATACTACGTGTACTTCCAAGCAATTCAGTAGGTAAATCTCTCAAACCTCCAGTCTACATTCCACGTATACAAGGCACAATATCCATTTCCCATCATGGCAGGAAAGAATGAGACCCTTTCCGATGCCAATTCCTTGAAATTAGGCTTCGGCATATGGATAACGCTCTGTATGATGGTGTGTTTCTGGTTTCTCGGCAAATTCGCCAAGGGCAGAAGACAGTTCCAAGCTAACCTGCACGTCATCGAGGACGGCCTGAGGAGGATGCAGGAAGACATCGAAACGAAGAGTCAAAAAAGTATCGGATACGTGGACGATGCCGATGACATTTCAGATTTTATGAGGAAGTTCAATGAAGCTGGCGATCAATGTGAGGTGTGTGTTGTTACTATTTTTATTGTTATTTTATTTGCGAAGTGAATAGTGTAAGAGAAGACATGCAGTTGATTTATCTGTTAGATCTGTCCAGACTGCCAAAATGAAATATTTCAAAAATCAAGTTTATTCCGCATAACAATAACAAACAAAAAGTATGTTACTTCTGTGATGGACATTATCCAAATTTGGCTGAATTCAACAAAGCATAAATTAAAGACTCTTCAATACATGAGCAAGAAATGAACATCAATGATTTTTTTATGATTCGGTGGACGTGAAAAGCACCATAGTTCGTAGAAGTTTAATTCTCAAATTGATAATGGCGGTGATAGAACTCGATGTTGCCTGTATTTTATTTTCTTTTCGTTCCAATTTCCGAACGAGAAAACGACTATTTCCGAAGGCAAGTACTTTTATTTTACAAAATAAGTAATAAATTTACATATAGGTACTGATGATATGTATAAATCAAAAAAGGACAATACCTTATCTGATCAAGATCAAATTCAATTTATTCGAATTCAATTCAATTCGAATATGGAATGAAATATATTCTCTCATTTTTTCAATTGTCAGCAATACGCCGTCCATCAGTCCAATTTTCAACATATCCTCAAACACAATATTTTATTGATTCCCTGGTTATTTTCCACGTGTACTGAATCTAAGTGAATTGTTGTCAGTGACATTGTTCCTATAGTTATATGAAACCGGACCTCACACAGTAAAATTTCTTTTTCAATCGAAAAAGACGATAATCCCAAATCCTCCAACCTAAAATATCTATAAATGCGTACACAAAAAGTGGTAGTTGATATCTGGAAAATGATTATCTCCTCTCTTTCATACCTTGCACTGGCAATGGTCGCTTACGTTTTACTAAAACTTTTTTATGCTTGTTTTTGGCTGCCGAAATATTTGCAGCAACAAGAGGAAGGAGAAATGCAGAAAAAACTCACTGGCGAGATCAAAGAAGAAGAGGAAAAAGCAGGACTGCTGAATGAAGATGACAAGAAACATGTCTGAGAGTACAAGAAGTTTTGTAAGGTTGGACAAATATTGTATTTTAGCATCAGTTGAATTTCATTGTGCTGTACACTAATTATACTTTTAATATATGGTTTTTATATGAATTTGTTGAGTGGTTGATTTATTTCATCTTTGTGCCAAATAGTGTTTTACTGAAAAATATTTTTTCCAGATCATTTTAATACAAATCCTATAACAGAAAAGTACAGGATGATTTTTTATAATTTACTCACTAGATAGGTATCTCAGTTAATATTGGTCTTACAGAAAAGTTCGAATGGGCAAAAATGAAGTATTAATTATGGGCATTCAGAATCAAATACTAGAAAATGAAAAAATCATCGGAAACCTGAAAAATTTACGTTCACTGCTATTTTTTAGATGGAACACCCTGTATTTTGTTTTTCTAAACGGTAGAGCTAATATCCATTTTTTGTATAGATCTATATAAAAGGCAGAGATGTTGAAAGCCAGACGACGGTTTACGATGCTTCTATGCATTTTCTAGTACTATAGATTCTGAATGCCCCTAAAAATACTTTATTTTTGCCCATTTGACCATTTCTGATGTAAGACCAATATTACTATACTGAGATAGAGCTATTGAGTAAAATAAAAATAATCACCCTGTACATTTTGATAGATAGATATAGTAAATTTACGACACCCTTTCGTGATTTATTTTCAACTTGCTGTCACTATACAATTTCAAAGAAGATTCTTCTTATGGATATATCCATGTTTTCTATGACTAGGAAAAAGTAATGCATCTGACAACTCTGCATTTTGCTATCTATAGAATAAAAACAAAACATAATTTTCAAGCATGCACATGTAGTGTTTTGATCTGATAGTTATAGGTTATAGATCATAAAGTACGTATAATACGTAATGTATATGGTATTTGCATGATTAATTGAGGTTTTGCGGGTTCTCTATAATGTTTATCTCATGACATTATAGGTAATTCTGCTTCACCAATCGGAATACGAAACGTAAAAAGCAAAACGTAAAAAGTTTGGTTGTGAACGCCGCTTTAAACATTTACCTATACCAATCTATACCTATAATACAGGTATGCAATAAAATTAAAACCTCTTTAATCCGACACATAAACATATAACATGGACGTATATATACGTCCATGATATCATTGATATCCAGAATCCACAATTTGCTTTCATTGACAACATACCTGCAGACCTGCGCAAGTATAGGTATAAAGTGCTCCAGACATGTTGCCGATAATTCGTAGAAATGTAAGTATCTCTGGTATCTGTACCTATCTACATTATTATTCACCATCTGAAATCTAAAACGAAGGCGTTTATTCATTCTTACAAATCTTTTTCTAGAATAGGTATATAGATGTTGAAAATGAAAAATAAAAGTGAAAACTGATAAATACGAGATAGTATATACAAAATAGTTATTGTCTTCTATTTCATTTTATACATAGCTTTCGTAAAGTAACTGAATGAATTCATTTTCAGCCAAACTGTCCTTTTCAGAGGAATCTCCGCGAACAGGTCGATTATTATTTTTCCTTTTGCCGTTTTTATAAGTAGAAATTAAATAAACAGGGTGATCCACGAAATGGATATATAGTTTGGCGAAAAATTAATCATTCACTTCTTTACGAAAACACTGGTATTAGAGAAATATCAATACAGGTTCTTATCATGTTTTATATAACCTTGATTCACAAACTCCTTTACGAATGAAAATGTTTGATAACGATTTCTAAATAGTAGAGGTAACAACACTATAATAAGTAGGTATATACCGGGTGGCTACGGAAGTATTGCCTACGGAATATCTCAGTTATTGTATGAAGTAGGTTTGTGAAATTTGGAGCGTTGATATAATGACATAAGAGCTAGAATTTGAGCATATTGACATGTCGAAGTTAACTTCCGGTCTGACCGGAAGTAACATCAACTTTCTTATTTTCAATGGAAACCCTATCTTTTTTTCTTTTCGCTTTATTCAGCATTCAATTCCCTTTCTAATAACATATCACAAGTTGGTATCTAACCAGAAACTAGATCAGAAAAAAAAATTATTGAAATTCACCGAGTAGGCCGTGGAAGCAAAATGAAAGCCAAAAAATGACTTTCTATTATATCATTAGAAAGGAATGGTTATGCTGAATAGTACAGGCAAGAAAAAGTTGTATGTTCCTATTTAAGTTATGGACCTACAGAGTATTGTTTTTTTCCCAATTTTTCCAATATTTTTTTTGGCGGCTTTTTATAACGCCGAAGAATGAAAATAAAATATCACAGTAGTAGCAACTGTTATCAAGTGACGTATGGTTTCCATAGCTAACTTTTCAATTTTTGGCTTTCATTTTGCTTCCACGGCCAACTCGGTGAATTTCAATAATAATTTTTTTCTGATCTAGTTTCTGGTTAGATACCAACTTGTGATATGTCATTAGAAAGGGAATTGAATGCTGAATAAAGCGAGAAGAAAAAAAAATAGGGTTTCCATTGAAAATAAGAAAGTTGATGTTACTTCCGGTCAGACCGGAAGTTAACTTCTACATGTCAATATGCTCAAATTCTAGCTCTTATGTCATTATATCAACGCTCCAAATTTCACAAACCTACTTCATACAATAACTGAGATATTCCGTAGGCAATACTTCCGTAGCCACCCGGTATACAATATAGTTATTGGTCTTCTATACATATACATAGAGCTTTCGTAAAGTAACTGAATGAATTCATTTTCAACCAAACTGTCCTTTTCAGAGGAATCTCCGCGAACAGGTCGATTATTATTTTTCCTTTTGCCGTTTTTATAAGTAGAAATTAAATAAACAGGGTGATCCACGAAATGGATATATAGTTTGGCGAAAAATTAATCATTCAGTTCTTTACGAAAACACTGGTATTAGAGAAATATCAATACAGGTTCTTATCACGTTTTATATAACCTTGATTCAAACTCCTTTACGAATGAAAATGTTTGATAACGATTTCTAAATAGTAGAGGTAACAACACTATAATAAGTAGGTATATATATATTAGTACTTAATTTTATAGGTATGTTTTACTACTTAATACCCACCGATAATATCGATATATTATCAATAGGTAATGTTTGTTTCATGAAGTCAAATACGTCGTGCGGCACTGGCATCAATTTAACGAAATCTACCTAGACAACGCTGCCAGATCAACAAATTGGATTTGAAAAGAGAGTATAAACAGTATACCGACATAAGTTTAGGCAATAATTCGTACATAAAAGGGTCGTGGGCCATAATATATATGATGCCAAGTTGAACTTATTCCGTACCTATATTCATTTCTCAAAATTTTTATGATTTATGATGTATTTTAGAACCTATTAGTTATTTCAATATCAATTTTTTTATTTGCCCCAAAATGTAACACTCGTAACTTATTTGAAAAATGTTTGAAGAAGAGAATTTAGCAAATTTTCACTTAGCTTTAGACGTTTCGGGAACGAATCTGCTCCTGTTTCCAACATGAAAATGTCGTAGGTAATTGACGTTATGGCATTCTTCCTAAACATGAGTGTTCAACACTCCTACACATTACATGAATAAAAAAATGGAAAATATTATTCTTCTCAAATTGTGTTTCATTTCAAATGTTGAAGGATGTTCTTATTAATTTATCTAGAATTTACCATTTTCATCAAATTCGAGAAGAAGAATATTTTTTCATTTTTTATGTTGAAAACGGGAACAGATTCGATTCCAAAACGACCGAAGCTAAGTAAAAATTTGATATTTTTGAGATATATTCATATTTCTCTATTTCGAACATCTTCGAAAACAGAGTGTCACTCAATCGATTGAATTTTCCTTTCATATAGTCTCTCTAATAGAAATAACATCTTTGAACGCAGTGATAAATTGGGGCAAATCATCTGATTTAATCTTCACGTGTATTGAAAGGATATTTATATTGAGAAAAAGTACCAAAAATCTGGTGAAATTAATAAAAGTAAAAATTACAAGCAGGAGATATAGATAGAAAGTGGCACAAAAAAATATATAACGGATGTAAAATATTATTGAGCATCCTTTCTGGCCTTCAGCACTTCAATGTCTCAATAATGCATCATGTTCGATGTCTGAGGGAAATGTTGCTTGGCCCTCTGATGACTATAATATCGATCGAAACCTGTATTACTTGATAGAATACAATATTTATTCATCCAAATAGACCATTTCACATTGATGGTATATGAAAAGTCAACAACCAAACCATGAAAAATCATGTATAGTGGTTATAATATGATAACTCAGATATCCAGAAATTCTCTTGGCTTTTTCTCATGATACATATCTGCAAAAATTTTATTTCAGGTATACTGGGCCATGTCTCAAACACCGAAACACCTCTCCTCGAGAAAGCTCTGCTCTACGGAAAGCCCACCAATTATCACTAACGAATCCAGTAACGATAAAGCCGTGATAACTCTGAACAGACCACACGTACACAATTGTATAAACGCTACCCTCGCATGTGGCCTATACGAAGCGCTAAAAAAATTCGAAAAAAAGTCTCTGCTAATCATCAAAGGAGCTGGACAAGCATTCAGTTCCGGAGGAGACTTGAAATGGATCTTTCAGAGCAGAAATGCCGAAGGTTTCAAAATGTTCACCTACCACAACGCTTGCATTCTCAAAATTGCTACCTATCCAACACCGTGCATTGCTCTTATGGATGGTTTCACCTTTGGTGGTGGTGTCGGCTTGTCTAGGTTCTGCAAATACAGGGTGGCGACTGAAAGAACGCGACTTGGCATGCCAGAAACCCTGATTGGCTTCCATCCCAACTCTGCAGCATCTTACTTCTTCACCAGGATGGAAGGCAGATTGGGATGGTACCTTGCTCTGACAGGAGAGACCCTCGAAGGGTCAGATGTAGTTAGAGCTGGATTTGCTACACATTACTGCCGGAGCGATAGACTGGAAAATCTAGAGCGAGATCTTTTGAACAGCCCCAGCTCAGAAGAGTCAGAAGTCGAAAATATTCTCAGTGAATACAGTGAAAATTTGCCAGAGTTTTCGCTTAGGGATGAATTAGAAAAGATTGAGGAATGTTTTTCCGCATCATCTATGGAAGAAGTTTTCACGAAACTGGAACAGACTGGGTCTAAGAAGACTTTGGAGTTGTTGAAGCAACTTTCACCCACAGCTTTGAAGGTGACATTCAGGCAGCTAGAAAAAAGTGGAAATATGTCTTTGAAGCAGTGTCTCAATATGGAGTACAGCTTGACAGCCAGTTTCTTACTTTTTCATGATTTTCCAGAAGGTGCGTTTATTTCTTGTTGTTGTTGCTTATTCAGTGGTGTAGCAGCTATTCGGGAAAATAGTATCTGTTGTATTTTTCAGGGATTCGAACCAAGTTTATAGATAAAGGCAAGAAACCACGTTGGGCCTATTCAACTTTAACTGAAGTACCCGAGGATGTAGTGAATAAACATTTCGAAACGCGACCAGGTGAAGAAAATCAGAGAAAATTACTGGAACCAATGGGAGATTTATTATGAATATAATAACATAGAAATAATACTTCTTCCTGTGATTTCGTTGAATATTTATCGGAACATTTTGAAATTGAATAGGTTATTGTTTCCACTAGCAGGAGTAGTTCTGAAGAACTGACGTAATGTTACATCTTGTTGTTGTTGAAATGGTGGGCATCCCAATAAACAGATATCTATATCGTACATAATATGAAGGCTGATGGAACTTATAGCTATTATATTTCAGCTGTTCCTAATATGTAGTAAGTAAATCATCTCCACGACATTTAATAGATGAGCATAGTTATGTTACAAATGGGAGGGATATGTTTCGGGCTTATAATAAGCCATCATCAGCCAAGAGGTTTATCACGTCCTGCAATAGTAGTTCTTAAACATGATCATTGTGGCCAATAACTCAACACAAATGAGGTAGAAACTTGCAAAATATGATAATCCTATAACTCATATCATAAAGGAAGAGCACCAACATGAATTATGTTGGATATCTCGAAAACCAAGAAAAATATGATAAAACCACAGTGAGAAAATAGTTAGATAATTCATTTTGTCATTCATTGAAATATCAAAATGTGGTTAGTGTCATACTCTAACAGATCTACATCAATGTCAAACAAAGAGAATGTGAAATACCTATATCTCCCTGTATATTGATTGAATCGGTATGACATGTTCTTAATGCATATTATTCACGATAGTAAATTGCCCTATGCATTCTTTCCAAGGATTTTGAAATATTCAAGAAAATCTGGAAATAAAATTATTCTTTATCGTCCTCTCACAGTTCAATGGTCCATTTTTGTAAAGAGGTTAGTTGATTTCAATCGGTCTATCTCGGGATTTTGTTCACCCTGTAGAATTTATTATGACTAATTTGCTCTGCGCATGAGCCGTAGTGCGCTACCATTTGTTAAACTGTTGAACAATAAGCAACATAAGCTAATGAAGGGGTGCTTTTCTTATGATATGGCAGTCCTTATAATTGCTGCATGAATCACCATTTTCCCCTTACTTTAAACTTGTGACTTACAACTTACGACTTGAAACTGCTGCACAAATCCAACATTAGTGTCCTGGGTTGAGAAATGAAAACAAAGAGCTTATATAACTAATCATCGCAGGATTCAGGATCTTTCGAAAATATTGTAGTAGTAATTCATGAAGCGAATCCTGATCTCATTCTCATAATGTATATATGGAGTCGAAGACCTCTTGTTATCCTACACAATATTTACGTTACTCCGGCACTGGGACTTTTCGAGCAAACGGGGCCAGACCGGCCCTGTTTTCATCCCCTTCGCCAACAGCACCGAATCAAAATCAAGAGCACCGAGAGATCGAACGGGCGCTGTGCTGCGCTGCGTTGTATGTGTGCAACACGACGAGCAACTGTTTCGCGTGACGTCACCAGCGCTGCCTACTTCGTCCTTCGGCCATGATGTAGCCGAGGGTCGCTGTTTTGACATGTTCGGTTTATTTACATTCAACAATGCCTCGAAAAAGATACGAAATCAAATAAAAAATATTTGTGCAAGGCTATCGTGATGTGGGAGCTAGTCTGAATACCAGAAAAGTTTATCGACTTCAGCTCAAGGACCATTGTTGTTCGTGGGTTGTGACAGTGTGTAGGTGATCAATTGTTCTTCAATGACAGACTTGGTAGCCTAGATATAGGTAGTGCGCCCTTTTTCATCAATGGTGGCTAACGCCTCAACTGTCACATGGACTTTGAGCTATCGGCATATCATTATTATCTCAAAATGAACAGTTATACTACTGCGTATTCGAAAAAGTGCACTTTCAAGTGCAGAATGAGAATGTGAGTGCAAATGTCATTGACCCTTTGTGACACATTCGGCATGTGCTGGTGCATGTAGACACGCGTTCATGGGCCCCCGCAAGAACTTTTTGGGCCTACTTGATTTCAAATCGAGAAGCTGGCGATAGGTGACATGATGTAAGTATGGTAGCATGAATGGAAAATCCTAGAAACGAAAGGAAAAAATCGATCGATCAAAGAGAAATCATAGAGAATGTCGATGAAAATTATAGGAATTATATAGATTTCTCCTCGGATTTCTCTATTTCATTGGCAACCCGATTAGCAGGACTGAAAAACTAAATTTATTGGCCAGCCTAAAACAACATTGTTCTCTATATGTTATACCTACACCTATATTTAATCGGTGAAACGTAGCAATTAGTCAATCAACAATGCAATTCGTGCATTGCATTATGCAAGACTTAAGAAGATTGGAAGATCACTGGATGCAGAAACAGCTAAATTGTTGGAGCAAGGGGTTCCTATCACCAATCTTAGAATGGAAAATTCTCTAAGGTCAGTGAACAAAAATACATGGAGTTCTGACCATCAGGTAGGTTGCATATAGAGGTTGGACATGCTTCAGGTCATAAATCTACACCGAGATCTACACTAATCTATCTATTGTCATAGACTAATGACCCTATAAAAGCAGAAACAGACCCCAAGATCCTATAGAGTATGAACTAGAGAAAACTAAACTTGAGTTACATAGATAACCAAAGATGGACCCAGAAACCTGTATATGAACTGGTGTGTGTATCCAAATTATTGGATGTGGTTGTATAAAGGTGATATTCCAATAAGCCCATCAGACCTAGTGATAAGGTCGAAAAAAAAAATAGTTCCAAGGACAGTATTTTATCACAGGCAGGCGATTCTGCAAAATAAAAGATGTTTCAATAGGTATTGGAAAAAGTCGAAATTCGTTTCGTCTGCATCAACGAATTGAGCGAAACTATGTATGAATACCTTCTGGATCTTGCATCAATCGCTGCAGATAGATCTTCAAATTTAAAACCTTGTGGCATGACTCAACAAGTCGATGCGGTAAGAGAATACAACAGGTTGTATCCTAACTGGATCGGACAACCTAGGGGATCGACAATCGTTGTTTCTTCAATAGCTAAATCACAACATATCTCATCTTCATCGGAGATTTAGATCATCTATAGCTACACCACAAGCCAAGAATTAGACAAGCAGACAAAACTTCTAAAGAAACACGAAGGTGTTGGACGGTGTTGGATAACTGAAGGAACAGAGATAGCGAAAAAATTGAAGCATGAGGTTCCTATCACCGCACACAAAATAAAAAAATTAATACAATGGAACAATAGGGTTTCTCACATGATTCTAAATAATATGAATTGATGGGATGGAGATAACCAAGACGATACCTACTATGAAGCTTTGAAGAAGTTTGGCATGTTTCAATTAGGACAGGCAAGCCACATGTGCATGTATCGTTAAAATGAGGTTGAATCTTCCAGTCCTTGAGCATGAGATAAACAGGAAGACCTTCGAATCAGAGGAATTGAATTGTTGAGAGCAAATTCAACATTTTCCTATGGGAACTCATGTGGTCAGACTGAAACAGGCTGGATATTCTTTGTATGCATATGGAAGGATAACCACGTTTGCCGCATACGCTTCAACAGGAAGAGTGTGAACTCGGGTTTGATGAACCAGTGAACCAATTTCAGTAAACAGACATACTAACCTTCATCAGAAGGATACCGAGTAAGGAAATGGACAATCAGGAGCAAGAAACGTAAATATATGGGCTCGTACATATATGGGGAAAAGCGAGAGGCGTTTTCTACTGGATTCAAATTCAAACAGTAACACATTTTCCAAAAATTTGGTCCTGATCTGATCCAGTAGATGGTGTTAATATCTGTCCGAAACATTTTTCAAAGTTTCGGTAGAATTTTGTCCATATTTTGAAGGAGCAGTGTATAAGCGAGTTGAATGACTTCGAGAGAGGATCGACCGAGATGTCCAAAATGACGTTCAAAATTAGAATGTTGGAAATAGTTCCGTCGGAATGCGATTTTCGTTTAGTTTTCTTTGGTCTACAACTAATTTAGAATTCGAAAAGCGGAGCTCAAAAGCGCTCAAAAGGTCATTAGACTATCTCACATTTCACTCGCAAAGTCGTTTCCATCTTCTTGACTGATTCACTGACGAATATTAAGTTAGATTTTTTTCATTGAAATCATCGTGATTTGTTCGATTAACTCCTAGGTACCTGAAATAATTTGAAACTGTTATTGTTTGGTGTTAGCACCTTTTTATGAGGTTCTTCACATTCCCATCAAGTACATTCCACTATAATATCTCATAATTCAATTTTATCGTAAAAATTTATCAATTTCAGCAAATTTTCGTCCAGATCATCGATTTTCATCCATGTAATTTCAGGTCGGAGTTGGCGAGATGGTCAGTTCGATTTAGGATATCCAATCAGGTATACATATAGGTAGATAATTTGAAAATTCCTCGGAAAATTCCATTCGTTTTTTCTTTCGTTTCTCCTCGATTGAGTACTGATCCACTGTGAATATCTAGAAAATGAACAGAATTATAATATTGATATCATATCGATAACTTGGTTTTGTTGACAGCAATTAGAATCGAAATAATAATTACATTGGCATCCCAGTGGGATACCGAGGGTATACCTTATCGATATTTTTATGGTAACAGTTTTTTCCAAGTTTCATATTTCGATAAGATTGATCAATTGAAAATGCAACTTACTTGTCCTTTGTGTTACTTTCGAAACTCGCTTATTTTTTGAGAAATCAGTACAAATTTGATTTGACTCAAAATTTAGTATGTAAAGGTGCCATTGTGATATCTCAATGAAGACAATAACCTCAATGAGTATCATTTTGAAATTTAAAATTTTGTCAGTCACCAACCAGACCAAATTTTGCCACTATGAAAGCTTATATAGGGGTATCACAAAAAAACAATTACTCGAGTATGAACTCCTCAATTTTTTCGCACTCATTGATTGATTTCCTGCTGACCATATTACGTTTTATGAGATCATGAAAGAAAAGACATAATATGAGAAATCGAGTGAGCAATTTAGAACAATTTGATATGATATCTCGATTATACCTTTCTACTTAGAGATTCATCTCGAAATGGTCCATCAAAAATCCCGTAAAGCCTTGTGCAAAGTCCTAGCAATGACCAGAACACACAGCACTTTATTCATCTCGAATATGTCCGCCATTGTGGTGCTGGAGCGTTGGAAAATCGTTTTAGAAACGTATATGCACCTGGAAAACATTTTCCCGATTGAGCAGACTGATTGGGAAGAAGAAGGAATCAGTACTAAGCAAAATGTTCACATTGAACGAATAATGCGCGATAATGTTATGTAAAAGTTGTGGACGGATGCCAGATTTTTGAGGTTTATAGATGACCTAACCGCTAACTGATGAACATGCCAAAATCATTATCGTTCTCATGGACATGATTGACATATCGATTTTGTTATAGATCACATAAGAAGTTCAAAATATAGATATACAATCTAGAAATGGAAAAAATATAGTTTTTGTTTTATGAAGATCAATATTCCCAATAAAACTTGCATATGTATGAAAATCGATGATTCAAAAATGTAACTGAATAGCAATTGATATTTCTTCAAACTCATCTGATACACAGATAGATTCAACGATTTTAAGAACAGAAAATCCAAATTTTCTTCATTCAGAACCGCGTAATGATCTTTATTTAAGATTATACATTCTCCTGATACAAGATGATAGCGAGCACTGTTTCAACGAAAACCAAAGCGTTGATGCTTTTACGAAGAATGTCCTTTGGTTAGTTGCGAGGTTAGTTGTTTACTAATAATTGTTGAATAGTGCATAGATATTTAGAATTTGGAGAATCAAATTTGTCTAGTCATTTATTCAAAAAATGGAGATTCCTAAATCACACGTATTACCTTGGGTATTACCCTATATTAAAGTGTTACACCTTGTATTTCTTGCCATGTGCCTATCCGGCACATTTTGCTGTAAGTTCTGTCTCTGACAGGTCACCTACAAGCGAGTTCATCAAATATGTTTCTACCGTTCGTAATACCTTGTTTGTTTCTCAATGTTCAATGTTTTTCTTCTACTGAGGTCTGTATTTGATATAGATAGTAAGTATGTTTGCACTCCTGAAATGTGAGAATGAAATTGGTAAATTCAAGATCGAATGATGAAAACATTCAGTAACTCACTTTTTTCAATTAACTTCTGGCTCTGAAGTGTCAATAGACAGAAACGTCCATAAAAAAGTAACTTCATATTTTTTCATATATCTAGGTACCTTCTTCAAATATTTTCCAAATAAAGTGTCACTGAATATCGGTTGAAGTTATCTTTTATAGCCCAATGACATCTGGCAAGAATATATATAACAGGATTACAGACAATAGTAACAATATTACTAATGCAATTCCAGTACCTTGTATTTATGCATCACTACCTTACATCAGTGAAGTCACTCCAAAACTTTCTAAGATTTTTGAGGATCATCCTAACATCAAAATCGCTAATAGAACAGTTTTGCCACTTAAATCGTTGTTTTCAAAAGTCAAAGATAAAGTCCCACTAACATCACGTTCGAATGTAGTTTACAGCATTCCTTGTAGAGATTGTAACTTGCAATATATCGGACAGTCCAAAAGGTCTCTAGCGAATAGAATCACATCTCACAAAAGTGACTGTAGGTTGCATCCTGAACGTTGTGCACTGGCTGAACATGTTAATCAATATGACCATCAAATGGATTTCCAGTCAGCAAAAAATTCTGGCAACTGAACAAAATTCCAAAAAACGAACTTTTCTTGAAATGGCTTTCATCTCCCAGGAAAACAACTGCATAAATAAAAGAACTGACATAAATCATCTAAGCATAATTTATTCACACTTACTTGCAATGGATATTAAAACTTCGACATGAATATTATCTGTTTTCTCCATTTTCCAATGTCCAGATTTTTCAGATGACAGTCAAGACTTCTTCTTCTTTTTTCAATACCAGAATTTGTCTGTTCCAACCTAAACGTACATCCAGTGCACACAGCACTCTGAGTGATTTTGTTTTGGAATTGACAGAGAAGATTAGGTTATGTTGGTCCTAACCGCGTTAACCATAACCTGACTTTCCATCCGTGGTTTTCCAGCATGGATGTGAATAATAAAATTTTTTAAAATGTTAATTATTTCGTCTGGTCTTTTTACAAATTTCTAAATGTCAGTATTTTGCCTTTTTTATTGCCTTGACTATTGTGGAGATTTTTATTCCTACTGCCCAGATAGCACAAACTCGCCTAAGGTCATCCTCAATGTGTCGCCAAACGCCTGGAGAGGACGTTCTATTTTCTACAACCTAAGAACATCATCAGGCGTAAATTTAGCGCTGTAATTGTCCTAAATGAGTTCTTTCAGTGACAGCCTGAGGATGTAAAGAATTTCGTGCCTACGGACGTCTTCAGATGACATTCCATGAAATAATGTGTCATCGAAGACACAAGGAAGAAAAAGAAGAACTAGAATTGAGGTTATGTCTCATGATAGTCATGATACTCATGATTTGTTCAAGATACATCATAATATTAATGATTATATCAAAATTATTAGAGTATTCATTGAATACCTCCATCATGCATTCATCAAATTTTTATTTCACAAAATGATTGCGAGAAGAACTTATTGCACAGAATTGAAAGATAACAATAACAAAAAGATGATAATCTCTGTTGATGACATTTCTCTCAGGTAGCAAGAAACAAAGGTGAGTAAATACTGAATAGAATCATTGATAGTACCGGACATGAAATATTGATACATTCATATACATTATTTATTGTTTCAGGAGGTTATTGAGAACACAAACATGATGATATCATCACAGCAAACATGTTTTATTCCAAGATATCTTTGCTTCTTCAGAATCTATAAAATATTGTATGGAAGCTTGAACATTCAGTATGAATTCAATAAAGGTAGGTACCTGAATCAAATCATTGATATAGTAGGTACTGGACATGAAATGTTAATAGGTTAATTATTTGTTTCAGATGAAGTTATTGAGAACACAAGATTGATATGATGTCATCCAGAGCAAAGATGTTTCATTCCAAGATATTTTGGCTTCTTCGAAATCTATATGAGATTGTATGCATGTTTGCACTTTCAGTATATTCAATAAAGGTAGGTACCTAAATCAAATCATTGATATGGTAGGTACTGGAACATGAAATATTAATAGGTACATTATTTGTTTCAGGAGGTTATTGATAACACAAAATGATGATATCATCAGAGCAGAGATATTTTATTCCAAGATATTTTGGCTTCTTCGGAAATTATGAAAGATTGTACATAATGCAGACTTGAACTTTCAGTAGATTCAATAAGGTACCAATTACTACATAAATCATATCATTGATAGTAAGTACTGGACATGAAATATTAATACATTGTTTGTTTCAGATAGTTTTGCTTCTTCAGAATCTATAAAATATTGCATGAAGGCTTCAACTTCCAGTTGATTCTGCATCAGGAATGTCTAGAGTTCAGAAATCAAAAACAACATGGAGAAATATAACTACTTATAGGCAATAACCTCTAGTAGTGCTCAACAAGAAGCTGGAATACATTTCCTCAAAAAAGAAATTGAAATTTTTCAGAATAAGTTATAAATAATAGAATGTAAGTTTTTCATATGGTTTTTCATTTGAACCTATCATAAATAGAGAGAAATTTCGCAAATATCATGAGATCCATATTATTTTGAAGAAATTATCATTTGCATAATACAAGGTGAGTCAATAGTGTGTTATCCTCGTATATTAGTCAAACCATCAGATAAATAGAGAAAATTCAAGTACAACAGTAATAGGGTTTCATGAGAACTTTCACATTAAATTGTTTTCATATCTGTATAGGGTGTTTGAATTCCAAGATATATTGACTGATGATTGTTTTTTTTTTCAAATGGGTCACCCTGTATACTATTGCATTTTTAGGTTCTCCCTGAAGAGCTGATTTCATCAATGTATCACACTTGGGGTCTAGCGGGAATGATTACAGAGATATAGGGTGTTCAAAAACAAGATTTTTCAATTTTAGGATTTTTTTTTTGTGGAAACCTCGGTGGAAACTATTCAATATTGGTCAAAACGGCTCACATTTCCTCATGAACTTTTGATTTACTATCTAATGACATTCAATCGGAACAAATAGAGGGTGGTTCAACATTCAGAATACTGATCAGCTTATTGTATCTGTTCCAAATAAATATCAGTAGATAGCTAATCAAAAGTTAAGACAGGGGCATATGAGCCGTTTTGACCATTAATGAATAGTTTCGACACAAAAAATCCTACATTTGAAGAATCTCGATTGTCAACACCCTATTTCTCTGTAATAATTCCCACTAGACACCAAGTGTGATGCATTGATGAAATCAACTCTTCAGGGAAAACTCAAAAATGTAATAATATACAAGGTGTTCCATTGAAAAAAACCAATCATCAACCGATATATATCTTGGAATTCACCCTATAGATATAAAAACACCTTTAGGTGATTGTTCTTATGAAACCCTATCACTGTTGTACTTGAATTTTCATTTTATATATCTGACGGATTGGCTAATATCGGAGGAGAACACACTAGTGACTCATTCTGTAAACGAATAATATTCTCCCATAAATCTTGAACCTCCTTGAAACATCATCAAAAACCGACTCAAGTTGTTACTATGATGTCCTGAGGTTGTCTCAAAAGATTTTATAGGGATGTTCTGAGACGTTATTGGTATGTAGAGAATGGTAACAGGAGGACGTCTCAAGAATGTCCTCTGGCTCGCTCTCGACGTCCTGAGGACATTATTGTGAACGCCTCAGAAGGGCCTCAAAAGGAATTTGTGCTATCTGGGTGATGGCACCATGTGTAATGATATGTCTATCATCTTATAACATCCATGTAATTAATCTCAACAAAGATGTATGTATATTTATATTATCTATTTTTGTGCACATTAATATGATATATCATTGTAGCATCCCTGAAGAAGGAAATAAACATTTCCGAAAGCTTGGATAAACTTTAAAGAGTTTCGCTTTTACTTGCTGCATTCCCCTATATATATATATATATATTCAACTAACTCTATTTTGATTTATTGAAACGGGGAGAGAACATCCAAAAAAATTAGAGGAATCAGCACACAGTAATATTTTTTGAGCACCCAATGACTGATTTTTCACAAATGTTGAAAATTATTATGAGATTGAAAAAATT